TCCAACTGGTGTATAGTATTATTCACGTACTTTGTTTCCTTCTTGATCTTCTGTCTGGATGTTTTATCCATTATTGAAAGTGAGGTAGGCCGGGCGCGGTGGCTCAAGTCTGTAATCCCAGCACTTTGGGAGGCCGAGACGGGCGGATCACAAGGTCAGGAGATCGAGACCATCCTGGCGAACCCGGTGAAACCCCATCTCTACTAAAAAATACAAAAAAAAACTAGCCGGGCGAGGTGGCGGGCGCCTGTAGTCCCAGCTACTCGGGAGGCTGAGGCAGGAGAATGGCGTGAACCCGGGAGGCGGAGCTTGCAGTGAGCTGAGATCCGGCCACTGCACTCCAGCCTGGGCGACAGAGCTAGACTCCGTCTCAAAAAAAAAAAAAACAAAAAAAAAACCAAAAAAAAAAACAAAGTGAGGTATTGGGCTGGGTGCAGTGTCTCAGGCCTGTAATCCAAGCACTTTAGGAGGCCAAGATGGGTGGATCCCTTGAGGTCAGGAGTTCGAGACCAGCCTGGCCAACATGGTGAAACCCTGTCTCTACTAAAAATAGCCGGGGCTACTCAGAGGCACAAGAATCACTTGAACCCAGGAGGTGGAGGTTGCAGTGAGCCATTATCATGCCACTGCACTCCAGCCTGGGCAAGAGTGAGATTCCATCTCAAAAAAATAAAAAAAGTGAAGTGAAGTCTCCTACCATTATCATAGAACTATCTATTTCTGCTTTCATTCTACAGTGTTTGCGTCAGTGTTTGCTTCATATATTTAGGAGCTCTGAGGTGCGTTGCATGTACATTTATAACTGGTGAATTGACTGTTATCGTTATCTCTTATAACGGCTTTTGACCTTAGGTCAATTTTGTCTGATATTAGTATAGCTGCTACTCCTCTTTTTTCATCCTTTCACTTTCAATCTATGTGTAAGTCTCTTAGTCTTTTGATTGTGGAATTCATTTGTATTTTTAAAGATTATCGTTCTGACGCAACTCACTAACCTGGTGACTGTGTCATGAGGCCCACAGCCAAGGACTGCGGTGAGCAGTTGCTGTGGGAGGACGCCAGCACGCTACTTATGGGACTTCCCGATGGAGAAGCACTTCCTGGTGCCACGCCGTTCATTGTTTTCTGCATGGCTTATGGTTTGCTTTCTCTCTCATTTCGTCCCTTTGTGTTTAATTGATTTTTTTTTATTGTGATACACTTAGAATTCCTTCTCATTTCCTTTTATGTACATTCTGTAGATATTTTGTCATTACCAAGGGGATTACATGAAGCATCCTGAAGTTATAGCAATCCATTTTAAACTAGTAAGTACGATCACATACAAATACCCTACTCTTTGACAGCTCTGCCTCCCTCCTACCTTGTTGATGTCACACATTGTATCTATTTTTAGAGACAGGGTCTCACGCTGTCACTCAGGTTGGAGTGCAGTGGCATTATCATAGCTCAGTGTAACCTCAAATCCCTGGACTCAAGCAATCCTCCTGAGTAGCTGAGACTACAGGTGCATGCCACCATGCCTAATTTTTTTCACTTACATATTTAACAGATTTATAGTTATAAATCTTTTAAATGCAATAACAGATATGAATCAAAATTACAATACAGGTCTTGATATGTGGCCTCAAATTTCCACCTAGCTTTTTTTTTTTTTTTTGACTTGAAGGACTCCCTTTAGCATTTCTTGCATAATGAACTCCCTCAGCTTTTGTTTATCTAAGAATGTCTTAATTTCTCTGGTTGGGCACGAGGCAGGCAGATCACGAAGTCAGGAGTTTGAGACCAGCCTGGCCAACATGGTGAAACCTCGTCTCTACTAAAAATACAAAAATTAGCCGGGCATGGTGGCGTGCACCTGTAAGCCCAGCTGCCTGGGAGGCTGCACCACTGCACTCCAGCGTGAAGGACAGAGCAAGATCCTGTCTCAAAAAAAAAAAGAATAAAAAGCATCTTAATTTCTTTTTCTTATAAGAGTTCATAATATGTCTTTATTTTGTAACTTACAATCACCTTTTAATTTGTCCTCCAAAAGTTAATTATAATTGGTGACTGCTTTTCTTAGATACTTCTCTGGTGTCCAAGAAAGGGGAATAATTTAGCCCTTGATTTAAAAACCCCTAAGGGAGTGAGAGGACCTTAACTGCAGATACTATTCCATTGTGATGCTTTGGCTGTAAGTCTTCTCTGTTGTCCTCCCCAGATGTTTTGTTGATGGCTGAAGTAGCCGACAGTTTTGTATTTACACGGTCAAAACAGCAAGCGCTTCTGCTTGATTCACAGATTCTCCGAGGTTCCCGTGCAGCCATACCACCTCCTGTCTTGGCACTTCATAGTTGTCTCATTGAGTCCAAGGCTGCCTCCTGAGGGTCTAGTTGGTAGACCATGAAGTTGATTCCTGCCTTAAGCCTAGCTCTGCCAGCAGTTGTCCTATATTCTCACCAGTCAGATTTTTGGTACTGGAATGGTGCTTTTTATAGTACACTCATAAGTGGATGCTGAAATCACAACCTGGCTATTTGGATGTCCAACCAATGCTTTATGCTGCTGAGTCCTTGGCACTCACCACCCCGTGCCGGAACTCACTGGAGCTCACATGTGTGGTGCTACCTTGTTTCTCTGTGAGTTTTTGTTTGTTGAGACAAGGTCTCAATCTGTCACACAGGCAGGAGTGTGAGCATTGGTCACGGCAGCCTTGACCTCATGGGTTCAAGCCATCTCACCTCAGCCTCCCAAAGTGCTGGGAGTAAAAGAGTGAGCCACCACACTTGGCCTACTTTTGAGCTTTGAGTTTTTTTTTTTTTGAGACGGAGTCTTGCTCTGTAGCCCGGGCTGGAGTGCAGTGGCCGGATCTCAGCTCACTGCAAGCTCCGCCACCCGGGTTCAAGTGATTCTCATGCCTCAGCCTCCCAAGTAGCTGGGACTACAGGCGCCCGCCACCTCGCCCGGCTAGTTTTTTGTATTTTTAGTAGAGACGGGGTTTCACGGTGTTAGCCAGGATGGTCTCGATCTCCTGACCTCGTGATCCGCCCGTCTCGGCCTCCCAAAGTGCTGGGATTACAGGCTTGAGCCACCGCGCCCGGCCTGAGTTCTTTATATATTCTAGAGATGAGTCCTTGGTCTGATAGGTGGTTTGTAAACATTTTTCCAAATCTGTAGCTTATCTTTCTATCTTCTTAGTAGAGTCTTTCAGACAGCAAAAATATGATCTCTCTTGCAAATACTCTGCCTCTGTGGCAGGCAAGCAGCTACAGACTACATAAATGAATGTCAGTGGATCCCTTGAGTAAGTGTCATTCGTGGTAAACGTATCTCTAGACAGATCAGTGCTGAGAGGCTATTTCATTCTTAAATAATAGTTGAGCAGGGTATACACACTAACCTCATGCTTATTTTCTCTTATTCCACTGTTTCCTGCTGTTGCTGGTGGGAGATGGATTATCAACATGTTCTTCCTTCTTTCCACTCTCTTCAGTAGCTTTTAGGACCTTTGTTTTTTCCTGCAATTTTGTTCTGATGGGTCTTGGTATGGATGCATTTACTGTATTGGGGATTGTGCCTCCTGACTCTAAAGGATCCTGTGTCTGTTTTCCTGCTGGAATTTTTTTTTTTTTTTTGAGACGGAGTCTTGCTCTGTTGTTCAGGCTGGAGCACAGTGGTGCAATCTCAGCTCACTGCAACCTCCACCTCCTGGGTTCAAGTGATTCTCCTGCCTCAGCCTCCTGACTAGCTGGGATTACAAGAGCACACCACCACACCCGGCTAATTTTTGTATTCTTAGTAGAGACGGGGGTTTCACCATGTTGGCCAGGCTAGTCTCAAACTCCTGACCTCAAGCGATCTGCCCATCTCGGCCCCCCAAAGTGCTGGGATTACAGGCATGAGCCACCGTACCCGGCATTTCTTTTAGACATGTTGGATCCTCTTATTTCATCCTCCCTTTGTCATATTTTCCAATTCATTAATTTTCTCTTCTGCCGTTAAGGTTTTAAATGTCTGAACGGCAGCCACTAATTCTGGCATCTGAAGCTCTTGGAAGTCTACTCGTGTTGTTGTCACTGACTTCTATGCCCTTTTATTGGGACTTTGGCTGTGGGAATCACGCAGCACCAGATGAAGGAGCTCTCAGCACGTGGGATCTCGTGCTATCTCAAGGTAGCTAGTGATAGAACTGAATTAGAGGGACACCCTGGTAGTAGGGACAATGGTCAGAGAAGTCATCCGCTGTGTTGATGATGGTTGTGGTATGAGAGCAGAGGGAAAACAGGGCTGAGTATTTACCCTAAATAGTGGTATACATTCAAATCCCTCAAGAGGCTAGGCACCATGACTCATGCCTGTCATTCCAGCACTTTGGGAGGCTGAGGCAGGAGAATCGCTTGAACCTGGGAGGTGGAAGTTGCAGTGAGCCGAGATTGCACCACGGCACTCCAGCCTGGGTGACAGAGTGAGACTGTCCCAAAAAAGAAAAAGCCCTACTGGCAAATTTTCAAGAGGTGACTTTATGTGGCTCTCTGGACACTTAGCTTAGTAGGGGATACGGAATCCATTTACACTGATAGAAGGAGCACCTGAGGCTGGGTGGTTCATAAATAAGAGAGGTAATAGGCTCACAATTCTACAAGCTGTACAAGCACGGCTCCAGCATTTGCTGGGCTTCTGGGAGGCCTCAGGAAGCTTACAGTCATGGCAGGAGGAGAGAGTACAAACACAGAAAGGAGGTGCCAGGGCCTTTTTAAACAACCTACTCTGATGTGAACTAATAGAGCAAGAATTCACTGTTCACCAAACGGAGGGCACTAGGGCCATCCATGAGGCATGCACTCCCACACATCCAAACTGTCAGGCAGCATGTGGCAGTCGCTGGGGCTCCCTTTCTTAATAAACGTTTTGACTCCTAGCTCCTTGAATGACAATTATTTGTCCTCCCTGGTGAGAGAAAGGGACTGGTTTTCCCTCTGGGCTGGGGGGCAGAGTGCCAGATGGCTGGGGCAGCTTACCACACTGCGGAGGAGGGGCCAGGGGCACAAAGCCCCGGGCACACAGGTGGATGTAGGCGGCCACCAGGTTGCAGGCAGGCTGGAGCTCCCGGGTGCCGCAGGCGTCCTGCACACACAGGCTGAGGAATGGTGTAGGGTCTACCTGAAATCAGAGGCACCCAGTCACTGTCCACACCCTGGGGAGTGGCAAGAAGGAAGGGCCTAGGCTAGATCAGGGAAAGGGCCTTCTGCACCCCATGGGCCAGGCTTACACTCACCACCCAGAAGCAGTTCCTCAAACTGGAGTGGGGGTCCTCGAAGAAGGCCCGGCAGGTGGGGCTCTGTTTCCGGCAGGCCTGCTGAGTCTTCTCAGTGGCCCTGCAGTCACCACCCACCTGGCAGGACAGACACAAGACTCAGGCCTCCTGCTGGACCATGTGGCTCCCCAACATACACTGGCCTCAGCAGGAGACTTCCCCCAACCCTGGGCCTACGAAGTCCTCTGCAGAGCCATCAGGCCGCCTGCCTCTCCCAGGACACTGCAGAGAGCAGCCCTCAAGAACCTCAGGTGCACCCACTCACCTGCCAGGCCAGGCTGAGCTCCTCCAGGCTGCGGGCCACAGAGCCGTCTGGCAACATCAGCTCATTGCCTGCTTCATTGTCATTGGTGCCTAGAAGACCAGCAGATATGCCTGTGGGGAGGAGGGAAGCTGAGGTGGCGGTAAGAGCCTGTGATCCTCCCGCAGCCACAGCCCTGCTGCCTTGGGACCTGTGTGTGAGATGAGCCGAGGCACACAAGAGCAGTAGAATCCCACCACCTCCACACTGGACTCCTGGAGCCCAGGCCCTGGCTCGAAACCCTCATCAGAGGAGGAAGAGAAAGCGCAGGGGCTCAGGACAGCATGTGTACACCCCTATCCCCTCCCCATGTCCTCAGCTCGAGTGGCTGAAATCCTTTGTGCTCCTTGGCAGAGGGGACACGGAAGGGCCAACTCCACACTGGAGCTGCGTGTCCCAGGGACGGGGCAGAAAGCTCTGGGCCTCTGTGCGGTCATCTGGATACGGGGTCAATAGCATAAGGCTAGACGAGTGAGGGCACACACGCTGCCATGCTAGAGACGAGGCTGGCAGAGGCTCTGCATGCACAGTTGCTGCCTGTCGCCCTGGAAGCTTAAACTGGTACATCCCAGAGAGACCTTTGTAGGTGGGGCCAACCTGCTGGGGCCCAGACCCACCATGGTGCCAGAGGCCCAGAGTCAGGCTGCAGAGGCCGGTGGGCACGTCACAGGAGACAGAGACCCCGTCCTCACTGGCCAGCTCAATCCTGGGGACGTTCCTCCTTGTCGTAGGATGCAGCTTGAGGTCCGGACAGCTCTCCCCCGGCACAGAGGAGTTGTACAGTCTGTAGGCCTGTGGGCCAGAGGGGACTGGGCAGGAAATCTGACCCACAGCCAGGTGACAAACTTGAAAGTACCATCCCCCTCAGGCGACCTGCCATGGGCACAGGTCTCCAGGGGAGGCTGCCGTGCCTCTCCAGCTCACCTGCAGACTGGGGTAGAAGACGAGGGTCATGTGGTTTAGCTCCATGGACAGGGCCGTGAGCCCCGAGCCTGTCCGACTCAGTGTCAGCGAAAATGTGTTGTGAGCAAAGTCCTGGGCCAGGAGGATGCTGCCGCACTGGGCGCTGAGGTCCCATACCTGGCCATCGAAGGTCACCACGTGCTGGGCCCCGGCTACCAGGGCATGATCTGGGGAGGAAAAGCCCAAAGGCAGTGTGAGTGAGGCCAGCTCCACTCACCCACTGCAGTGGGAGCCCAGTGCCTGCCAGGCACCCCGATACCTAGAGCCTTGGCTTAGCCTGCCCTGAGGCCAGGATTCCCCCTCCCCTGCTGGAGTCAGAGGTCCAGGGATTCCCCCACCGGCTTCAAGGTGGCTTAGAGCTGAAGGTCTACGGGCAATTCAGCCCTAAAGACGAATGGAGTCCTGAGACCCGCTACAAAAATACTGTGCTAAGTAAAAAAGCCTGGCTCAAATGCCACATAGGTTTTGCTTGTATTTACATAAAATGTCTAGAGCAGGCATAGCCATGGACACAGAAGGCAGATTGGTAGCTGCAGGGTTTCAGTTTAGGCTGATGCATGCACAACTCTGAATAAACTAGAAGCCACTGAATCGTACACTTAAAATTCACACATCGGCTAGGCACGGTGGTGCTAAGCCATCCCAGCACTTTGAGGGGCTGAGGCAGGAGGATCACTTGAGCCCAGAAGGTCCAGGCTACAGTGAGCTGAGATCGCGCCACTGCACTCTAGCCACAACAACAGAGTGAGACCTAGTCTCGAAAAAAAATTGCACAGATCATACAAGTCATCCATTTAATCTCAATGAAGCTGCTGCGGGTGGGAGAAAAAACACTGTCAGTGGATGACCAACGGGTACCCCAAACACGAGACTAGTATCCTGCAGACCTACCCTCTTCAGGGTAGGGAAGAGATGGCCTGAGAAGGTCTGACCGGCCCAGCCAGTGAGCTGTGGCTTGGATGGGGGTGCCCGTGCCCGTGGTCAGGAAGCACCATCTATGGTGCAAAGCCAGGCACCTGTTGGCAAGTCCCAGCATCCTGAGGGAGACACTACCAGCCCCATGGTCAGCTGTCAGAACTGAGGGGCACAGAGGAGCCCACAGTCACACACATGGAATTTGAAGACCAGGCTGTTTTCTACAACACCAATGCGCTGCTTAGACATGACTGCGCTCATGCTTCTTGGGAGCCCTGGGCCTTGGTGTGAGTCCCACACACATAAACCACTCCTTGCCAAGCCTAGGTACCCTGGTTCCCCCAAGGACATGAGGGGCTCCCCCTGCATCAAGAACAGTAGATGCCCATAACCCCTATGAGCGAGCCACGTTGTTACCTGCATCTCACAGTGGAGGAAACAGTGTCCCATAGAGGTTAGACTCGCCTGGCCACACAGCAAGCCTGAGCCACACACAGGCTCCCCAGGGGTCCAGAGCCAGGGCTGGTCCCAGCACAGCCCTTGGCTGCAGGTCACTTCTGACCAGCAAGTCTGAAGTCAGTCAGTTTTCTTCTAGCTGGAACTGGAGGGCTGCCCTCTTCTCCGGCAGCGCCCACAGCGAGGGAGCTGGCCTAAAGTCCTAAACTGCCCTCCTCACCCCTCTGCAGGGCCAGGCCTTATATTCTGGACAAAAGCAGGATGTGGAGCCTCAGCCCTAGTCCCATAGGACCTTGGGAAGTCCAGTAAGCTCTGGACCTGGTACTGTGATGCCACCAGCCTATGGAGGCTTCCCTGTGCCCACGGGGCAGGGGACTCCCCAGGGAGGAGGGCAGCACAGCCCAGGGCAGGACTTACACTCCCAGGGGCCCTCCAGCAGGCGGCGTCTGAGCCGGTAGTACTCGGCCAGCACGTTGGCCCCAGACAGCTCTCGGAGCGGCCGCAGCAGCTTCTCCACCAGGTAGCTGGTCACCTGGGCCACATCCAGGGGCTCGTCCCCCGCAGGCAGCAGTGGCAGTGTCACCACCACTGAGCGATTTCTGGAGGGAACGCAGAGGACAAGTCACTGTGCCTGCCCGAGCCTTGCTTCCCTTGGCTGCAGAGGGGAGCTCCCAGGTCCGCAGGAAGAGCTTTGCAGTGGAGAGCATGGGGGTGCCTCCCAGGGAGGGGCTGTGCTTGTCTTGGGAAATCCCATCATGAGGTGGAGGAGGACAGAGGCCAGTATGACAGCACAGGTGGTGGATGATGCGGGGGACAGAAACAAGCTGCCCCATTTTTGAGGACACAGATGTCCGATGCCATGGCTGCTCTGCCCCCTGGGTCTTGGGCAGCATGGGCTTATGTGTGGGGATACTGAGGGCAGGAGCTGGAAGGTCTAGGAAATTTTTGTTTTTTTTTAAGACAGAATCTCATTCTGTCACCCAGGCTGGAGTGTAGTGGCACGATCTTGACTCACTGCAACCTCTGCCTCCCGGGTTTAAGTGATTCTCCTGCCTCAGCCTCCCAAGTAGATGAGACTACAGGCACCCACCGCCACGCCCGGCTAATTTTTGTATTTTTAGTAGAGTTGGAGTTTCACCACATTGGCCAGGCTGGTCTTGAACTCCTGACCTCAAGTGATCTGCCCACCTCGACCTCCCAAAGTGCTAGGATTACAGGTGTGAGCCACTGTGCCTGGCCAACAGGTCTAGGAAATTTCTACAGTTAGGAGAGGACGGGAACTTTCTCAGGATCTAGAGTAGGGATCAAGCCTGTGAGATTTGGATGATCAGGGAGATCTCAGCTCACGTGGGGGTATACTGGGAATAGAAACATTGCATAGCCTGTTGCTGATGGGCCGGTGGAAGGGCGCAGGGGCAGGCAGCCTCATTTGCCTACTTCTAGGAAGCCCAGAGACTCTGCAGCTGGGGGCAGGAAATAGCCTCAGCCCCCTCCCTGCCACTTGAATCCATTTTCTGGCACCCCCACCTAGCAGTGACTGGATCCCACTCACCAGGTAGGTGAGCAACCAGGCAGGTCATTCTTCAGCCAAGCCACAGCCCCACCCTGGGAGCTCTTCCCTTCATCAGCCTCCATTCTGACGCAAGAGGGCAGGAGCAGCAATCTGTATTACATGGAGCCCCTTCCCCATGAGGTGGGTTTAGTCCCTATTTTATGGCTGGGGAAACAAGCACAGAGAGCTGATGCAGAAGAATCCTAATTAGAAGCAAAGCTGGATTCCAGATGCTCTACGAGGCCACCAGCATGGAAGAAGGGAGCTGCCTGCCTGCCTGGAGCCGGGTTCCTAGTGAGTCTCGTGCCTGTGAGGGGAAAGGATACTGGGTCCCCAGGTCCCTGCTCTAAACTGGGCTCCCCACATCTATCCACTACCCCTGTGTCCTCAACACGGGGGCCAAAGGGGTCTTTTAAAGTGAAAGGGTGATCACATCCTTCCTAGGTCAGAGCAGAAGCTAGAGACCACTCAAGCCTCCCCCAGAGTCTTGGGATCTCCCAGTCATATCCATTCTCCCTTGCAGGCATTCTGCTCCAGCCCTGCCAGCTTGATATTCAAATAGACCGGGCCAGGCCTGGTGGCTTATGCCTGTAATCCCAGCACTTTGAGAGGCCGAGTCACTTGAATCCGGGAATCTGAGACCAGCCTAATATGGTGAAACCCCGTCTCTACTAAAAATACAAAAATTAGCTGGGCATGGTGGCAAATGCTTGTAATCCCAGCTACTTGGGAGGCTAAGGCGGGAGAATGACTTGAACTTGGGAGGCAGAGATTGCAGTGAGCTGAGATCACACCATTGCACTCCAGCCTGGGCAACAGAGAACGAGACTCCATCTCAGAAACAGGCTGGCTGGGCGTGGTGGCTCACGCCTGTAATCCCAGCACTTTGGGAGGCCGAGGTGGGCAGATTATGAGGTCAGGAGATCGAGACCATCCTGGCTAACAAGGTGAAACGCTGTCTCTACTAAAAATACAAAAATTAGCCGGGCGTGGTGGTGGGGTGCCTGTAGTCCCAGCTACTTGGGAGGCTGAGGCAGGAGAATGGCGTGAACCTGGGAGGCAGAGCTTGCAGTGAGCTGAAATCACGCCACTGCACTCCAGCTTGGGTGATAGAGCGAGACTCTGTCTCAAAACAAAACAAAAAACAGGCCAGGCACATCCATCTCCCAGGCCTTTGTGCAGTGGTGACCCGCCCCCGGAGTGCTCTTCCCACGCTGGCCCTGTGGCTCTTGCTGAAACTCTACCTTTTCAAAGCCAGCCATGGCCACACCGTTTCTTAGGATCTGCCCCCCATCTCACCGATGTTCTTTCTCTAGCATTTGCCACCTGATGTATAGCTCAGGGGTGGTAAGTGGTGACCAGTGGGCCCCGGCCTGTGGCCGGCTTCTGCACGGCCCGCAAGTAAGAAGGGTTTTTATGTGCTTAAAAGATTAGTCCAAAACAGGCCAGGTGTGGTGGCTCATGCCTGTAATCCCAACATTTGGGAGGCCAAGGCAGGTGGATCACCTAAGGTCAGAAGTTTGAGACCAGCATGACCAACATGGCAAAACCCTGTCTTTACTTAAAATACAAAAAATTAGCTGGGTGTGATGGCACATGCACCTGTAGTCCCAGTGCCTGCTACTAGGGAGGCTGAGGCAGGAGAATGACTTGAACTCAGGAAGCAGAGGTTGCAGTGAGCCAAGATTGTGCCACTGTATCCCAGCCTGGACAACAAGAGCAAAACTCCATCTCAAAAAAAAAAGAATTTACAAAACAAAAAGCAAGGAAAAGTGATAGACCCGAATGGCCTGCTTAAGATGCGACTCTCAGGCCCTCTGCAGGGAACTGTGCAAGGCCTGGTGTAGATGACTTCCTTGTGCTTCGTGTCTGGGTAAAAGTGAGTTTCCTGAAGGCAGGGTTGGCCTCAGCCATTGTGCTCTCTGTAGCTCCTAAAATCCTGCCTGCCCTGGGCCGGTGCTCACAAGCTATCTATGGAGTGAGGAAGAAAGCCGAGCTTCCTCATCTGTAAAAGGAGGACGGAAGAAGCCTCTGGGCAGGGCGGTCACAGGAATCTGTGAGTGTAGAGTGTCAAAGCATTCAGCACTACACCTGGTATATGGCAGGGGCGCAGCATACGCCACTCTCAAAGCCCAAGTTACCTGGCCGAGAAGCTGTACAGGTCCAGTAGGGGTTTGCAGAGCCTCTTCAGTGCTCGTGAGAACGTGGCCTCAGCCCAGGACAGCATCTGGTGGGCGGCCTGGAGAGGGAGGGGACAGTGAGAGCTGGCTCAGGCGTCCTCACCTGCCAGCGTGCCCCATCCTTGCTCCCACTCACCAGCTCCAGGGTTCCTTTCACTGCCCCCAGGGCCACCCTGATGGGCCTTGGACCCCCATTGCCTGGCATCCCGGGCACCCAGGCCTGCAGCCACCGCATGGCCTCTTCTGCCCGCTCCCGCCACACCTCCTCCAGGGGCTGCAGTGTCACCTCCAGGTAGGCGTCCTTCAGTGTGGCCAGGGGCCCTGCAAGAGGCAGCCACCACCCACCGTGAGGCCTCAGGGCAGGTCAGAGAACCAGACAGCGCAGGCCTCGAGGGGATAGGGCCTGTTCCTAGGATGAAGTTAGGAGGAGCCGGGGGAACAGGAATAGAGCAGTGGGCACTGGAGATTGCAGGAGAGTTCTCACGGCAGGCCTGAGCCTTCTCTGCAAGGCCTGCTGATAAGGTTGTCTAGGAACTTGGATTGGGGGAGGGTTCCCACCAATCCTAGAGTTGATAGGAGGCTGCCTGCATCTGAACTGTTTGTACAACGTGGTTTATGCTGGACCCTGCTTGCCTCCTAGGAGTCTGCCAATTTGGTCCGTGCCAAGTAGCACCTGCCAGTGTGGCCACCCCCAGTAAAAACCCTGGGTGCTGAGTCTCCCAGGAGCTGCTCTGGTGATAGCTGGGACAGCTACATGCATCCTGTGTGAAGGTGCAGGACTGGGAGAGGACACTGGGCACTGGCCCTGGTTCTCCCTAGACTCCGCCCCAGCCCCCGTCCCTGTGTTGACCCTCCTGCATCCCCTCACTATAATAAAACACAGCCATGAATAGCACTGTGAGGAGTCCTGGGGCACTCCCAATTCACTGCCCTGGGGGCGGCCACAGGAACACTCTGGGACAGCAGGGAGGATGGGGAGGTAACATTCAACAGCCAGTCAGAGGGATGTCCACCCTGGCACTGGGCAGGGCCTTGGGGGCTCTGCTGTGCTGGGCATTAGCCTGGATGGCGGAAAGGCCAGAGGTTCCCAGTCCTGCCAGGAGGCCACTTGGAGCAGCAGCTGTGAGTCTTTAACAGCCACATGGCCACACTGAGCTCATCGTGGAACCAGAAAGATGCTGTGGCAGTGAGCTTCACAGAAACAAGGCCGTATACTCAAAGCAGGCGGTAGACTGAAAAACCTAGACAGCAGGCGTAAGGGATATGAGTTTGGAGACCCTGTAAGAATGACACAGCAGACCAAGAAAAAACGAAGACTGTAGAGCTGTAAGAAATAAGGCAGGGGGCTAAACACAGCTGGGCTGCAGGCCCACGGGAAGCGAGGCCACCTTTCTGACTGAAGCAGTGGCGCAGGCCAATGTGAGCGCATGGGGCCCTGGGCGGGGCATTAATTTCCACACGGGGTTGAGCCCTCCCCTCCCGCACTCACATTCCAGCTCATCCCGCAGCTGCTCCAGCCCCACCTGCAGCCACTCCAGGTAAAGAGGCAGGTGCTGGGTCAGTGCCTGGCTCCGGGCCCACAAAGTGTCTACCGCCCAACCACTGGCCTGCACAGCCTCCCGCCCCGCCTGGGACAGCTGCAGAAGGAGGCCTGCCACGCCATCCAGGGTGCCTGCCGGCTGCACCTGGGCAGGGAAACCGAGGCAGAATCAGGGTGAGGTCCAGGGCAGAGAGAGCCCCAGACCCTCCCGCCTGGTGAGTGGGTGCTACAAGCCAGGCCAGAGGGGGAGCTCTCCACCCTGGGCCCCCACCCTCCCCTCCTGTGCTACCCACCAATTGCTGGAACCTTCTCACAGAGGCACCCAAGCCTTGAATCTTCTCTTCCAGTTGGGCTTGCACTTGGGAGCCAACTGCTGTGATCCTAGACTGTGAGGACAGAGGAAGAGGCTGGGGCCTTGTAGGAATGAAGTAGACACAAGGTTCTTGGTGCCAGTGGCAGGTGTGGGCCTCACCATGGGGTCGTCTGCCCTGGTTTCTGGGCACTGCTGGACCCCAAGGGCTCAGGGCTCCTGGCACAGGGGCCTCTGCCCAGGGAGAGAATGGTAACCCCTTCCCTGTGTCCCAGCCCAGACCTTCTTACCTCCACATGGCCCAGCAGGGCCCCCTGACAGCCATGCGCAGCCAGCAGGAGGCTCTGGTTGGCAGCCTGCAGGGTCAGGCGTCCCAGCGGCTGGAAGGGCTGCCTGCCATCCCGGAACAGGACCTCCGCCTCAGCTGTCCGCCCACGGGCACATGCCCGCAGCACCACACTCTCCTCTCTGCCCCCTGGAGCCAGAAAGGGACCTGCTGGTGCCCCCACCATGTCTCTTGTGGCCTACTCCTCCTCCACCGCTTTCCGTAGCTCCCTACTGCCCCAGGCCAAGCCTCAAGGCCCTGGGATTTGAGAACCTTGAGCTGCACCAACTAAATCAACTTCCTGAGCGACCTGAAGCCCCCTCTTCTGTCTCCTTCCCCGACATGGCAGTCAGGGATGCCCTGAAGTCTTAAATTGGGTTTCCTGAGTTTTTTTTGAGACACCAAGGCAGGAGTACAGTGACAGGATCCCAGCTCACTCCCAGCAGCTGGGATAGGAACCCATCACCCCCACCCCACCCCACCAGGTTTTTGTTTTTGTTTGCTCTGTCGCCCAGGCTGGAGTGCAGTGCCACGCTCTCAATCTTGGCTCATTGCAAGCTCTGCCTCCTGGTTTCACGCCATTCTCCTGCCTCAGCCTCCCAAGTAGCTGGGACTACAGGCGCCACCACCACGCCCGGCTAGTTTTTTGTGTTTTTAGTAAAGACAGGGTTTCACCGTGTTAGCCAGGATGGTCTTGATCTCCTGACCTCGTGATCCTCCTGCCTTGGCCTCCTAAAGTGCTGGGATTACAGGCGTGAGCCACCGCGCCCGGCCGACCCCCCCACTTTTTTTTAAGTAGAGACAGGGTCTCACTGTGTTGCCCAGGCTGGTCCTGAATTCCTGAGCTCAAGCAATTCTCTCATCTCGGCCTCCCAAAGTCCTAGGATTACAGGTATGAGCCCCGCACCCAGCCCTGACTTCTGAGATCTTAATGCCCAGACCCCTGTCCTTTCTTGAGCCAACAGGGGCTGTAGCCCAGCTAGCTGAGCTGGGACCCAGCCACCACTCACCCTCCTCATGCGCCACAGAGGCCTGGAGACAGGTTGGGGCCCGGAACACAGACAATCTCACTTTCTCCTCTCTGTTGTCCACATTTCCCTCCAGTCGGACCAGGCTTTGAGAAGCCGAGGTGGAGACACGGCCCAGTAGGCCAACCCGCTGAGCCTTGGAGCCACGAAGCTGGGAGGGGTACAGCAGAGGCCTGAGTGCAGTCTGACCCAGGCCCTGTCCCTGGTCTCTCCCCTGCCCACTCCAAGCTCAGGAAGGGGCTGGCTAGGGAGGCTGTGGTTGGACCTGTAGGGAACTGAGGGAAGGCACAATACCCATGCTGGATCTCCAGGGTACCAGGTTCCCTAAGCCATATCCCTACCTAAGGCTCCCAGTGCCCCATTACAGAAAGCACTTATGAGTATACTCAGGGCCGGGCGCAAGGGCTCACTCCTGTAATCCCAGCACTTTAGGAGGCCAAAGTTGGTGGATCGCTTGAGCCCAGGCGTTTCAGACCAGCCTGGGCCACAAGGCAAAAACCCTGCCTCTACCAAAAATATACGACTCGGCCAGTCTCATAACAAATCATTTTTAAAATACCCATCTAGGAGCCCACCAACCCAGCAGCAGCCACCCACAGGGTGGCTGAGAGATGGCTGCTGCCCAGACCCTGCCCAGACACTCTGATTTAATTGGTTTTGGGGGGCCCTGGGCCCTGGCATTTCTAACATTCCCAGTGCCCTGGTGTTTCTGCTACAGCCCAGGCTTTCCGAGTTTGCATGGGAACCACTGCAAAGGTCTAAGCAAGTTCAAGGAGACGTGGGTACACCTGGCATAACACCCCAGGCACTGGGCAGTTTACCTAAATCCCTGCAGGCGCCCAACCTTGGGGGCATGGCAGGGACCAGGACAGGTGAGTCTAGAATGGGGTGGGAGAGAGGCTCAGAGGCCCCAAGAGAACACAAGCCTGGAGGAGGCCCTGCAGGGGAGGGAGCCTCAGCTACCCTGTATTCTAGTCCAGACACTGCAGCAAACAAGCTGTGCACCCTTCAGTAAGGGTGTCACCCTCCCTAGGCCTCAGCTCCAAGACCTGTAAAATGATACAGAACAATGGTTCACAAAACTTAGCAAGACTTAGAGCGTGTGTGTGCACATGTGTCTGTCATGGGTTGAATTTTCTTCCTCAGATATGTTGAAGTCCTAACCCTCTATACCCGTGAACGTGATGCTATTTGGAAATAGGTTTTTGCAAAAGTAATCAAGTTGAGGCCATAGTGGATGAAGGTAGGCCACACACCCAGTGAATGCTGTCCCTGTGAGAAGACCATGTGAAGATGCCACCCAGAAGGCAGAAGGCCACCATGTGGGACAGAGGCAGAGACTGGCGTGATGCCACCGCAGCCATGGGTGACACCAGAAGCTAGAGGTGCTATGGAAGGATCTTCCCTAGGACTTTGAGAGGCAGTGTGGCCCTGCTGACAACTTGCTTTTGGACTTCTGGCCTCTAGAACTGTGACACCATACCTGTCTGCTGCATTAAGCCTTCCAGTTGGTGGCCATTTAATACAGTAGCGCTAGGAATCGAATGCAGGGTGCTTACTAAACATGCAGAAGCAAGTCAATCTCTGAGGAGATCCAGGTTGGTAATAGGGCTACAACCCAGGACTCCTGTGGAATGTAACCGAGCACCCATGTGATCCTGCCAGGCAGGCTAGAGCAGGGCAGAGTCTGCAGACCACATGGAGTCGGCCCCGGACGGCTCCCAGCATCTGAGCTCAGCCCCGCTGGCTGTCACTCAAGAGCAAGTTCCACGCCTGCCTCTGTGCAGCCTTGGCAAGTGCCTGACCTCCCTGAATCCGTCCCTCATCTGTCCCAGGGCCGCCGAGTTGGGGTGAGGAACAAACAAGGCTGGGAAAGCCTTTTGACCACCCCACAGACCCCAGAATGGAGCAAGTGAGAAGGGGCCAGATCAGCGGTCCCAAATCAATCGGGCACAGGGAAGCAAGAGGACCGGCCACTTGCTGAGTGTCCGCCATGGGTTCACTCCCAGGGCTCCAGTTCCATTGGGCACGCGGCTTACAGAGACGGGGTCAGCCAGGGGCCTGGCTGGAAATGGGGAAGTGACAGTCAGTCCCGAAGAACAAGAACCTTGGAAGGAGAAGCTCCTTTGAAATGGCCATGGCTGCTGAACTCTCAACCCAGAAATGCCATCCTCATCCAGCTCAGATGCCGGGAAAGGAGGGAACTCCCGTCTCACAAGCACCTGCTATGTGCAGATGTTGTACAAATGTCTGTTTTCCTCTTAACGATTCTGCAAGGGAAATGGTGTTTGTTCCCATTTGACAGAGGGGAAGACTGAGGCTCAGCAAAGTCAAGTCACGAGGTCAAGTTCACCCAGCCAGGGAGACTAGGTGGATGGAAATGCTGACAGAGCACCTGCAATGTCATGTGCCTTGGCTATGCAGGTGGCAGGAACTGGTATCCAGACTCCTAAAACCCACCCTGTGAAATATCTGATTTCACCCTCCTACAGACGAAGAAACAGATGCTCAGAGAGGTTCCTTCCTGGGATCACGATCACCTGGCCAGGTTGGGGTAGAGTAGGCACTGGAGACCAACTCTGCCCCTTCCTACTTCCCAAAGCTACTGGGAGGCAGGCAGGGGAGAAGATGGTGCCAATAATGGCTAATAGCAAATACTTACGTTGTGGCTGTTTTCCCTCGGGCACTGCTCTAAGCGATCTATGCCTATGGATATATTTAATCCTTGCAATATTAACCCCATGGGAGATAGGGCCAGTGCAATTATTATACCCATTTCACAGGGGGAGGAAACTCAGGTACCAGGAGGCAGCTAGGCTAGGATTCAAACTTGGGCAGCCCAGCCTCTGCCTCTTTGTTATAGGAAGGGCCGGGTGTCACGACTGTGGAGAAGCTGCTTTGTCTCGGTGCCAGGGCCAGGCCTGGGATTCAGCAGGTGTTCCCCCTACCCAGAGTGAAGCTCTGGCCCCACCCAGAATGCTGGTCTGCGGTTCCTCAGATTGCCACTAGATGGCGGGGCCACCCAGGCAGTTGGGGGCCTCCTGGCCAGGAAGGAACGGGAGGGAAGCCGGGGCATCTTCCCCAGGGACTGTCAGCCCTGTCCTGGCCACCGACCTCCAGCGCCCCGGAGAAGTCAGTTGAATGAGGCCTGCTGTGGTTTCGGAGGGTCAGGCTGAGGTGCAGGCCATGGTCTGGGTCTGGTGCGAGGCCCAGGTGGCAGCGGGAACGCAGCAGGAGTCCACCCTGGCCCAGGACATGCTCCCCGGCGACCAAGAGGGCCTGGGACGAGAGAGTCTAGGTGTCAGGCAGGCACAGGGGCAGCAGCTTCCTCTCCCCCATCCCCTGCACCAGGAATGCAGCCGCAGCTGCCACCTCCCAGCCTCCACACCTGCCCCAGCTCACAGCTGACCTCTAAGAAACGCAAATCAGACGTTGTCCCCTGCACTGAGAACAGAGGCCAGGCTCTGGCATGGCCTGTGGCCTGCTTTACTGTCCCAACCTCACTTCCCTTGCTCCCTCTGTAAGGGCTTCCCCATGTTCCTCAAGGCAGAGTCCTGCCTCAGGCCCCTTCCCTCTGCAGGGCCCACACTCACCAGTGAGGCCCCTTTTGCAACACCCTGCCCCCCTCCCCACTTCGTTCCTGCACAGCATTTACCACACCCTGACCATAGACCATGCATCTCTAGTTCGTTGTATCTTCCTGGCCCCACTGGAACGTGCCACCCAGGAGGCCGGCACCTGGCCTGTCTCCTTCACTATCCAGTCCCTGCACCCAGAGCACAGCCTGGCATAGGTGAAACACACACATGTTTTCTGAATGAACAGAGGAAAAGATAAGGGGTGGGAAACTACGGTTTGGGGCTGAATCTGGCTCACTGCTCACTCTTGTAAATACTTTGAGACAGAGTTGTGCTGTGTCGCCAGGCTGGAGTACAATGGCGCAATCTCAGCTCACTGCAACCTCCGCCTCCCAAGTTCAAGCGATCCTCCTGCCTCAGCCTCCTGAGTAGCTGGGACTACAGGCATGTGCCACCACACCTGGCTCATTTTTTCTATTTTTAGTGGACATGGGGTTTCACCGTGTTAGCCAGGATGGTCTCCATTTCCTGACCTCGTGATCCACCCGCCTCAGCCTCCCAAAGTGGTGGAATTACAGGCATGAGCCATTGTGCCCAGACTGTAAATACTTTTACTGGGATATAGCCATATAGATTCATTTACATATCATCTATAGCTGCTTTCACAGGACAGTGGTAGAGTTGGTAGTTGCAACACAGACTGGATCGTTCATAAAGGCTAAAATATTTACTATCTGTCTCTTTACAGAAGAGTATGGGTCCTTGGGATGGAGGGATGAATGGATGGACAGACAGATGGACAGGCAGATGAATGGATGCGAGGGAGGGAGGGTGGGAGGATGAATTGATGGAGAGAGAGGGTACGTGGGAGGGCAGACATAGGGGGATGGATGGAAGATAGGAAAGAGGATGGAAGGATGTGTGAAGGAATGGATGGATGGTTGGTGGATGGAAGAACTAATCAACCCCAGGAGGGGCAAGGGGTTGAGGAGAAGGGGTCCCAACAACCTCCTCTGGGGCAATCATGACTACAGCAGCTCTAACTTATGTGCCCGGCACCAAGGCTGAGCATTCCTGCATCACGTCTCTCTTAACTCTCACCATCACTCTACATCCTGGACCCTGCTGCTCCTTCCATTCCTCAGATGAAACACCGGAGGCTCAGAGAGGAGATGCGCCCTGCCCAGTCACCCAGCCGGCAAATGGCAGAGCCACCATGCTGGCGTCTGGCTGCCTCACTCATACCCCTGCATTCTGTGGGCACCACCCTCCCTGCTGCCCCCTCACCACGGGTCCCTGGTCCTCCAGCTGTTCCTTTCTGCAGGGCAGACTTACCCTGGGCAGGTCACAGAGCCCCAGCTGGAGGGAGTGCCGCAGCCAGCGTGCATAGTCAGTCTGTACTTCTCCCCGGAAGCTCTGCCGGCTACAAGAGGCCCCGAGGACGTGCTCCAGGATGGCCTCCGCGATGATCCTGCCTGGCTGAGATGGCCGATGCCTCTGAAATGACAGGGCCCATAGGTCAGGGGCTCATGACCTAAGAGAATGCCCATGGCCAGCTGCAGGTGGAGACCCTCACCTAAGAGCATGTGCCAGGAATCCACCATTAGAGCCCTCATCAGCCACAGCACCCCCTTACACTCTGGGGTGGGATTTTTTCTTTTTTTTTTTAAACAGAGTTTCGCTCTGCTGCCCAGGCTGGAGTGCAGTGGCGCTATCTCGGCTCACTGCAACCTCTACCTCCCAGGTTCAAGTGATTCTCCCACCTCAGCCACCCAAATAGCTAGGATTACAGGTGCATGCCACTGTACCTGGCTAATTTTTTAATTTTTTAGTAGAGATGGGGTTTTGCCATGTTGGCCAGGCTGGTCTCAAACTCCTGACTTCAGGTGATCCCCCCACCTCAGCCTCCCAGAGTGCTGGGATTACAGGTGTGATTCACCACGCCCTGCCTGTGGCAGGATTTCTGCTGTGAGCACTTAGGGGGCCATGCCTAAGAGCCCCAGGAACCCAGATGGGAGGCCCAGAGGAGGAAGGGGGCTTCCAGGGCCAGCTCTCCCCATTTCTCCATGGCCTGGTTCCTGCCCCAGGCTCTGCAGAACAGTGCTCGGCCCCATGAGGCGCCCCATCAGGTAGTGATGCTGGAGGAGACCAGACCTGATGCCTTGGGGAACCTGAGCTCCTGATGTCCCTCCGCCCTGTCCTGAGAAACCCATTAGCATCCCGTCTCCTTTACTATCTCTTCCCTGCATCTCGTGCTGGGCCCCTTGCTTTTCTTCCAGGGTTTCCAGAGCCCTCACCACATCCCAGTTAGGAAGGGAACCATTTCACAGATGAAAAAACTAAGGCTCACAGCAGAGAAGTGAGTTGCCCAGGATCCTGCAAGCACTGGAACCCAGGACCACGTGGTCCCAGAGCTGGACATTCCTGCTGCAGGTGGAGCTACCTGGGGTTCCCTGCCTGGATGGACGCTGCTGCCCAGACCTCACCTCGTATGTCAAGTTCTGCCGCATGCGGTGTTGGCCCCAGGACAGGTCGAGCTGTTCAATGAACACAGCTGGGGTCTGCATTAAGGCCCCACAGGCCTGGAGGGTGTCCAGGCCCCAAGCTTCCTGGAGCTGATAGGGAACAGAAGAGGGTACATGACCTGGGGGGCCAGCCGAGAAGCCTGGAGCGAGGGGGAGCCCCACACTCGGTGCAGCGGTCAGGCCCCGCATACCTGCCCCGGGGAGGCGGCCAGGCAGCCGTCCCAGGCGGTGCTGTATGCTGAGGACCCGTCAGCCCAGGTGAGCTGCAGGGTCGCAGGCTGTCCTCTGTTCCAGGTGAGCTGCACCTGCGTTGGGATGGGAGAGCAGTGGTGGGGAAAGGGGGACACGTGGGGGAGAGGAGAGGCTAATGCCACCCCCACACCCCATCTCTGTTGGGAAATGAGAGGCTAGGGAGGATGGAGAAGCTGGTGCCCCTCCCCCAGATATCCCTAGAGGAACTAGGACGGAGGGTGGAGAGACTGCCCGGCCCCCATCTCTGGAAGAGTCCAGAACCATTCCCAGGCTGGAGATTGAAAAGACTCAGCATTTCCAGAGATAGAAAGCAATCACTCTCCTCAATGGGACCTCCAGGGCCAGCGTGATCTGTCTCTGCCCACCTGACCTCATCTCCCTGTCACCCATCCCCCCAGTCACTCTGCTCCCATCTTATTCCCCTTCCGGTCCTCCCTGAAGCACCCGGCTCGTTCCCACCACAGGGCCTTTGCATGGGCTTTTCCTGCCACCTGCAGTGCTGCTGCTCCAGCTTCTCTCAAGCCCAGCTCCTTTCCATCCCGGAGCCACCTCCCCAGTGAGGCCCCCACTGACCACCCACCTACAGTAGCTCCCCCACCCACCTGCCCAGTCACTCTCAATCTCACATCTTTTTTTTTTTTTTCTGAGACCGAGTCTCACTCTGTCACCCAGGCTGGAGTGCAGTGGCATGATCTTGGCTCCCTGCAACCTCTACCTCCGGGGCTCAAGTGATTCTCCCGTCTCAGCCTCCGAAGTAGCTGGGATTGCAGGCACACACCACCACACCCAGCTAATTTTTGTATTTTTAGTAGAGACAGGATTTCACCATGTTGGCCAGGCTGGTCTCGAATTCCTGGTCTCAAGTGATCCGCCCACCTCAGCCTCCCACAGTGCGGGGATTACAGGTGTGAGCCACCGTGCCGGGCTCCTCTTTACTACTTTATGGTGCTTATCACACATTCTGATTTTTAAATTCATTCCTTGGCTTGAATTCTGGAGAGCATCTTTTGCCTGCACGCAGCTGGCCTATTGTCCTCCCTTTCACAGATGGAAAAACCTGAGTCTCAGAGAGGCGACGGGAGACACCCAAGGCCACCCAGCCAGACGGGGAGCCCAGCTGCCTCACGCGGTCTCCAAAGCTACCCCTAAACAAGCAACTATAAATGATGAATCTGAGATGCCTGTACGTGTTTCCCACATTAAAATGTGAGCTGTCCTCAAACACTGCCTGGTATACAGTAGGTGCTTAATGAGGTATTGATAAAGGAACGATTGAATGATCCCAGAGATCCCCAGCCTTCAGGAAGCTGTAATTCTGGAGAAGTCCTTGTCACTGATGAACACACTATCTTCCTACCCAAGGTGCCCAGCCCCACAGGCTCAGCCACGTGGCTCCTACCTCCAGCCCTGGCCAAGGGCGCCTGGGACATCCTCACTCACCTGCCGGCTCTGCCTGCCACCCCTGCTCTCAGCAAGGCCACTGGCCTCGGCTTGCTGCCAAGAGAGGTTGAATGGGTGAGCCAGGGCCAGGCGGGCGGCCAGCTCACTCTTCCCCAGCCACAGGGAGGAGGAGACCAGCACCTAGGGAGGGAGACAGACTCAGCCAGTGGCCTTGCCCAGACAGGCCGCACCTCTTTCCCACCCGCACAGAACACCTTCTCCATAAAGGTCAAGGCTGCAAGGGCAGGTGGCTTTGATTACAAAGCATCCCTGTGCAAGGCCCTTGGAGAGCTCAGCCCATTTCACAGAGGAGGAAATCGAGGCTTGGAGAGGAGCAGATGGAGCGAACACAGGACAGAGATGGGACTGGAGGTCACGCTCCTCCTCCAGTGTCTTTCCCTGGCTCTGTGGCCGTGGGCGGGTCGCTGCACCTCTAAGTCCTTCAGTTTCGTCATCTGAACACGGGGCTATTAATAGCACTGAGCAGATGGGAGGCTGATGTGTGGGTTCACACACAGAACCTATCACAGGATAAGCATTCGGGGCCTGTTAGCCACTGTCATTGCCGTGGCTGTCAAGGTGTTGTGGGGACCCAGGTCTCCTGCTGCCCTCCCAGTGCCTTTCCCACAGTCCCTTTGGGATGTGGTGCAGCCTCATTGGCCCCAAATAAGGCTCCTCGGGCAGAGGAGGGCCCCCAGGACCCCGCTCAGCCTTCAGGGTGGAGTTCAGCTCTGCCCCAGGGTCACCTTCCAGCCCTGACACCTACCTGGTCCCTGCCATCCCAGCCGACAACCAGGCCATCCCGGTGGCTGCCTCCTGAATGCTCTGAGGACAGGTGGAGGCTGCAGTGTCGTGGCAGGGGGAGGGGCAGCGCGTGGGTGAGCTCCACTGGGTGGGTGAGGACACACACAAAGGGTAGGGCATGTAAGCTGAGGTCAGCAGCTCCAGCCCCAAGGGGGTGCAGGGGACTCAGCTGATGCCAATGCCAGCTCATGCAAATAGCCACTTGGGGGCCACACACCCTGATAATTTTCACAAAACTCAGAAGCTACACGCTCATTTTGTCAGCATTACCACTCGACACCCCGCACTGTCCCTGTGGGAGCCCTGTTACAATGAGACTCTGAGACTCCTCCAAGAGGTGGCGTCTGTCTCCCCAGCCCTTGGACCCGGGTTGGCCTCGTGACGTGCTAACAGAATTCAGTGAAGTTGACCAAGCACCAGTTCTAAGCCCAGGCCTTAAGAGGCCTCAGCCCACTTCCTCCCTTGAACCCATCCAGCCACATGAGAACAAACCCTGCTGGCCTGTGGGCTGGTGCCACCCGCGGTTGGGGAGAGCCTGGTTTCAGCTCAGGATGTCCTAGTGCAGCTGCCAGCCAGCAAGCCCCTAAGCAGGCAGGAGAGCCCAGCCAAGGCCAGCAGAGTCGCCCGCTTACCCTACAGCTGACCTTCAACATGAGGAAGACCAGAAAAGCTGCCCAGGTGACCCACAACCTCATGAGGAAGGAGCTACGCTTGCTTTATGCCGCTGAGTTTCAGAATACTTTGTTACCATCCTGAATCAGGAGCTGACGGGGCCAGCTGCAACCCCAACAGCCTGCATCCCTCCCAGGGGCCTCATATGCACAGGTGACCTGCCCCCCTCAGAAGCCCCACACCCCCATGCCACCATCTGCTGTCCTGTGGTGCTCTCCTTCTAGCTTGGGGTGTGACAGGTGGCACCCCATAGCTGAGTCCTTGCAACAGACGGCCTCCACACCCTGGGTTTTCTTCCTTTGTCCCCCAGGTGAGTCAAGCTGCCCTGACCTCCTGCATCACTTGAGCCCATCTCCTGAGGCCCCTGCGCAGCCCTGCTTTCCTGGACCCCACAGCAGGAGGCTGCCCGAGGCCCCTTTGCACTTTGGTGACCTCTAAGCTCTGTACAAAGGGCACCCACCTGTTCAGATGGGCTGCAGGAGCCGTGCCCAGAGACACTGGTACTGGCTGGTTCTCAGGGCATCACCCAGTCATTGGTTCTGGGGAAGCCGACCACATGCAGGGCTAGAACCTTTTGTTCCTGCCACCTGCTGACTCACGACCTGCAACACTGTGACCACAGTGTGGGGCTGCACGCTGTGTAGCTCACCAAGGGTGGCACAAATAAACACAGGCATGCACACACGTGCATGTATGCACACACACATGTACACGTGCACATATACACACATGAGCACACATACATGCATGCACTCTGCCTTGGCATGTTGGGGACCTGCTCACTTTCTCTGCCTTCCAGGGCACACATGTGTCAAACATGACACTGGGAGGATTCTATCAGGCCACCTGGCAAGCCATGCCTCCAGGCTCAGGTCTGTACTCTGTCTCCACACCTGGCAGGTCATGGGTCGGACTCTGATCTGTGCTCCGGGGGTTCCTCGCACAGAAACTGAGTCTTGTGGCTGCACAGACCATGAGTTACAGCCCCTTCCAGGTGTCTCTGGAGGACCCTGGGACTCATGGCTGCCGTCGTTGGCGATATCCCGGCACTCACCTCCCCTGGCACCAGAACTGCCCAGGGATGCCACCCCTTCCATGCCCTGGCCCCTTCTCCCTGCCCGGATGCACTCAGGATGAGCCCCAGCTCCTCTCTGTGAGCTGAGACCCTGCATGACCTGGGTCCCCCAGCCCTCCTGCCTTACCTCATCCTTTCTCCCCATTCCAGCTATGCTAGCCTCGCTGCTGCTGCTCCACATGCAAAACTCATTTCCACGCAGGACCTTCTGCCTGAAGTGCCTCTGCTCAGATCTGCCCCTCAGTCAGCTCCTTCTCATCCTTCAGACCTCAGTTCAGAAGTCACCTCCTCCAAGAGGCCTTCCCAGACCACCCCACCTAAAGGAGGCCCACACCCCACAAAGACCCTGCTTGCTCTCACAGCCTTTTCCATTCGTGGAAATGGTCAGTTTGATGTTATTTTGCTTATGTGCATCTTGTTGCTCAATGCCTGTCTCCCAGAGGGGTGGCACCTAGGCCATCTTGCTTCCTGATGGACCCCTGGTGCCTAGAATCATACCTGGGATATGCAGGTGCTCACTCATGGCTTTTTTGACACTGAGTGTCACTCTGTTGCCCAGGCTGGAGCGCAGTGGCTCAGTCTTGGCTCTCTGCAACCTCTGCCTCCCAGGTTCAAGCAATTCTCCTGCCTCAGCCTCCAAAGTAGCGGGGATTACAGGCGCCCGGCACCATGCCCGGCTAATTTTTGTATTTTTAGTAAAGACGGGGTTTCACCATGTTGGTCAGGCTGGTCTCAAACTCCTGACCTCAAGTGATCCACCCACCTCGGCCTCCCAAAGTGCCAGGATTACAGGCATGAGCCACCACACCTGGCCATGAATGATTTCTTGAGTGACTGGGCCACCACTGCCTGCAGCCCCTCACACACTCACCCTGCATGCTGAGGTTCCTGGTGGGCTTGGGGAAAGGGCCAGAGAGGCTCCCGGCGAGGGCCACCTCCTGGCCATCCCACAGCACCACCTGGCGCAGGACACGGGTCCCATGAGCTCGCTCGTATGTGGTCTGCAGGACCAGCTCCCCGGGAAGGGCGCTGAGCTGGAAGAGAATGATGGCGTCATGGGGGAACCTGACCTACGCTTCTGCCTGGAATGGGAAAGGAGAGAAGCTTGCAGACGAGGAAAACGGGAGTATTTGTGGATCATTTACAGTTTCCTGCATATGCCAGGGGATCAAAAACCCAAATGCTTCCTAAGGATGAGCAGATAACATAACGGAGGGGAGTGGGTGAGGCGGGTATGGCCAACAGGAGACAGCACAGAACAGCCACCTCTCAACTCCATGACCAAGCTGTGTGGCTCTGGGCAAGTTTTCCAACCTCTCTGAGCCTCAGTTTCCCAGAAAATGGAGGCAAGAAAGTGTCAACCTCTGCAAGATAATACAAGTGGCGCACCCAGCCCAGGGCTAGACAGTGCAGAGGAGCTTGTAGGAGGCACGCAGTTGGTATTGGGGTTTCTCTATCATGTAGCGAGCAGGTATTATGTTCCCAACCCACTGATGAGTGCTGGGTACAAAGCTAGCCAAGACCTGGTCCCGGCCCTCAAGGGGCTCCCAGGGAGATAGTCACAGGACAGGAAATGATGGGACAAGTTGACAAGGATGGTCACAAGAGACATTCAAAGCAAAAAGGAACACAATGAAGCAAGCTTGGGGAGGAGGCAGGGAAGAGCATTCCAGGCAGATGGAAGAGTCTGTGCGAAGGCTCAGAGACGAATGCCATCCCTGCTGGTGGGTGCCACCGAGGGTGACTTGAGGGTACTGCAGGGGGACTGCTGGGGTGGTGTAGGAAGTTTGCTCTTAAATGTCTCCAAAATCCATCACTACCGCCCCTAGCTTGGACCACACATTATTATTGCGGTGCCCATTATGGGGCTTCCTCACTGCTCACTTCTGCCACCTGTAGGTCCCTCCCCACACAGCAGCCACAGGGATCTGAAATCATCATTTAGGGATCATGGCCTCAAAGGCTTCTAGTAGCAGACAGAATGCACTACAAACACCTCCCTGTGGCCTGACATACCCTGTGTGATCAGACCACCTCCTACCATTCCCCACCCACCCAGCTCCAGCCCAGTGGCTCCTTGGCCATTACTAAAACATGCAAACCCATCCCTGCCCCAGGCCCTTTGCATGTCTTGTTTCCTCTGCCTGGAATACTCTTTTTAAAAAATGTGTTTTAGATTCAGGAGATCAGTGTGCATGTTTGTTACATAGGTATATTGTGTAATGGTGGAGACTGGGCTTCTAGCGTACCCGTCGTAGCCGTCACCCAAATATTGAACATCATACCCAGCAGGTAATTTTTCAGCCCTTGGCTCCCTCTTACCCTCCTCCCTTTTGGAGGCCTTAGTGTTTATTGTTTCCATCTTCATGTCCATGTGTATTCAGTGTTTAGCTCCCACTTATAAGTGAGAACATGGGATATTGGGTTTTCTGTTTCTGAGCTAGTTCACTTCGGATAATTGCATCCCTGCTGCTTCAAAGTACAGAATTTCATTCTTTTTTCACGGCTGTGTAGTATTCCATGGTGTATATATACCACAGTCTCTTTACCTGCCTCGAATGCCCGCCCCTCAGAGATTTCTTTTTTTTTCTTTTCTTCTTTTTGAGATGGAGTTTCACTCCTGTTGCCCAGCCCGGAGTGCAATGGTGCAATCTCGGCTCACTGCAACCTCCACATCCTGGGTTCAAGCAATTCTCCTGCCTCAGCCTCCAAAGTAGCTGGGATTATAGGCATGTGCCACCATACCTGGCTAATTTTGTATTTTTAGTAGAGACGGGGTTTCACCATGTTGGCCATGCTGGTCTCGAATTCCTGACCTCAGGTCATCCACCCGCCTCGGCCTCCCAAAGTGATGGGATTACAGGTGTGAGGCACCGTGCCTGGCCTTCCCCCAGATTTTCAAATGACTGGTGCTTATCATCCACTGCTAGCTCATGTGTCATCTCTTCAGTGAAGCCTTTCTTGGCCACCTAATCTAAATAAGCTCCCTGGTCACTCTCAGTCACTTCACTATGTTTTCTCCATGTGATACTACTATTTGGCATATTTCGTTTGTGTGATTTCAGGGAGTCAATCTCCCCCGCTAGAGTGGACACTTGATGAGAGGAAGGATTGATCGTTCTGTTTTAGGTCACACCCCAGCTTCTGAAATAGTGCCTGGCACCTAGTAGATGCTCAATAAATCATGCAAAAGCAAGGATGGATGGATATAGAGACCAGCTGATAATCCATTCCAGCAAATTTTGTCCATTTCACAGCCTTGCCTGTCCTTCCTCCCAGGAACCAGGACACTAGGACAATTTCTCTTTTCTCAAAGGGCTGTCCCAGAAGCCCCCCATCCCCCAGCGTGCTCCAGCCCCGGGCTGACCTTCACACACCTGCAGGAAGGTCTGTTCCAGTTTGATGAAGTTGGTAAGACTGGCCTTAGCAGCTATCTGCTGGGTGCTGATGTGAAAATGATGCTCCTCCACACCCAAGGCGAACATGCTCTGAACTTCACCCTTGGAGTAGCGTAGCTGGGTCAGGAAAAAAACAAAAAAACACGATACAGCTCCTTATCAGGGCTCTGATGGAACATTCCAGCAGATGCTGGCTCTAGGCTGAGAGCTCTACCTCCCAAAGTCCCAGGCCCAAGAGACCCACAGCTCCCTGGGCTGGATGAACTTTGATGATGTCAGGGTTTGAAGCCTCAGGTTAGGCCATCAAGTGTGTCCATGGCAACTATATCCTTATGCCCTCCCCACTATAACACTGACTTGAAAATATCTACCAGCCTGGCACCAGCAGGCAAGAATTCTAGTTGTAGTACTGTTGCAGACAGCAGGGGGCAGTCTAGCAGAAATAACTATACTTGGGCATGTGTCAGCATCAAACACAACAGAACTCCAAGTGTGGATCTACCACCGAGAGGTGAGTGATCTCCAGCTAGTTTCTTAACCACTCGAGCCTTCTAATCCAAAAACACGGATAAGGACACCTATTTTATTATGGGTTGTTGTGAAAATTGTATGAAATGCTAACTTCCAGGTTGGCTGAAAAGCACTGGTGGGGGGGAACTTACTAAAAATATAGATTCTGGGCTCCCACTTAAAACCTACAAAAATGGAGTCTCTGGGAAGATGTTCAAGAGGTGTTTTGTTTTTGTTTTTGTTTTTTTTTTTTAGAAGGTGTTTTGCTCTGTTACCCAGACTGGAGTGCAGTGGCACAATCTCGGCTCACTGCAACCTCTGCCTCCCAGGTTCAAGTGATTCTTCTGCCTCAGCCTCCTGAGTAGCTAAGACTACAGGTGTGCACCACCACGCCCAGCTAATTTTTGTATTTTTAGTAGAGACGGGATTTCACCATGTTGGCCAGGCTGGTCTCAAACTCCTGACCTCAGGTGACCCACCCACCTCAACCTCCCAAAGTGCTAGGATTACAGATGTGACGCACTGCACCCATCCAAGAGCTGGTATTTTTAACGATCTCACGAAATGCATCATGACATTAGGGATACCCCGTGTCAAAAATGTTCAACTTGAATCTTCAACAAACAATCTGACAAATCCACATTAGGAGGATGTTTTGCAAAATAACTTCCTGGACACTTCAAAATTGCCAATGTAGGACTTTTTTTTACAACAGGGACAGGGTCTGCTCTGTCATCCAGGCTAGAGTGTACAGTAGTGTGAACACGGCACACTGCAGCCTCAACCTCCTGGGCTCAAGCAATTCTCCCATACCTCGGCCTCCGGGTAGCTGAGATTCAGGTACACACCACCATGCCTGGCTACTTCTTTAATTTTTTGTAGAGACGGGGTCTCCCTAGGTTGCAGGTTGTTTTGAACTCCTGAACTCTACTAATTCTCCTGCCTCGGCCTCCCAAAGTGTTGGGATTACAAGTGTGAGCCACTGCATCCGGTTGGGGTTTTTTTTTTAAGGTGGTTAATGACAATAAAATGTTTAGGGGGAATTATATCTGCAACTTACTTTGAAATGTATCCAAAAATAAGATGGATAGATGAAGAGCTATGTGATTATGTGAAATAAAATGTGAACAGGAAAATCTAGGTATGTGGGTATTCACCACAAAATTACTTCAATTCTTTAGCATCTAAAAAATTATATAATAAAACATTGGAGGGCCGGATGCAGTGACTCATGCCTGTAATCCCAGCACTTTGCGAGGCCGAGGTGGGCGGATCATTTGAGGTCAGGAGTTCAAGACCAGCCTGGCCAACATGGTAAAACCCCATCTCTATTAAAAATACAAAAATTATTCAGGCATGGTAGTGCAGCCTGTAATCTCAGCTACTCAGGAGGCTGAGGCAAGAGAATTGCTTAAACCCAGGGGGCAGAGGTTGCAGTGAGCTGAGATCATGCCACTGCACTCCAGCCTGGGTGACAGAGCAAAACTTCTTCTCAAAAAAAGTAAAAAAATAAAAATAAAAATAAAAAAATAAAACATTGGGTAAGGAAAGGTAGGGTGTAGAAGGAGAATGTTCTAGATCAGGAGTTGCTGTTTGGGTCAAATTTGGCCCACAACCTGATTTTATAAATAAAGTTTTATTGTAACAGCCACGTCTATTCACCTACATATCCTCTATAGCTGCTTTTCTGTTACAGTGACAATTGTGAGTAGTTGTAACAGGGACCGAAAGGCCTGCAACCCCCACACATTTTACTTCACAATACAAGTTTGTAGACCTCTGTTCTAGATTAAGAAAATTTAAAAAACATGGCAACTACGCATGCTGTGTGATCTTGGCCTGCATCCCGGATTTAAAACAAAACAAAACAGTTTTTTGAAAGAACATTAGTGGGAAAGCTGGGAAATTGTATATGGGCTGTACATTAAATGAAGGTATTACTTCAACGTTCAGTTTCCTGAATGTTGTAATTATTGTGTTAAATCAAAAAATATCCTTGTTACAGGAAATAGTTGAAGTATTTCAGAATAAAAAGGTGATGCCTTCAGAAACATCTCTATATTAATTCTTAACGACACAGAAAAAATATGTATCTGACGATACAAATTTATGTAACATAGATAAGAAATATGGAAAGATATTAACAACTGGTCAATGTTCACTGTCCTACAGTAACTTTTATATAGGTTGAAATGACTCAAAATAAAACTTGGGAAAAAATTAAGAACCTCCCAGAATGGAGCCGGGTGTGGTGGTACCACCTGTAGTCCCAGCTGCTCCAGAGGCTGAAGCAGGAGGATCACTTGCACCCAGGAGCCTGAGGCTGCAGTGAGCTATGATCATGTCACCACACTCCAGCCTGGGTAACAGAGCAAGACCCTGTCTCAGAAAGAAGTTTTAAAAATAAAAAATAAGGCTGGGCGTGGTGGCTCATGCCTGTAATTCCAACATTTGGGAGGCTGAGATGGGTGGATCGTTTGAGGTCAGGAGTTTGCGACCAGCCTGGATATCACAGTGAAAACCTGTCTCTACCAAAAATATAAAAATTAGCCAGGCGTGGTGGTGCACGCCTGTAATTCCAGCTACTCAGGAGGCTGGGGCAGGAGAATCACTTGAACCAGGGAGGTGGAGGTTGCAGTGAGCCGAAATTGTGCCACTGCACTCCAGCTTGGGTGACAGAGACTTTGTCGAGAGAAAGAGAGAGAGAGAAAAGCAAGAAATAAAAGAAAGAAAAGCAAGAAAAGAAAGAAAGGAAAGAGAGAGAGAGAGAGAGAGAGAGAAAGAGAAAGTTCCCTGAATGATTATGCAGTTGTAGTGAAGTTTGAGGAACTCCAAAATCCTGTGTAAATGCAGCAGGGGACCCAGCACGCAGCACGTGCTCTGTAAACAAAGGCGGCCTGGGCCAGGGCGGGGAGAGCCTACCAAAACAGGGTGGCTGGTAGCAAAATGAAGTGACCAGTTGGCAGATGTGACCATTCATGCATGCACTCACCTATTCATGCCCTATTTTTTACTGAACACCTACTGTGTGCTGGGCCCTGTGCCAGGCACTAGGCATGCCCTCCAGGAGCTCCACATTTGGGCACAGACGACAGCTCAGGGGGACAGAGGAACCTGGCCTAAGTCTACTGGGCCCTCCTGTCCACTCCTATGACCCCCCCTGCAGTCCTGCATGCAGGGCAGAGATGGGGGTGATACTGGCGCAGCTCCAAAGGGTTGTATCATCTGCTCCCGCCTCTACAAGTGTGCCAGGCTGGGTAAGGCAATGCTAGGCGCCAGGCACTGGGTAAGGAGGCCTTCCCCATCTCCCGAAGGGCTCTGGGGGCCACGGGGGCTGGCCCAGGAATGTAAACCTGCGTGTGTTTGGGAAAGCTGGAGCCAGGGGTTTCCGAGGGTTGCCCACCGGAGCCTGCTGCACGCTGGCGAACAGATGTGCATGCGTTAACACTCCCCAGAGGGGCCTGGCTCCCTCCCACCTCGGGCTGGGCATCTGGAACCAGTTAGGAGCCAGGCACTGGGGCACAGTTACCTTAGCTGAGGCTGAGGCTGAGCTGGGGCAGCGACCCAGGAGGGAGGGGAGGCGATGCTGGCCTGAGAACAGCAGCTCTTTGCTAGAAGGAAAAAAGAGAAGGCCTGAAGCTGGCGAGATGGCGCCTTGTCCAGCGCCCCTAGGGCCAGGTCGAGACCAAGTCGACTTCCCCAAGAGAGGGTCAGAGAGCCAGGATCACATCAGTGGCCTCATGCAAGGCTATTCACACACCCCAAGGTCCAAGGGCCATACGGTGCCCTGGTTAGGGCTGGACTCTGGAGCCAAGTTACCTGGATTTGATTCCCGGCTTGGCCTCTGCCTAGCTCTGGCACCAGGGGCAAGCTTCTTGGTTGCCCCTCTCTGAGCCTCAGTTTCCCCATTGGTATCAAGGGTTAAGCATGGCTCTGGGCTTCAAGTCTTCCATGAGCCCAGCAGTGAGCTTTCTTGGGTCGATCCCTTGGGAGCTCCAGTAGGGTGTGGACAACAGGACTTTAACCCCCTGGCTCCCTCCCAGGGATCCTCCTCACGTAGCACCCCTCCCCTCACTCCTCCAGGCCAGGGTGGTTATGGTCTGCACGTTTTTCTTTCTTTCTTTTTTTCTTCACTAGAGACAGGGTCTTTCTCTGTCAGCCAGGCCGGAGTGCAGTGGTGCCATCTCTGCTCACTGCAGCCTTGATCTCCCAGACTCAAGTGATCCTCCCGCCTCAGCATCCTGAGCAGTTGGGACTACAAGCATGCGTCACCATGCCAGGCTAATTTTTAAGATTTTTTTGTAGGCTGGATGCAGTGGCTCACACCTGTAATCCCAGCACTTTGGGAAGCCGAGGTGGGCAGATCACGAGGTCAGATCGAAACCATCCTGGCTAACATGGTGAAATCCCATCTCTACTAAAAATACAAAAAATTAGCCAGGCATGGTGGCAGGCACCTGTAGTCCCAGCTACTGGGGAGGCTGAGGCAGAAGAATGGCATGAACCCAGGAGGCGGAGCTTGCAGTGAGCCGAAATCACGCCACTGCACTCCAGCCTGGGGGACAGAGCAAGACTCCGATTCCAAAAAAAAAAAAAAAAAAAGATTTTTTGTAGCAATGGGGATCTCACTATATTGTCCAGGCTGGCCTCGAGCTCCTGGGCTTAAGCAATCCTCCCACCTCGACCTCCCGAAGCACTGGGATTACAGGTGTGAGCCACTGTGCCAGGCCTGTCTCCCATGGTGCTAACTCCAGGGTGCTGTACCCTCCTGTCAGGTTCCTCTCCACCTCCACGTCTCAGCCTTGGCACGGTTGGCATCTTGGCTCATGGACTTCACAGTTGTGGGTGTGTCCTGAGCACTGTAAGACGCTTAGCAGCATCTGTGGCCTCTATACACTGACCCTCATAGTGTCATCCTCCCCAGTGTAGCAACCAGAAATTCCCCAGGCTTTGCTGAAAGTCCCTGGGGGGAAACTCGCCCCTAGGTGAGAACCACTGATCTACCCCTTCAACAAGTGGCTTACTCACCCCCTCCCTCACTGCTGAGACCCGAGCGCTAGAGCCTGGCTGGTGGCCCCTGACTTAGTGCACACATAGGAGCACCAAGCACCTCACCAGGCCCCCAGCCCTAAGGGCACTAATAGTTACTAATAAGTGTTTGGGGCCTGGGATGCACTTCGTTTCTGAGGCCAAGAATTCATCAGTGCCCTGCCTGGAGAGGCTGAGCGATTTTTACAGCTGTGTGACCTTGGAAAAGTTGCTTGGCCTCTCTGAGCCTTCCTACCACATATTTATGCAGTGGGGCTGAGCAGAGGATTGAGAGGGGCTGTGTCCAGCGATGGTGCACAGTAGATGCCCAGCCAATGGTTCCTCCCCCGACTCCTCTCCTCCTGGAGGCCCCCATCACCTGATTGCCTGGTTCTGGCCACGGACGTCAAGGACCAAGGTGGCCTGAGAATCACAGGTCAGCTGCAGCGAGGAGCTCATCTCTTCTGCCTCCCAGAGTCCTCGGAACACGAGCTGAGGAGGGAGCAGGCTGTGAGATGTGCGGGTGTAGACAGCCTGAGGAGCCTCACAGGCCTGGTGGGGACCCCAGCCAAGCTCTACAGCCCAGCATGTCCCTGTTCCCATCCCCAGCATGGCCTGGGACCCACAGAAGCCCCGCAGGCTTGGCTCATCCAACACTCTCATAGATGCTGAGGATGCAGGGCGGGGGTCGGCCCCGATTGCAGCTGAGGTTGGCAGTACCCACCGAGGGACCCCAAAGGACAGCTGCAGCCCAGACATTGGCAGAGCATGTGCTCCCTGGAGGACTCCGTGTCACCTGACCTCGAGGCCACGAAAGGGTTTAGATGAAGTCAGGGGCACGGGGTATCCAGTCCACTCAGCTGTGGGGTACCGGGCAGAGATCCTTTGCAGGAGGGGTGACAGCCTGGCCCCCTGACCCGCCGGGAGCTGCCCCTCCTCCCACAGCAGAGTGGAGTGGGGCAGGGGTTGCTGGGTAACCTGAAACAGGCTGGGAAAGAAGCATTAATGCCTGGCTCTGGAATACGCTCTGTGTTGGAGAAGGAGGCCCAGCTAGGCAGGACGAGCTCATACCAAGTGATAGTGGTCAGGGCATGGCCCCATGTGGGTTCCTCTTCACCGAGACAGGACACCAAGAGGAAGAGCCAGGGTGCCAAGTCTGAGTCCCTATTTTGCTGCTTACTTGCTAGGTGACCTTGGGCAAGTCGCCCACACTCTCACATGTGACCCAAAGATGATGATGATAATCGTCATTGTCACACCATCAGCATCATCTTCCCCTTCATCACAGCAGGTACTTCTTAAGCATCTACACAGACATTAATGGGATTAACTCACTGGATCCTCACAACCTCCACATTATAGGTAATATCATCGTCCCCATTTTGCAGATGAGGAGATCAGGGCACAGACAGGTGAAGGAGTTTGCCCAAGGCCACACAGCCAGCAAGCAGCAGGGCTGGGATCTGAACACCGGAGAGGGCCTTCGCAAGGACGGTACCATCCTGCCTCTCTCTGGGGCATTAGAAGGATGAGACTAACGAACGCCCATCAACCCTTTAAAGGGGGCTGGGCACGGGGCAGGCGCTTGACAAGCAGGAGCTTTGATTCTGACCCAAGCCTGCAGGGCAGGATGCAGGCCAGGAGCCAGGAGAGGCCCCGGGCACCCACCCACACCAGCCCTGTGATTGGGAACGCAGAGACTGCTCAGCAGACCTGATTATAGTGATTATGAAGGAAGCCTTTGTAAACTGTAAAGTACTGGGGAAACCCAAAGCCTGGCCCTCCCCACCCACCCTGCACACAGCGGGTCCTCTGCACACCAGGAATTGGACAGAGGGGACAGAATTTGGAGGGACGTCCTGCCCCACCCACTCCTTACCTGGTTGCTGAAGGGCAGGCCCAGCCTCTGGAGAGCAGGCACTGCATGGCTGGCATTGGCCACCAGCTGCAGTGGGCCATATAGTGGCCAAGCCACCAGGGCTGCCAGGTCCATGCTGACTCCACTGTCCCCGCCATGGAAGGCTACCATGGCCTGGGTCTGGGTCTCTAGAGGCAGAGAATGTCATGGGTTACTGAAGACAGGTTCACTTCCCTTCCCCGTCCAGGAACACACCAGACTGCAGGAGAGGCCATGCCCTGTGGCCCTCAAACACAACACCAGCAGGAAAGGGCAAGGCTGCCACAGCGTGGGGGCTGGGTGGGGTCAACCATTTTGAGCCTCCTTGACATCACCTATCATAATGTGTCCCTGAGGATCTAGGTCTGGGTGGCTCCTTCTCTCATTGAAGTTGAAGGTGCTTAAATGACACCTCCTCCAAGAAGCCTCCCCTGACTGCCCATCTGAAGTCCCTCCCGATCCTTTGCTGCCAGGCATCCTCCATCCCATCTCCCTGGAGTGTGGTTCCCAGCACAACCTGAAATGACCTCACTCACTTACTTATTGGGTCCCTGCTCCCCATACTCTCACCCCACCAGAAGCTCAGTCCCTGGGGGCGGGGTTTCTCTTAGGACAGCTCCTGACACACAGCGGGGGTGCAGCGAGTGCTTTCTGAATGACTGCGGGATGAAAGGCTTCTCTGCAGGGATTCCTGAGGATTTTCCAGTAGCCTACAGAGGAATCAGCCTGAGGTCTGCTCTCCACAAATGGCCACTGCGGCCACTGACTTCCATCTGCATCCACCCGGCCCTGGCTGCAGGGTCCCGTCCCTCCCATCACCCCCTGCAGAACGGGAGATTCTGGCTCACAGGTAGGAATTTCTTCTTTAACTTAAATTCCCTTTGCTACACAGAGAAATCCATCAGGTCCGGGAGTCCCAGAGCAAACAGATGGCACCTACCCTACGTCAGACGCCAGGTTCCCATGGGGTGCAGCTCACCACTTGGGCTCAGGCCCAAGTGACACTCAGCCAGGCTCCAGCACCTCCCATCTGGCCAGCAGGGTGGACGAGCTCCACAGCTCTGAGCCTCACCTTCCTTATCTATGAGGTGGGCACAGCCCGCCCGCCTCAGGGGACAGTGTCCAGAGTGAATGGGGTAACACACGGGAGAGGACCACGTATGGGACATGTAGAAGGCCTCAGGAAAGGCTTCCTTCCTTCCTCGTTCAACATTCAACCCCATGTACCACTATGTGCAGGGCATGAGGAGAGGGGACACAATCCCCACGCCCGGGAGCACCGGGCTGTCAGAGACACCAGGAACGTTAACGACAGGCAGAAAGCGTCCCGAGAGGTGGCGACAGCAGACTGTGGACAACAGTGGGAGAAGGGAGAGGTCACTCCTGGCTAGGGGCCGCCATACCAGGCATCCTGGGTCGGAAACTAGAGTGGCGTGGAGGTAGTCACCCAGAATGACCTCCCCTCACTTGGCTATCATGTCCCTAACGAACCGTGACGTCATCTCAGGCTGGGGACAATTTCCCCATGTGATCCTGTCCTCTGTTCACCCCTCAGGAGGCTGAGGGCCAAAAATAAAGTGTTTTTTGTTTGTTTGTTTGTTTTTTTGACACGAAGTTTCACTCTGTGGCTCAGGCTGGAGTGCAGTGGCGTGATCTCAGCTCACTGCAACCTCCGCCTCCCAGGTTCAAGTGATTCTTGTGCCTCAGCCTCCTGAGTAGCTGGGACTACAGGCATGCACCACCATGCCCAGCTAATTTTTTCTTTTCTTCTTCTTTTTTTTTTTTTTTTTGTAGAGACAGGGTTTCACCTTGTTGGCCAGGCTAGTCTCGAAATCCTGACCTCAAATGATCCACCAACCTTGGCCTCCCAAAGTGCTAGGATTATAGGTGTGAGCCATCACACCTGGACCCCAAAATAAAAAAGTTTGAGGCCAACATAAGATGCCCCAGGGGACTGGGGAGTCCCAGGGGTCCTGAATGGTTAAGAGTCACGTCTCCATAATCTATATGGGGGTCAGAGGGTGTCTCTGGGTTCAATCTTCCCTCTGTCATTATCAGCTGTGTGACCTGGGCCAGGTGACTCAACCTCTCTGAGCCTCCATTCCTCATCTGCAGAATGGGAATGACATTCCTAACCCTACCTCATAGGCTCGTTCACGCACCCATTTAATACCTACTACGTACCCTGCAACAAAGCAGACAAAAGTCATCCCTGCCCTCGCAGAGCACACATTCTGGTGATTCTAGCATAGAAAGAATGAGAAACAAAGGCATTTGTATGCTACACATATGTCAAATGACAGAGCTGGGGAGAGGGATGGGAGGAGATGGGAGGGGATGGGAGGGGATGGGAGGGGAGGGAGGGATGGGAGGGGATGGGAGGGGATGGGAGGGGATGGGAGGGGATGGGAGGGGATGGGAGGGGATGGGAGGGGATGGGAGGGAGGAGGGGATGGGAGGGGATGGGAGGGGGAGGGGAGGGAGATGGGAGGGGATGGGAGGGGATGGGAGGGGATGGGAGGGGATGGGAGGGGATGGGAGGGGATGGGAGGGGATGGGAGGAGATGGGAGGTAGAAAAGAGAGGCCTCCCTGAGATGCCACTGGAAAAATACCTAAGGGAGGTGAGGAAGCCAGGCAGGCGTGTGCGAGAGAGGTATTCGAGGCAGCAGGACCAGCCTGTGCCAAGGTCCTGGGGCCACAGCAAGCCTGGCGTGTTGAAGAACAGCGAGCAGTGGAATAAGTAGGGCTGGGGCTTGGGAGATGAAGACAGAGAGGGGAAGGGTGTGGATTGTGATGGCTCACAGGCCCCTCTAAGAGCTTTGACTTTCCCCCTGTGTGATTGGGACGGCTGTACTGTATTGAGCTGTCGTGTGTACACAGCTTGCCTGGCATGTATGCAGTAAGTGCTCAGCCAATGCTGGCTCCCCTTGTTGCTTTTATCTTCCCACCATAATGGGTTGAACCGTGTCCCCAAAAAAGAGATATTGAAGTCCCACCCACCCCCCTCACCCTCTGTCCTGTGATTATGACTTTATTTTAAAACAAGGTCTTTACAGATGTACTTAAGTAAAAATAAGGTCATATCTAAATCGGACAGGCCCTCCATCCACTGTGGATTGTTTTTGCTTTTATTTTGAGACAGGGTCTCATTCTGTCACCCAGGCTGGAGTGCAGTGTTGCAATCATAGCTCGCTGCACCCTCAACCTTCTGGCTCAAGCGATCCCCTGCCTCAGCCTCCCGAGTAGCTGGGACCACACACCGATGCCACCACACCTAGCTAAGATTTCTATGTTTTAAGCCAACCGGCGTGTGGAAAACTAATCCGCCTGTCTCGGGAATTAGGTCATTGATGGGCAAGGCTGTCCTGGTTGTCCTAGAGCCCAGAGCCACACTGGGCTTGATGGGGGTGCCACCTGGGTCCAGGCCTGAGGCTGCTGGGCTGGCCCAGGCATCGAGGAATTCAGCTCCCCAGTCCCAGGGCTGTGCGCTGGGTGCCTCACCGTGTATCTGCAGCACAGCGCTCAGGCAGGCCTCGCCTGGGAACCCTGCCCACAACAAGGCCTCACTGTTGTGCCAGCTCCGGCCGGAGAGCTCCAGGTGCCCATCACGGTAACAGCAGCTCATGGAGTAGTTGAGGAACGTGGGCCCCATCACGACGCGTCCAGAATGCTCAAAGCCGGAGCTGCCGTTGTGAATGTCCACAGAGACCTGGAACGACACCGAGGAGATGCTGGACCGCCCTGTGCAGAGAGAGCCAGCCCGGGTCAAGCTGGCACTGGCTCCCACAAACCCTGGGGTTATCAGTGCCATTCACGTCACTGTGGTGGGAGGAACTCAAACCCTCTTGCAGGAGATTTGATGACCAACATGGTTACTCCAGCTAATTACACATGCACCCAGGAGACCACAGAGAAAACCCGCAGAAACCAATCAGGAAGCGGGGCAGGCAGGGGAGAGTAGGCCTGGGGAGGATGGCTGGAGAAAGGCTTTGGGAAGACCAAGATCTCCTGGCTGGTGCGAAACAGGTTGCAAACCACAGCCTACATCTGTTCTTCTAAACAAAGTCATTGGAACACAGCCCTGCCTGTTTGTCGGAGGCATTTGAACCAGAGCAACTCCATCTTGAATAGACGCTGTGTAAAATAAGGCTGAGACCTATCCGGCTGCATTACCAGGAGGTTAAGCATTCTAAGTCACAGGACGACATAGGAGGTCAGCACAAGATACAGGTCATAAAGACCTTGCTGATAAAACAGGTTGCAGTAAAGAAGCCGGCTAAATCCCACCAAACCAAGATGGAGATGAGAGTGACCTCTGGTAGTCCTCACTGCTACACTCCCACCAGCGCCATGACAATTTACAGATATCATAGCAATGTCGGGAAGTTACCCTATATGGTCTAAAAACGGGAGGCATGAATAATCCACCTCTTATTTAGCATATCATCAAGAAATAGCCATAAAAATGGGCAACCAGCAGCCCTGAATTGTTTCTTGGCCAAGATCCAAGAACCCTCCCTTGGGGTCTGGATTGAGACTCCGTTCCGGTAACATGTTCACGTCCTATTCCCGTGACTGCTTTCACAACACAACAGCAGCGGAATGGAGGCGCTGCGGCAGAGAATGCAGGGCCACAGAGCCTAGGACGTTTACCATCTGGCCCTTGATGGAAAAAGTTTCTCAAACTTTGCTGTGAGATGTAATTCCCTCCCATGCCACCCACAATTGTCTCGGTAAAACCTTCAGCGAGGCCAGGCGCACTGGTTCACGCCTGTAATCTCAGCACCTTGGGAGGCCAAGGCCGGTGGATAACTTGAGGTTAGGAGTTTCAGACTGTCCTGGCCAACATGGCAAAACCCCATTTCTACTAAAAATACAAAAATTAGCCAGGTGTGGTAGCAGTTATCTATAATCCCAGTTACTCAGGAGGCTGAGGTGGGAGACTCTCTTGAACCCGGTGGGCGGAGGTTGCAGTGGGTTGAGATCACGTGACTGCACTCCAACCTGAGCGAAAGAGCGAAACTCCATCTCAAAAAACAAAAACCTTCAGTGAAATCTCCACCACCTTTTCCACCACTATCAAAGGAGCTACCCAGGCATGAAGGAGCAGGGATGAATGAGGGAGGTGGAGAGGACACCTTGGGCCCCTGTGACCCAAAGAATGAGCTGCTGCCCAGCCGTGACTGCATCACCTGGGCTGAGAAATGCAGGTTCTCAGGGCCCACTCCAGACCTGCTGAATCAAGCCTGCATTTTAATGCCCTCCCCGGTTATGCCTGTGTACTGGGTGTGCGGGAAGCCCCACTTTAGGCAGAAGGCTGCATCTGCCGTGGGACCCCACAGGAGGTCCAGGTCTGCTGGGCTCTGATCATGCGCCACCCACCCTCTGGCATGACAGCCCAGGACTCAGGGCTGGACTTATCATAAGTTTCAGGGGCTCTGTACTGCTGGCCAGCTCTGCAAGACTGTCCCCATCTACCCTGGGCCACACCCAGGACTGCCTGCTAGGCCTCTGCTGGTGTCACCGCTGACCTTGATGGCACCAAGGAGACTCAGTGTGAGAGCAGAGAGGCCAGGGCTGAGCTCTCTGTCACTATCCACGGAGCGCTTCTCTGCATCCCAGCCCCAGTGGGCAGAGCTGGGGAAACTGAGACCTGAGCCCTTATCACCACGTAGCTGGCTCCCTGGACTTTCCCCCCAGGACAGGGCGTTCCCAGGGTCCAGCCAACACTAGACCAGGGGTTGCAAGTTAGTGGCCCTTGAGCTGATAAGTTTTATGTGGTCACTCACTCTGATATTTTTTGTGGTGTTGTTTGTGAGACGGAGTCTTGCTCTGCCACCCAGGCTGGAGTGCAATGGCGCAATCCTGGCTCACTCTAATCTCCGCCTCTTGGGTTCAAACAATTCTCCTGCCTCAGCCTCCCAAGTAGCTGGGACTACAGGCACACACCACCATGCCCAGCTAATGTTTTTGTATTTTTAGTAGAGACAGGGTTTCCCCATGTTGGCCAGGCTGGTCTCGAACTCCTGACCTCAAGTGATCCACCTGCCTTGGCCTCCCAAAGTGTTGGGATACACGACATCATGTATAATTCTGTTTGTATGAAATTTCCAAAATAGACGAATGCATAGGGACGGAAGGCAGATTCGTGGTTGCTGGGGACCAGGGAGGAGGGGATAGGAGGGACTACTGATGGATATGGGGTTTCCACTGGGGTGATGAAAAGTTCTAGAACTTGCAAGCACCGATGATTGTAGAATAGTGTGAACGAACATAGCGTCCCCGAGTTGTATACTTTAAAACAATTTTACATTATTACACACATTTTACTACAAGAAATGTGAAAAGATACATATGATGTGGAGGGTCTGAGACGTGGCACACACTCTGTAGTTCCCCACACAGCTCAGTGACACATTTCAGTTCTCCGCCTGGCCCCCAAAGGCTCTCAGTTTGCAACCCCTGCATCCAACTCACGCAGGTTTATCATTGAAACAGCAGGAGCAGGCCAGGTGCAGTGGCCCACGCCTGTCATCCCAGCACTTTGGGAGGTTGAGGCAGGTGGATCACTTGAGGTCAGGAGTTCAAGACCAGCCTGGCCAACATGGTGAAACCTCTCTATTAAAAATACAAAAATTTAGCTGGGCGTGGTGGTAGACGCCTGTAATCCCAGCTACCTGGCAGGCTGAGGCAGGAGACACTTGAACCTGGTAGGCAGAGGTTGCAGTAAGCTGAGGTCATGCCACTACACTCAAGCCTGCGCAACTGAGCAAAACTCCATCTCGGGAAAGGAGAGGGGAGGAGGGGGTAGGGGGGGAGAGGTTTAAGACCCTGTCTTAAACCTGGGGATACTACCAGGCACGAAATAGAAATGCCTGAGCCCATGACGCTTAGGTGGCAGTGGTGGGAGGCAGACAGGACAAGGAGAAAGGCATTGTGCTTCCTGCCTGCTCCCTCAGCAGAGAGAGCTTGAAGCCACCTGAGCTGAGCCGCACGCCAGCCCTGAGCTCCACGGTCCACTTGTCTCATGATGCTAGGATATGCCCACCACCAGTCCAGCTGTCCACTAACCCAGCTGCCCATAACAGAGGTGGGCTTGCAACCCTTGGGGCCTGGTTGACGTCTACCTGTGTTTGCAGATGGGACCACGCGAAGACCCTCAGGTTGAGCTGATGCCCCTAGGAACTGGTAGTCCAGCTGCATGTCACCAGGGATGTGGGGGGTCTTGAAGGAGGGGGACCATGTGAGTATCTCCTGGCAGTGACCTCAGCCCCGGGCCACACCACAGGCAGCCCCTGTGATCAGACTGTGCCAGCCCCGCTGAGGGGGTCCACTATGGACCACAACCATCCCGCCCAGGACAGAGACCCCATACCTCGAGAGACTGCCCAGCCATGTCTCCTCCGCACCATCCTAACAGCTGGGTGGGCGAGGCGTCTCCACTGCAGTTGACCTACAGAGACCAGTGGGTGGGAAGGGGCTGGCTTCTTTCCCAACCCCACAGTGAACTGTCGTGGGTGCCAAGATCCCACTTGAGCCTACCCTATGGGGAAGCCACCGAGGGCAAACAACCCGAAAGAGAGGTTTGCACAGAGACTTGAGGGCGAAGCCACAGCCTCATCATCAGATGAAAGTAAGCAGAGCTCCCCCCATGCAGGGCCTCTGCGCCAGGCACGGTGCTCACTGAACCTCAGGGTAACCATGGAAGGAGGTGGCAGATGAGGAAACTGCGTCACCCGAGTCAGGGAAAGAGGAAGCATCTAGCGTGTGGTCACGTAGTCAGCGATGGTGCAGCCTGGCTTCAGCCCAGGAGCCCTGGTCACTTACATTCCCTCTCCCACCATGGACGCTTTAGCCACCCTCAGGGACAGGCACCGAGGTGGTCTGCTGCTTTTCGTTTATGAGAACAATGAAGAAGACAGCTGCGGGTGCGGGGCTTCTCCAGGGTGGGGGCCCCAGGGAGGAACTGAGGGACCAGGGCCTCCATCGTCTTCATTCTACCAGGCAGGGCCTGGTGCAGGCTGAAGCCTGGCCCACATGGGCACCCGACCCACTCACCTCCAGCTGGGAGGGCAGAGTGCCCTGCAGCCCCGAGAGGCCGTGGTGCAGCCCCAGCACCAGCCCCTGGCGGCCGTCCTCTGCCTTCCTCTCCAAGGCTGCGTGGAGCTGCTCACCATCCAACTTTACCATCAGCCCGGCCGCCAGACTGTGTCCCGCACTCTGGGCAGAAGCAAAGCTGTTGGGTGTCCCTGGGACCCAGTGTCCCCTGGGAGGGCCCGGGTGCAGCCCCCTCCTCACTCACCTGGAAGTGCCCGTGGCCGTCTATGGAGAAGGGGAGGCCCCAGTGCTTGAGGCTGGGCATGGTGTGGGTGTGGTGGAGGCTGGCATGGAGCTGGTGGCCTAGGGACTCGGGGGTCAGGTCCTCCAGGCCAAGGGCAGCGTCTAGCTGACCCCCCGCGTTCCGCAGCGCCAGGCGTGCTGAGCAGTTGGAAGCCATGTGGGTGACAGACAGGAGCACCCCTGCCTCGGAGGGGAGTCCTGGAGGAAGAGGCCAGAGGGCAGGAGTGGGCAGAGCCCCAGAGGCCACTCAGACCAGTCCACCACATTTAGTCACGACGGAAACATGACAGGGGCCTGGCCAGCACACCTGCTCCCTAGAGGATCCCCTGAGCTCCACAGCTCCAGGTCCTACTGCCCCCAATACACCAGGTTAAACCATCTGAAACTGTCCACATCTCACAGAAATGGTGATTTCATCTGGTTCAACCTCACAGCACAACTGCCACATGCAGGCGGTGATAAGACCCATGTCCCCTACAAGATTTCTAGCTCCCCAAGGAAAGAGCCCAAATCTCAGAGGGAAACGGGTCTGATCATGTGTCCTCCCCTCGCTGCTGTACCTGGGGGCCCCTCCAGGCCTAGTGGGAACATCTGGGAGCTCGAGCAGGGGCTGCTGGGATTATTTCATACTGTGGTCCCAGGGGGCATCCTTTGGGTCCTGGCTAGGCCAGGTATCCACGCTGCATGAGCTGTCCCAGGGAATGGGGGGTGGGAGGCCTGGAGGGGGCTGGTGGCAGGGGCTGTCACCATCTGATTTGAAGCATGTCAATATGGTAACAACTGGTACCCTGAACCTTAATCACAGCCCAGGGAAGGAGATGCAGGAGTGCTGGGGAAGGCAGCAGGGGAAAGAAATGAAGGTGGAATGTGAATCAAGGTTGGAGGCTCATTTATCCCCTCCCTTGACTCCAGGACTTAGGAGTCTTGGAGGAAGAAGCTGTTCTGCCTGGACCACTCGTCCTACCTGCATCACTCGGCGTGCTGATATTGTGTGTCAGGCCAACCACAAGCTGGCCGTGCCCGGGGCCCCAGGAGCAGGCGCCACCCAGAGCCAGGCTGGCCGCATGGGCCCGGATGCTGGCCTGGGCCCTCAGGTTCCTCGTCTGGGCCTGCAGCCGGCCCTTCAGCTGGAGCTCTCCAGGCAAGGCCTGGCTGCCGTTCTGGGCAAGGACACAGGTCACGCTGCGCACGCTGGTGCCGTTCCCTGCCTTCTCATGCTTGTCCCGCAGGAGGAAGCCCAGCACAGCTGAGTCAGCAGTGACCCTGAGGGTGCCTGCAGAGGATGGCGGAGAAGAACAGAGCAGGGGTGGCTCAGGGAAACGAGCCGTTCTGGAGAGGGAAAATAATTTGGGAGCAGGAAGTCGCTAGATTCACGATGTCACACTTGTAACTCATGTCAGAAATGGTACATTTGTGAAATCCATCAGAGTACACTAGCTCCCTCCCAGGACACTCTGAAAATCAAGTCAGCTAATTCACAAAATAATTCAGAAAATCTGAATAGCTCTCTATTTATATAAGGCTATACATTTATATAGCTCTGTATGTTTTTCAAAAAACGCTCCAGACGTCTTTGCTGGTAGAGGCGATCAGACATTTAGGGAACATCGCCACCAATCTCACACAAACTCCTTTAGAAAAGAGAAGAGAATACCCGACTTGGTTTATGAAAGTGGCATAAACCTCATCCCAAACGTGACAAGAGCTTTGTGAAAAAAGGAAACTTACAGCCCAATAGTGCTATGAACACAGACACCAACTTTTTTTTTTTTTTTTTTTTTTTTTTTTTTTTGAGATGGAGTCTCGCTCTGTCGCCCAGGCTGGAGTCCAGTGGTGCGACCTCGGCTCACTGCAACCTCCGCCTCCTGGGTTCCCACCATTCTCCTGCCTCAGCCTTCCAAGTAGCTGGGACTGCAGGTGCCTGCCACCATGCCTGGCTAATTTTTTTGCATTTTAAGTAGAGATGGGGTTTCACCGTGGTAGCCAGGATGGTCTCCATCTCCTGACCTTGTGATCCACCCACCTTGGCCTCCCAAAGTGCTGGGATTACAGGCGTGAGCCATTGTGCCCGGCCAACACCAACTTTCTTAACAAAGTATTAGGAAACCAAGTTCAATTACGTATAGAAGGAAAGAAAAATACATATGAAAAAATGCAGGGAATCCCACTAAAGCAAGGTCGGTTTCACACTGAAGACCAATTTAATTCAGTCTATTAAGAAAATTAAGGTGGAAAACCATATGAATATGTACTAGATTCAGAAAAGGCATTTGATTACATTCAACATCCATTCTTAAGAATAAAATCTGGCCAGGCACGGTGGCTCATGCCTGTAATCCCAGCACTGTGTGAGGCTGAGGCAGCCAGATCATTTGAGGTCAGGAGTTCGAGACCAGCCTGGCCAGCAAGGTGAAACCCTGTCTCTAGTAAGAATATAAAAATTAGCCGGGTGTGGTGGCGTATGCCTGTAATCCTAGCTACTCGGGAGGCTAAAGCAGGAGAATTGCTTGAAACTGGGAGGCGGAGGTTGCAGGTTGCAATGAGCAGAGATTGCACCACTGCACTCCAGCCTGGGAGACAGAGCAAGACTCTGCCTCTAAAAAACAAACAAACAAAAAAAAACTCTGCAAAACTAATACCAAATGTTAAAATTATTTGTGGAAATTTTGAATGTTTTCTTTGTAAGATTGGGAACAGGTAAGAATTTTTGCTCTTAGCATTTTTATTCAATATTATACTGTATTTCTTTGCCAAGGCAATAAGAAAAAAAAAATCTAAATGGCATAAAAAATATCAGGCCAGGCTGGGCACAGTGGCTCAAGCCTGTAATCCCAGCACTTTGGGAGGTTGAGGTAGGAGGAATTGTCTAAGCTCAGGCATTCCAGACCAGCCTGGGCAACAAAGGGAGATCCTGCCTCTAAAAAAAAAAAAGTATCTGGGCATGGTGGCATGTACCTGTAGTCCCAGCTACTTGGGAGGCTAAGGCAGGAGGATTGCTTGAGCCCAGGAGTTTGAGGCTGCTGTGAGCCATGATCATCCCACTGCACTTCAGTCTGGGCGAGAGAACAAGACCTCATTTCAAAAAAAAAAAAAAAAAAAATCAAAACAGAAGAAAATATTCTATTCCAGAATATATAAAGGGTATCTACAACTCAATGAAAGACAAACAATTTAATAAATGGGCAAAAAAATTAATGTGACCTGTCTCAACTCTCTCAAAGGAAGCTACATGAACAAATAACACACAGGAATAAGTGCTCAGCCAGGCGCAGTGGTTAACACCTGTAATCTCAGCACTTTGGGAGGCCTAGGTGGGCAGGTCACCTGAGGTCAGGGGTTCAAGACCAGCCTGACCAACATAAAGAAACCCTGTCTCTACTAATAATACAAAAAAATTTAGCCAGGCATGGTGGCACATGCCTGTAATCCCAGCTACTCGGGAGGCTGAGGCACAAGAACCTCTTGGACCCAGGAGGCAGAGGTTGAGGTGAGCTGAGATGTCACCATTGCACTCCTGCCTAGGCAACAAGAGTGAAACTCCATCTCAAAAAAAAAAAAAAGTGCTCAACATCATTCATCAACAGGGAAATGCAAATTAAAGCCACAAGGGGAAACCACTAGACACTAAAATGATTATTTTCTTGAGACAGGGTCTCACTGTTGCCCAGGCTAGAATGCAGTGGTGTAATCATGGCTCACTGCAACCTCAACCTCCCAGGCTCAAGCAATCTTCCCACTCCAGCCCCCACGTAGCTGGGACTACAGACATGCACCACCATGTCCAGCTAATTTAAAAAATTTTTGTAGCGACAGAGTCTCCCTCTGTTGCCCAGGCTGGTCTGAAACTCCCAGCCTGAAGCAATCTGCCCTCCTCGGCCTCCCAAAGTGCTGGGATTATAGGTGGAAACCACTGCTCCCAGCTGAGATGTGTACATTTCATTGTCTGTAAATTTTACATCAGAGGAAGGAAGAAAGGGAGGGAGACTAAGAGCAGGGAGAATTGTAAGCAAATTTTGAGCTTTAGTTCATGATGTGTATGATAATCCATTTAGTAAGTAAGGTGTTCTGATGTCTACAACTCACTCTGAAAAGCATCAAAAATAACACAGATGGATGTGTTACAGGAAAGGGGTCTGGATCCAGACCCCAAGAGAGGCTTCTTGGATCTCCTGCAAGAAGGAATTCAGGGTGAGTCCACGGTGCAAAGCAAAAGCAAGTTTTTAAAAAAGGATAGGACTAAAGAATGGCTTATTAAAAAAGGAAAGGAATAAAAAATGGCTACTCCAGGTACAGCAGCCCTGAGGGCTGCTGGTTGCCCATTATTACGGTTATTTCTTGATTATATGCTAAACTAGGGGTAGATTATTAATGCCTCCCCTAAAAAAAAAAAATTAGTTCCTGTAATCCCAGCTACTCCAGAGGCTGAGGCAGCAGAATTGCTTGAACCTGGGAGGTGGAGGTTGCAGTGAGCTGAGATTGCTCCATTGCACTCCAGCCTGGGGGACAAGAGCAAAACTCCATCTCAAAAAAGAAAAAAAAGAATTACGTCTGCAACCTGGGAAAACACAATTCAGGAATAAAATAATACATTAAATATATGTACATATAGAGAGAATATGAATATTAGAATGATAAAGGAAATGTAAAATGTTAGTAGCTGGTTAATCTGGACAAAGGGCCTGTGGGATTCTTTGCACTGTTCTTGCAACTTTTCTACAAGTCTGGTGTTATGTCAAAATAAAAGGTATTCCAAAAAATATGCCTGTGAAACCCTGTACCCAACTCTTCCTTCTGGAGATACACAATGTCCATTAGCATGTTAAAGGCTCTGACAAGTCCTGCATAAGGAAACCTATTCAGTTTTTAGTGAGTAGATTTTTGTCAGAATGTATATTTCTCACAAAGGGGAATCATCCATACCCCTTTATCTAAACCTATGGATATGCCAGTGTGAGATGCTGGAGTTGGAGCATCACTGGACTTGGGTGGAACTGAATCTACCTTGCAGTTCCATAGAAAGTGCTTGCCCCGCCCCCATGGCGTTCCCCAGGCCCTCACCCTCTTGAAGTCTCTCCTTCTGCTTCAGCCTTCCTGTGAGTGTCAGGAGGCGGGGCATCGCTGCCCAGCCAGCCACCGTGTGCCAGGTTTGGCTCTGTAAGGTCAGGACCCGGCCTCCCCTCCGTTCCTCAGATGCCTTGAGGAGCAGCTGTGCTGTGTTCTGGTCCAGCAGTGCCTTGGAAAACAGCCAAATCCTAGGCAGTGAAGTGAAGGGGTTAAGATCTTGGGCTTTGCAGTCAGGCAAATCTGGGTTCCAATCTCAATGCTGCTACTCACTAACGGGATGACCTGGGAGAAGGACACAACCTCTCTAAGCATCACTTTCTCCTTCTGCAAAGTGGGGAAAAAAGTGGAGAAACTGATACTTAGCTTTTTTTTTTTTTTTTTTTTTGGGAGACAGGGTGACTCTGTCACCCAGGCTGGAGTACAGTAGAGTGATCTCAGCTCACTGCAACCTCCACCTCCTGGGCTCAAGCGATTCTCCTGTCTCTGCCTCCCGAGTAGCTGGGATTACAGGGACCTGCCACAACAGCTAAGTTTTCTATTTGTAGTAGCGATGGGGTTTCACCACATTGCCCAGGCTGGTCTTGAACTCCTGACCTCAGATGATCTGCCCGCCTCAGCCTCCCAAAGTGCTGGGATTACAGGCATGAGCCGCTGTGCCTGACCTTGAAATGATACTGATATTGATACTGACAGGTACTCACCCAGGTGTGATACACTGTGTTTGCACCTATGGCCGGCTCTTCCCACACACTCTCCTGCAAGGTGACTTTGCCACTCCTGCATTAACATGTGAGATCTATTTCCTCTCCCTCTGAATCAGGGCTGTCCTTGTGACCTGCGTTTTGGTCAATAGAATGTGGCAGAAGTGACACTGCAGAACTTTCAAGGTTGGGCACTAAGATCTGCAACTTTCACCTTCTCACATGAATGCTCCCTCTTGGAACCCAGCCACCTGGTAAGAAGTCTGACCAGCCTGAGATCGCCATGATGTGAGGAAGCCCAAGCAGCCACTTGAAAAGAGAGGGGGGTGTTGCACATGGAAGAACACCGAGGTGCCAGACGTGTGAAGGAAGACTTCCTAGACTTCCCAGTCCACCTCCGTCCTCAGCCCATGCACACACCTGTCTGGGAACTGACTCAGCTGAAGGCTGATGTTAGCCAAGAGTCCCAGAGAATGACCCCTGCCAAAGTCACACAGAGCAGAACTGCCTAAGCCTTGTGTAAGTTCCTGACCCACAGAATCATGAGCAAACAAAATGGTTGTTCTTTAATCTCTATGCTTTGGGGTAGCTTGTTATGCAGCAACATCTAACCAACATACTCTGACATGCACACTATGCACTTTAGACACATTGTCTGACTCCTTACAAAAGCCCTGTGAGTTTTGAGAATATTATGATCCCCAATATACAGATGAGGAAATAGGTAGAGAGAGACTAATGAGCTCAAAGCTCAAATAGGCAATTAGCAGTACCTAAAGCATAGTATTGTTTAGAATTAAATGAACTTTGGAAAATAAGATGCCTGCTCCTAGGTCAAAATGAGTGACTGATAAACGTGAGAAAAGGAACAGCCCCAAGAAGCTTGCTGTTAAACTTGCTGGAAAACTGGGGCAGGGGATGCAGTCCCTATCATCACACAGTGAGTTCCTGTATGACACCATTGGAGAGATTTCCCTTGAGCTTCACCACCAGGAACAAGATGAGCTATGCATTTCATGGTGCACAGCTGTCAACTGTGTGTGTGTAAACTTCCTGAGGGCCACTGCAAATACTACTACTTGTTGGTTTCTCTCTTTGCATTGGCTGCTAGGAAGCTCAGAGCCAAATCTTCAGCTGAGCTGTACATAACACAGAGGAACTCATAGCATGAATTTTGTTTACTGACACTACTTTGAGCAGCTTCCCATTTTTCCTATTTTTCTTTTCCCTTCTCCCTAGCTTCCTCGTGTATCTTTTTAAAATCTTGAACAAGGGTTGGAAAACTATAGCTTGTGGGCCAAAGCTGGCCCACCACTTCTTTTTATAAATAAAGTTTTATTGAAGCACAATCATGCCCATTATTTATGAACTGTCTATGATACTCTCGTGCCGCCATGGCAGGGTTGAGTAGTTGCAACAGAGATCATACGGCCCATAAAGCTGAAAATAGTTACCATCTGGCCTTGAGAGTTTGCCAACTCCTGACCTAGAACAAGGTACATTTTAATAATTTGCCTCAAATCCTTTTCAGACTGGGGATAACGATCGACAGTTGGACAGGTAGATGGACAGCTGTGGTGGCAATTCTGAGGACAAGGTTATCTAGGACCGTGTCCACAGCCCAGGGGCTCCTTAAATCCATGCCAAACCTGGAACAAACATGGGACTGCAGAGGACCATGTTCTACAAAAAAGACCCTGTTCCTACAAAAAATAAAAGTACAAAAATTAGCCAGGTGTGGTGGTAAGCCTGTAGTTCCAGCCACTAGAGAGGCTGAGGGGAATGGTGTCTAAAGTTGGGGGCAGTCTTTGCACACTTAACCTGTGGGGGTCTGATGCTACCTCCAGGTATATAGGGTCAGAACTGAGTTAATTTGTAGGACACCCAGTTCGTGTCCACCAGAGAATTGCTTGATGGGGAAAAAGACCCCTGCTCCTAGCCACAGAATTATCCTGTACTGAGCATTCAGAGGATAGTAGCCGAAAAGAGTTTGTTTTTTCCGATTACACCTGCAGCAAACATGGTAGCCAGCTATGGAGTGTGCTCACTGGCCCTCGCTTGAAACTCACATGCAGGGCTCAGTTCATCCTTAAGACAACCCTAAGAAACAGGTGGAGAAACTGAGGCACAGAAGGGCGAGTGGTCCCAAAGGCAGCAGTGGCAGAGTTGGACTGGAACCCAAGTGGTCACCCCTGGACCCTAGGCTCCTGAGCGCCTCACCATAGTGGACACATCAGTAGGTAAATATATACTCAGACATGAGACCAAACGGAGATGTACATTCCTTGGGATCACTAGTGATTTTTGATTCATTTCTTTTTACATGATGATGATTATTAATACTATTTTAGAGTCAGGCTCATTTCACTGTCGCCCAGGCTGGACTGCAATGCTGCAATCATAGCTCGCTGCAGCCTCCAACTCCTAAGCTCAAGCAATCCTCTAATTCCTCAGCCTCCCGAGTAGCTGGGACTACCGGTGCACGCCACCACATCCAGCTATTTTTTAATAAAATTTTTGTACAGATGGGGTCTATGTTGTCCAGGCTGGTCTTGAATTCCTGAACTCAAGCAATCCTTCCACCTCAGCCTACTGAGTAGCTGGGACTACAGGTGCACCCCACTATACCAGGCTAATCTTTTTTTTTTTTTTTTGAGACGGAGTCTCGCTCTATCAACCAGGCTAGAGTGCAGTGGTGCAATCTCGGCTCACTGCAAGCTCCACTTCCCAGGTTCACGCCATTTTCCTGCCTCAGCCTCCTGAGGAGCTGGGACTACAGGCGCCCGCCACCATGCCCGGCTAATTTTTTGTACTTTTAGTAGAGACGGTGTTTCACCGTGTTAGCCAGGATGGTCTCGATCTCCTGACCTCGTGATCCGCCCGCCTCGGCCTCCAAAAGTGCTGGGATTACAGGCGTGAGCCACCGCGCCTGGCCTACCAGGCTAATTTTTATTTATTTTTTGGAGATATGGGGTCTTGCTATATCGTGCAAGCTGCTCTTGAACTCCCGAACTCAAGCAATCCTCCTGCCTCAGCCTCCCAAAGCCCTGGGGTGTGACTCATGGTGCCCAGCCCTTTATACATTATCGTTTAAGCCGTCTACAATGAACACTCTTCATAACAATACAAAAAAAAAAAAAGGGTAAAAGTGAAAAACTGAAAACCACCTGCTTTTCATGCCCTCAGTGGCACCGATGGGGCTGACTTGGGTGTGGTCTCGGAGGGAAAGAAGAGAGGCCTGTCAGTGAGGACTGCCCAGGTCTCAGCCTTTTGGCCTCTGTGGTGTCCCCGCCTCCTTGCAGACCACCTGGGGACCATTACCTTGCTGGGGTGATCTTTCCAGACAGCTGCAGCCGAACAACCCTGGGGGCACTGAGGACAGCCTGGTGGAGAAGGACACTCACACCCCAGCCCCGGCTGCTTCTCCGAGTGTCCTGGCTGGCGTCGACCTCCAGCAGAACCAGCTCCCGGCCAGACATATGCACAGATAGAGACACGTTGAAGCTGCACACTCTGTAGCGCCCGGCAGCTGCCTGCACCTACAGGGAGGCGGGGGAGGGACAGGAAGGGTCTATGGGATCCTGGGTGTGGGGTAGGGCTGCCTCCTCCTCCAGGAAGCCCTCCTGAGCCACTCCAACTTTGAGCAGTCACCAATCATGGTAGACAGCACACAATCAGGAGGAGAAATGAGACAGAGGGAGGGATGAGGGAGACAGCCTACCCTGGCTCCAGCACCTGGCCCAGGGGTACAGTCCCATCTTGTCCTTTCCACATGTGAAATGGGAGTTCTTATTGTACAAATGGGGAAACTGAGGCTCTGAGAGGGTCATATATGCCACCTGAGTCTGCCTAGCTCTAAAACTCGTGCTGGTGGGGGAAGCAGAGGACATCTTTGCAACTCCTCCACGGAAAAGGAGGCCCTGTAGAGTGCCCCGCGGGAACCAGAGAACCCAGAACTTCTGGGATGCAAAGAGGATGGCATCTCCGTACCCAAGCAGTCAGACGGGGGTGAACACGTAGTTAGCCCCAACAAGGGTGTTGAAGGGAGCAGTGGGGAGGGGAGCAGTGGAGGGTGGGAGCAGAGAGGCCCAAGGCTCCACCAGCTCCACAGGACCTGAGCCTCTCCTTTTCCTAATCTGAGCTTCAGTTTCCCCATCTGCAAAGCAGGTTTAGCCCCATGGTTCTCAATCCAGCCTGTGTTATTACAGTCACAATGAATTTTTTTTTTTCTTTTTTCTCCGTGAGACAGAGTCTCATTGTGTCATCCAGGTTGGAGTGCAGTGGTGCAATCTCAGCTCACTGCACCCTCTGTCTCCCAGGTTCAAGTGATTCTCCTGCCTCAGCCTCCCGAGTAGCTGGGATTACAAGTGCCCGCCACCATGCCCAGCTAATTTTTTTTTTTTTTTTTGTATTTTTAGTAGAGATGGGGTTTCACCATGTTGTCCAGGTTGGTTTCGAACTCCTGACCTTAGGTAATCTGTCCGCCTCGGCCTCCCAAAGTGCTGGGATTACAGGCATGAGCCACCGTGCCTCGCCTGGAAAGGTTTTAAAAGAATGCCTGGTGCTTCCACAGATGAACTGCTGAATAAAACATGATACACCCAGACAATGGAATATTATCTAGCGCTAATATAAAATGAGCTATTAAGCTGAAAAAGACATGAAGGAAACTTAAATGTATATTACTAAGTGAAAGCAGCCCATCTGAAAAGGCTGCACACTGTATTCCAACTGTGTGACATTCTGGAAAAAGTCAAAACCACAGAGAGTAAGAAGAACAGTGGTTGCCAGGGGGTGGAGTGTAGGAGGAGGGATGAAAAGGTAGAGCCCAGAGGATTTTTTAGGGCAAGGAAACTGCTCTGAATGATGCTGTCAAGGCAGATCCATAATGTCTGTCAAAACCCATAGGCTGGTAGGGCACGATGACTCACACCGGTAACTGCAGCACTTTAGAAACCAAGGCAGGAGGATTGCTGAAGGCCAGGAGTTGAGACCAGCCTGAACAACAGAGCAAGACCCCCATCTCTACAAAAAATTAAAACATTAGCTGAGTGTGGTGGCGTGCACCTATAGTCCCAGCTACTCGGAAGGCTGTGGCAAAAGAATGGCTGGAGCCTGGGAGGTGGAGGCTGCAGTGAGCCATGTCACGCCACTGCACTCCAGCCTGGTTGACAGAACAAGACACTGTCTTAAAAATTAAAATTAAAATTAAAATTAACGTTTGAGCTGGGCACAGGAGCTCACACCAGTAATCCCAGCACTTTCGAAGTCTGGCGCAGGCGGATCCCTCGAGGTCAGGAGTTCAAGACCAGTCTGAAATCCCATCTCTACTAAAAATACAAAAAATTAGCTGGATGTGGTGGCGCATGCCTGTAATCCCAGCTACTTGGGAGGCTGAGGCACAAGAATCACTTAAACCCGGAAGGTGGAGTTTGCAGATCCGAGATCATGCCACTGCACTCTAGCCTCGGTGACAGAGCAAGACTCGGTCTCAAAAAATACTAATGACAATAATATTTGCACCCATTAGATGACCCAGCATCCAAGCTTCCAGGGGAACCCACCCCCACTCCCCGATGAGTTCGGGGGATCGATAGCACGGGCTCTGAAACCAGAACGCCTGGGTTCCCACCCAAGATCTTCCACTGCTGAGCTCCATGATCTTGGGCAAGTCACATCACCTCTCTAAGTCTCAGAGCCTCATCCACAAAATGGTACAACAGTGCTACACGCCTCCCCACAACAGCATCGTGAGGTGACCATGAGATAATCCATAAACAGGGTTTAGAACAGAGCCTGCCAAGCAATCACTCCACAGACATCAGCCCCTAAAACAAATGGTTAATATGATGGCATTTCCTCCCATCTAAAATGCCAGCAGCTCTCAGATGGGCCGTGATCTCAGGGAACTCCACAAAAGCAAAAGGCTGCTAGTGAAATGGTGACCTGTGTCAATGTGAAAATAAAGCCTGGCTTCAGGGACATCAACCTGTGAAAACTCGTGCCTCTAAGAATAAGCAGTTCCCTCCATTCAGAGCCACTCTTGGGCTCCATTCGAGTGTCTAAAACCCACCACACAGGGAATGCACAGCAGGTGTTTAAAAAATGCTATCAGGGCCGGGCATAGTGGCTCATGCCTACAATCCCAGCACCTTGGGAGGCCAAGGGAGGAGGATCACTTGAGCCCAGGAGCTCATTGCCAGCCTGGGCAACATCACGAGACCCCGTCTCTGCCAAAAAAAAAAAAAAAAAAAAAGTACAAAAATTAGCTGGGTGTTGCGGCATATGCCTGTGGCACCAGCTACTCAGGAGGCTGAGGTGGAAGGATCGCTTGACCCCAGGAGGTCAAGGCTGAAGTGAGCCGTGATTACGCTACCACTGCACTTCAGCCCAGCCAACAGAGTGAGATCCTGTCTCAAAAGAAATTTTAAAATGCTATCAGGCTAGGTGCGGTGGCTCATGCCTGTAATCTTAGCACTTTGGAAGGCTGAAGCAGAAAGACAACTTGGGGCCAAGAGTTTAAAACCAACCTGGGCAACATAGTGAGACCCCACCTCTAATTTTTTTTATCGCTATCAAATTAAAGGTCTGCCCCACGTCTCTTAAGGGCCTCATCCCTGTTGGGATTTCCTATTTACACCTCCACATCCTTGAATTAGTCACCCTCTAATTTCTGTGGCACACACCATGCACAGTCTGCTCAATGAAGCTGCAAACTTGGTGGGGGGACGGGGCTCCCACCTGGATGTCTTTCTCCACCTCCAAAATACCCTGGATCAACAAAGCTCTCTGGAAGGATTACACAGCTTTGCCAAAGCCCAAATACAGGGCAGAGTTTGGAGGAAAACTCTGTTTCTGTCCATTTTCAAGAGTGAAATGTGATCCTTCACCCCCTTCAGCCTGGACCATCACTTCCAAATGATGGATGTGGAAACCTCCCTGCCATCTGTTCTTGATTCTGCAGGGGCTGTTTGGCTAAGCACAACACTGCAAGTGTGGCCTCCCTCCCTCAGACCCCCATCCTGCCTTCCCTTCCGCCCATCTCCCAGCAGGCCAGCTGCTCAGAGACAACTCTTGGCAGGCAAGTCAAGGTCATCCACAAGGAAGCAACGTCCATACCTGGAAGTTTGGAGGAAATGTTGGTCTGTTGGGATGCTTGAGCTGGAAGAAAAATGCAAAGTCGAAGTCAGATCCGTTCAGCTGGACTGAGACCTGTTGTGGGGAGAGTTGAAGAGGGGTCAGAGGGAACAGAGAGGGAGATGCAGAACCCTAGGAGGTGGCTACTAGGCAAACGCATCCCAGAATTTGCCCAAAGCTCAAACCAGAAACTTCTGTCCTCCCTCAGTGTTCCTCACCCCTCAATCTTACTCAGGCTGTGCTACTGAACAAGGTTGCTTAGGAAGTGTTGTCCTGGATTTGGGGCTGGAAGACCACTTTGGGACCCCCTACTCCCCGCCATGGTGCCTGCTCATGCCTCCCACAGCCACACCACCTTCTAGTTGACCCTGACTGTGAACCAGGCACTGTGCTACCACGTTCACAATGACTACTTCATTTAATCCTCAACACTGCTTTGCTGGGTTGCTGTTACCATCCCATTTCCCAGCTAGGAAAACTGAGGCTCAGTGGGACTCAGTAATTCACCCAAGGTTACACAGCTAGTTAACAGTGGAACTGGGAATTGAACTTGAACTTACATAACACTAAACTGCCCACTAGATTGAAAGCTGTCAGAGATGGGAATAGAGATGGGGACAGAGTCACCCATGCATCCCCAGTGCACATCACAGAGCCTGGCACACAGGAGATACAACCTATCCATGCTGAATGAATGGATATGAATGCACATGCCCATGGATGAACAAATGAACAGCCATGAATGAGTAAATATACCTACAATGGCTGCTATATATTCACCAAACTGCATTTCCTTTTCTTCCTGGACATACAGCTAAAACTACATTTCCCAGCCTCCCTTGCAGCTAGGTGGGATCATGTGATGAGAACCCAGGCAGGAATGACCTTTCCACTTATGGGTCTGGCTCATAAAAGCCTCCTGCATAATTCTCCACTCTCTCTCCCTCCGTCTGCCCACTGGGGCAGAGCCACAAGGTGGGGAGGCCTGGATCCTGAGAGACTGTATGGAGCAGAGCCATGGTGAACTGAGACGTGAACACTGGCCTTTCACAAAGAGCCAAACATTTGTTTACAACAGTCAATGCATCCTGCCTAATCACAAACACATTGCCAAAATAAGGACTGTGCTGCTGGCTCTCCAGGGTCATGTCTCCTGCCACCTCCTCAGGCATCTCGTATAGGTCACCTTCTCTAAAGGTTATTAAGACCCGGCCTCCCTTGGCAAGGGAGCAGAATTCAGCCTCCTGACCTGGGATGTGACATTGTGGTTGACGGCAGCTCGTGCATCCACACCGAAGTTGAATGTTCCTCGGGGACTCTGTCTAAAGATGATGCCCCCATCCAAGTTCAGGGCCTGGGGGAAGCTCAGCTGGGAAGAAACAGACAACACCCTTTACTTCTGCTAACAGTCAAGCTCTGTGTGAAGGGCACAAACCAGTGTCTGCCCAACCTGGGGACCCGTACCTGGTAGGAATGGGCCAAGTCCAGGGCCAGGCTGTGCCGGATTTCCCCATGCTGAGATCTGTCACGATGTAAACCCTTCAAGTGCAGCACAACTTTCCAGTTGACTTTCAAAGTAGCCTCAATCTCCCTGTTCTTAGCCTGAGTGTGTGAGAACCAGAGGCACTGAGAGAGGTCTCGTACCATCTCTACGTGCCTGCGGAAGCCACCCTGGGAACCCAGCCGTCAGAAGAAAGTGGTCCAAAGATTGATGGGTTATGGAGCAGTCTACACTCCTCCACTTATAGGGCAGGAAGTGGGCAAGTAAACTCCAGTGCCTACAGCTAAGATTAGCAGGATGGGCTTGATGGAACAAATGTGAATGTCTGTGTCTTGTTCAAAGAAAGTGCCTTGGGAGTAGTGTATTTTGTTCATTGCCATATTCCTAATACTTAGCACGGGTCCTGGCATGTAGTAGGTGCTCAATAAATACTTGGACAAACACAGAATCACTAGCTACAGCCTGAAACCCCAAGGACAAAGCTGTGCTAGAGTGAAAGAATGTGTAACTCATAGTGACTCATAGTGGAGCTGGCAGAAGAACACTCATTCCACGATGACATCCATGTCCTCATCACTGGAACCTGTCAATATGTGACCTTTCATGGCAAAAGAGACTTTGCAGTGTGACTGGATTGAGGATCTTGAGATGAGGAGATTATCTGGGTGGCCCTAGAGTAATCACAGAGGTCCTGTGAGAGGGAGGCAGGAGGGTCAGAGTCACACAGAGATTGGAAGATGCCACGCTGCTGGCTTTGAAGATGAAAGAAAGTGCCATGAGCCAAGGCATGCAGGCAGCTTCTAGAAGCTGGAAAAGGAAAGGAAATGGACTCTCCCCTGGAGCGTCCAGAAGGAACACAGCCCTGCTAACACCTTGATTTTAGCCACATGAGATCCATCTTGGGCTTCTGAATTCCAAAATTGTAAAATAAATTTGTGGTGTTTTAAACCATTAAGATTGCAGCGATTTGTCATGGCAGCCATACCAAACTAATACACAATGGCTCTATCGTTTATTCACTCAACAACCATTTAGCTTCTGCCATAGGCCAAGTACACAGTAGCACGTTACCGTCTTTTCCTACCTGTGTTGACTGAGAAGTTAAAAATGCCTGCTAAGGAGCTTTATCATTGGAATGCATCTTTAAAGGGGTGCATCTTTAAAGGGGTGCTCGGCTTTACTTTAAAACCAAGACGGAGGAAGAGAAATAAGGGTCCAAGAGGGGGGGAAAATGCATGTCATTAAACAGACTTATTTTATTTTGAGACAGTCTCTCTCTGTCACCCAGGCTGGAATGCAGTGGCACAATCTCGGCTCACTGCAACCTCCACCTCCCTGGTTCAAGCGATTCTCCTGCCTCAGCCTCCCGAGTAACTGGGATTACAGGCGCCTGCCACCACACCCGGCTAATTTTTTTTGGATTTAGTAGAGATGGGGTTTCACCATGTTGTTCAGGCTGGTCTTGAATTCCTGACCTCAAATGATCCGCCTGCGTCGGCCTCCCAAAGTGCTAGTATTACAGGCGTGAGCCATCTCGCCCAGCCTGGACACAGTTTTAAAAAGAGTAGACAGCCAAATTATATGAAACTAAACGACTGCCATTTACTCAGTCTGAGCCTGTTGTTGTTAGCTGGGATTTGAGGCCTGGTGTGGTCACGCCTTCTGAATTTTTATTTTTATAAACACCAGAAATCTGGGTTTTACTCAAAATCTTCTGATTTTCAGTGGTAGCAATTAATTTCCTTAAAAAATTTAAATGCTAAGCAGACCAAACAAAACCCATCTGCAGATCGAATTTGGCCCATGGTGCCGGCTCTGCGATCTCCGGTTTAAGAAACAGCAAACACCATCGGGAACCACTTCTGCAGGTGTCTGAGGCTGTCATCCTGCCGTCTGTTTCCCCCTAGAAGCTCCAAGAACTGTACTACCTTATCCCTGGGGAGCCACACGCAGCCTCGTTTAACTAATGATGAAGGGAGCCCCCAGAAGGGTGGGTCTCAGTGCTCAACAGCTGCCTGGTTCATCCTCCTTCCCAGGGGTTGTTTTGTATCTTGCAAAGAGAAACGGCCAGGTGCGGTGGCTCATGACTGCAATCCCAGCACTTTGGGACGCTGAGGCGGGGGGATCACCTGAGGTCAGGAGCTCGAGACCAGCCTGGCCAGCATGGAGAAACCCCATCTCTACTAAAGGTACAAAAATTAGCCGGTTGTGGTCATGGGAGCCTATAATCCCAGCTACTCGAGAGGCTGAGGCGGGAGAATCACTTGAACCCAGGAAGTAGAGGTTGCAGTGAGCCGACATCATGCAGCTGCACCCCGGCCAGGGCAACAGAGCGAGACTCGATCCTCAGTCTCAAAAAAAAAAAAAAGAAAAAAAAATGGTGGGAGGGGTCTGTGCATGAACCTGGGAGATGGAGGTTTCGGTGAGATGAGATCAAGTCATTGCACTTCAAACTCCAGCATGGACAACAGAGTGAGATTCTGTCTCAGAAAAAAAAAAAGAGAGAGAGAGAGACACACACACACAATGACTATCTTCCTTGCATACAGTAAATCCTCCATAAATGCTTGCTGAAAAATATGGAGCTCTCCCAGAGTATCAACTCCTCCAAGAGGTGTCAGGAAGGCGACCTGGATCAGGTTCTGATAGGCATTTTACAACACTACATTGTAATCCTCACAGCCACTGCATAGAGATGAGCACTGCTGCTCCCATTCTGCAGACAAGGAAACTGAGGTCTAGAGACACGAAATAATTAGCCAAGGATACACAGGCAAAAACAAGTTTCACCCCCAGGGAACCACATGCCAAGACCCTCAGCCAGGTGTGGTGACTCTTACCTGTAATCCTAGCACTTTTTTTTTTTTTTTTTGAGACCAAGTCTCTCTCTGTCACCTAGGCTGGAATGCAGTGGTGGGATCTCGGCTCACTGCAACCTCCGCCTCCCGGGTTCAAGTGCTTCTTGTGCCTCAGCCTCCCGAGTAGCTGGGATTATAGGCACCCGCCATTACGCCCAGCCAATTTTTATAGTTTTTTAGTAGAGATGGGATTTTGCCATTTTGGCCAGGCTGCTCTCGAACTCCTGACCTCAAGTGATCCACCCGCCTTGGCTTCCCAAAATGCTGGGATTACAGCTGTGAGCCACCACGCCTGGCCTAATCCCAGCACTTCAGAAGGTGAGGCAGGAGGATCCCCTGAATCCAAGAGTTCAAGACCAGCCTGGGAAACATAGTGAGACCGCCATCGCTACAAAAAATTTTAAAATGAGCTGGGTGTGGCGGTGCACACTTGTGGTCTTAGCTACTTAGGAGGCTGAGGTGGAAGGATCACTTGAGCTTAGGAGGTCAAGGCTGCAGTGAGTGAGCCATGATCGTGCCCCTGCACTCCAGCCTGGGTGACAAAGCAAGACCCTGCCTCAAAAAAGACCCTCTAAGTCAGGGGTCAGCAACTACAGCCCCTGGTCCAAATGTGGCCTGTTTTTGCAAGTAAAGTCCTGCTGGGACTCAGCCATGCCGTTCATTACGTATTACCCACGGTGCTCTTGAATTGCAACGGCAGATATGAGTCAACAAGACCTGAACCATGTGGCCCATGAAGCCTCAACTAGTTACTATCTGGTTATTTCCAGAAAAGTTTGTTGACTTCTGCTCTGGATCCTGGCATGCGATGGGTGTTAAATAGCATCATGGCAGCAGCTATTCATTGAGCACCTACTGTGTACCAAGCCCTGTGGCTATGGTGTAAATAAAGTACTCGTGGAGATCATGAGTTTTCCAGAGTAGCAGAGAAGCCAGTGATGGATGAATCACAAAAATAGAACTGGGGCCAGGTACAGCGGTTCACATCTGTAATCTCAGCACTTTGGAGGCCAAGATGGGAGGACTGCTTAGAGTCCAGGAGTTCAAGACCAGCCTGGGCAATATAGCAAGACTCTGTCTCTACTAAAAATAAAAATAAAAAATAACCAGGTGTGGTGGTAGTGTATGCCTGTGGTCCCAGCTACTTGGGAGGCTGAGGTGGGAGGATCACTTGAGCCTAAGAGGACAAGGCTACAGTGAGCCGAGATTGTGCCTCTGTACTCCAGCCTGGGTGACAGAGCGAGGCTTTGTCTTAAAAAAAAAAAAAAAAAAAAAAAAAAAGAACTGGGATTTGTGATAGGTACTAGAAGCAAAAGATACAGGGCAAGCTGGGTGCAGCGGTAATCCCAGCACTTTGGGAGGCCGAAGTGGGCAGATCACTTGAAATCAGAAGTTTGAGAACAGCCTGGCCAACATGGTAACACCTAGTCTCTACTAAAAATACAAAAAAAAAATAGTCAGCAGCGGGAATGCACGTCTGTAATTCCAGCTACTCGGGAGGCTGAGGCAGGAGAATCACTTGAACCTGGGAGGCAGAGGTTGCAGTGAGCTGGGATTGCACCACTACACTCTGGCTTGCATGACAGAGCGAGACTCTCTTTCCAAAAAAAAAAAAAAAAAAAAAAGAAAGAAAAAGATATAAGGCATAGCTAGGGTACACAGGGGTGTGTGTGTGAGCTGGTCTGGGGGTCAGGTGAGAAGATGCTTGAGCTCAATCCTAAAAGATGAGAAGAAGGGAAGACGCAAAGCTGAAGGAGAGGGTAACAGCTCCAGGCACACAGGACTCACAGAGGTCCCGAGGCAGGAAAGAGCCAGGTGAGGAAATGCGAAGAGGCTGGATGAGGCGGATGCAGGCCACAAAGCGGGGCTGAGGTGACGGGAGTGGGGCTTCATCCCAAGACACTTTGTCAGAGTTCGAGAGCAAGCAAGTGGCAGGGTTGTGCTGGCCTTTAGAAAATATCCCTCTGACTGTCACACAGACTGTACTAGGGAGGACCAAATTAAACAGGGAACCCAGGCAGGAGAATTTTTTTTTTTTTTTTTTTTTTTTTTTGAGGCAGAGTCTCGCTCTGTGGCCCAGGCTGGAATGCAGTGGCACAATCTTGGCCCACTGCAACCTCCACCTCCCAGGTTCTCCTGTCTCAGCCTCCTGAGTAGCTGGGACTGTGGGTACCCACCACCACACCCAGCAAGTTTTTGTATTTTTAGTAGAGATGGGGTTTCACCATGTTGGCCAGGATGGTCTCGAACTCCTGACCTCAGGTGATCTGCCCGCCTTGGCCTCCCAAAGTGCTAGGATTACAGGCATGAACCACCACGCCTGGCCAGGAGTACTTTTTTTTGTGGGCCGGGGTGTGGGGTAGGTGTCTGAGTCTTGCTCTGTTGCCCAGGCTGGAATGCAATAGTGCAATCATGGCTCATTGAAGCCTCAACCTCCTGGGCTTAATTAGATCCTCCTGCCTCAGCCTCCTAGGTAGCTGGGACTACAAGAACATGCTACCATGCCTGACTAATTAAACAAATTTTCTTTCCTTATTTTTTTTTTTAGAAACAGGGTTTCCGTATGTTGCCCAGATGGATCTCCAGTTCCTGGTCTTAAGCGACCTTCCCACCTCAGCCTCCTGAGTAGCTAAGATTACAGGTGTGACTCGTTGCACTCAGCCCAGATAACATGTTTTTAATCCTACTGAGAGATGGCAGCAACTTGAACCAGGACTGACTGGGATGCAAAGGTCTCTGGGGTCTCTGCTCTTACCGTGTGCTGATTCCAAGCAACCAGGCACCCCTCTGTGTTCCTGGGGATGACTTTGCCATCGTATGGATGCATCAGACCTGCACAGACCTGGGAGGGACAACCACATACATGTACACACGCACACAGGGGGTCAGGAGGCAGCTGGGGCCTTCCTCCGGCTCTCAGACCCCTTCCCAGCTATGCCCTGGACCCACTCACGTAGGGGTGTCCAGCCTGGCAGCCCAGGACCACAGTCTGCAGGGTTTCCTCTCGGCCATTCAGGACAACTCTAGTCTCCAGGGAATAGCGCTGGTGTCGCCTATCAGTCGTGAAGGTCTCCTGCAGGAGGAGGCTCTGCGGGATGGGCAGGAGCAAGGGGTGCCTGGTGTGCAGATGGATAAACAGGGCCAAAGCCATTAAAGCAGCTGGTAGTGTTGGGGGACAATTGTGCCCCATGCTCTCAGCCTGGGCCTGTCACGAGCTTGCAGAGTTAAGATTATCACAGAGAAGAGAACATAGGACACCTGGCAGCCCTGTGCTTTACAATTTGGCATCTGGAAGCCTTCACCACCTCACTGTGCCAGTGAAGTGGGCATGGCTGGGGTCCCCATCGCCATTTGACAGCAAAGACCCAAGGGGATAGATGGCACACAGCATCTGGTGTCACTGACTGGGACTGGAATCCAGGCACGGTCTTTCACTAGCTGTGTGACCTTGGGCAAAGGACTTGATTTTTCTGTGCCTCAGCTTCCCCATCTGTAAAACGGGGTCGAAAATAATATTGATTGGACACAGTGGTCGGGATTAGAGATAACATATATGGAATGAACGCAAGCTCCCCAAGGGCAAAGGTTTCTGACGTTCTGGTTCTCTGCCATTTTCCACGTGCCCAGAAGAGCCCTTGGTCCATAGTAGGTGCTCAACGAACGTAAGTGGGATTAAAAACACAAATGAACACTGTGCAAACGATGCTGCTCTTCCTTTGTCATCACTGCTGCTGTTTAGGCTGTAGGTGACTTATCTGAGGCCACAGAGCTGCTCAATGCATAGCCTGGAGTCCAAGATGGCTCTGCTCATCGCAACCTGGTGCTGTTGCCTGCTCACAGGGAACTGCTTTTCTAATGAGCTCTGTCTCTAGGAAATGAGAAGACACCCCAAGCAGCTCCAGGCTAGGATGATGACACTCACTTCTGCTCCCACCTCAGCAACTAATGGAGGGGGCGAGGGATGTGGGAGCTTTCAGGGGAGGTGGCTCTCCTCTGGGATTTGGGTTCCATCTGGGCCCCAGCAGGTCAGCAGGGTTTCTCCAGGTAGCTCTGCCCATCCTGTTCCCCCGGGGACCCTCCATGCTGGAGAAGGGGAAACTTGCAGGGTATCAGCCGAGGAGAAGGGGCGCACACACCTAAGGAGCAAGGTCCCCCGTTTCCGGTACAATGTCCTGCCTTGCCTCAGCTCCTCCAGCTCTCCCTCCAACTGCAGGCCCTGAGGTTGGCCCTGGGCACCAGTCCACACAGCCGTCAGCGACACCTGGGTCTTCTGGGGCTGCAACAAGATCCAGGCTGAAGGGAGGGACGGGCCAGCAGGACCATGCTGCAGACCTGCCTTGCAGGAAGGCAAGGGGTAGCCCCCCACAGCCTGCCCATCACCCCCAGAAATGACTATCCGAGAATGACTACCGAACTCCACCCACAACCTCCACCCTGATTAGACCACAGGATCCCACCGGCACACCACCATGTCTAGATCTCCCTAGGTACCCAGGAGGAATGAAGAACTTGGATTTCTCAGCTAAAGGAAGCCAAGCTTCGCTCCAGGATCTGTGCTAATGTGACCAGGGTTCATTTCACAGAACAAGAAACTAAGGCTTGTCTGGGTGCAGCGGCTCAGGCCTGTAATCCCAACACTTTGGGAGGCTGAGATGGGAGGGTAACTTGAGCCCAGGGCTTTAAGACCAGCCTAGGAAACAGCAATACCTCGTGTCTGCCAAAAAAAAAAAAAAAAACCAAAAAAAAAAAAAACCAGCAATGCATGGTGGCATGGGTGGCATGTGCCTATAGTTCTAACTACTTGGGAGGCTGAGTGGGGAGGATCCTTTAAGCCCAGACGTTTGAGGCTGCAGTGAGCTATGACTGTATCACTGAACTCCAGCCTGGACAACAGAATGAGACTATCAAAAAATATGTAAGAAGAAAAGAAGGAAAAGGAAAAAGGAGAGAGAGAGAGAGAAATAGAGGCTCCAGGAGGCCCAAGGTCACGGGCCAAGCCAGTGGCACAAAACCGTTCTCCATCCCAAGCAGGGAGAGAGGTAGGAGACCCAGGTGAGGGATTTGGTGGTCTCTTGGCTGCACAGGCCTCCTGGGCTCTTACCCACTCCAGGTGCCTGTAGGCGGCTGTTAGGTTCAGCTCCTGCCGGGGGCCTTTCAACCAGCAGTTCAGGATCTTATGGTCCCGGCTGTTCTCAGCATGGATCTCACCCTGCACTGCTGCGTTCCAGGCTGACTCGACTTCACTCCAGCTGTGGAAGAGGCTCTGTGCCAAGACGGTCACCGTGGAGACCTGCAATGAGGTGAGGAGGGGGACCAAGGCCTTTGCACACCCTATTTCCTCCCCCGTGGATACCCTTTCATCTCCTTCCTGCTTGGTGAACGCCTATTCATCCCTCAAAACCCCTTCAATGCCATTTCTGTGAGGCCTAACCTGACTGGGGCAGGTAGGCTAGTTTTCCCTACAGGGCCTTGAGACAAAAATAAAAACTCCCCTCTGTCATCCCAACCCTGAGCAGGCATAATTTCCTTCTCTCCTCTTCAGTTTGGGGAGGGAATCTGATCTCGCTGGGCCGCTATTACTAGTAGCCAGGGTGTCTGTACCCTGAAGGGCACACGCTGGCGGGTGGCCTTCTCTCCCTGCACCATCACCATTGTCTTCGGGAGTCCTAGCAAGAGCTGTGTGTGATCTGGCTCGTTTCAGAGCTGGGGAAGATAGACCACTTGCAGCCACCACCCTGGCACAAGCCCTGCATGGGATGGTGCCCTGTTGGCCGCCATCCCTTGTTCACACAACTCGGGGGTTTCACAAGAAGAAGTGACAAGGACACGACAGGGTTTAGGACGTGGCTGAGCCTCCAACCCAATACCAGAACTTCCTAACACTTTGTCCCACGTCACTGATCCTCGGTTCCCCACCGCCAACTTCTCCATTTCCTAGAATGGCACTTCCATCCCACCAGATGCTTGGGCCAAAACCTCAGAGCCATTTATTTCCTTTCTTTCACTCCCTCCCCACCGCCAATCCATCAGCAAATCTGGCATCTCCAGGATCTGGACACTTGCTGGCACCTCCACTGCCACCACCCTGGACCAGGCCGCCATGCCCTCTGGTTGGGTGAAGGGTGGGAGACAGCTAGCCAACCGTACCTCGCTCTCCGGTCTTGGCACCCTCGGCTACACGGAGGCCTCCTCATGGTTCCTAAGATTATCACCGCTCTTGACTCTACCCTGGTGCCACCCAGCCCTGCCTCAGAGGGGACTGCACTGCCCTTGGATGAGCCCAATCAAGCCCGGACCTTCCCCACATCCACGCATCAGCCAGTGCAGGGAGACAGTCCATCCGCCAGGCTCCCTCAGCCCTGCAGATGACACTAATGGGTTTTCTCCCAAACCTGTTCTTGCTTCTGCACCAAACGCATGCAGAGAAGCAACTTCATTACAGTCAGTAATTGGGATCAAACCGACTTATGTCCTAGAAGTTTTCACTCTGTTTTTTTGGCAAAAGCTGAATGTCTACCTATTTCCAAAGTCCTGTTCGACTTGCTTTCCTATTTTATATTTCTCTCCCCTTCAGCTGCTAAGCAGGGATATGGGAAATCTAGATTTTCTTTTTTTAGGTCTAATTTTTCTACGTCACTTAGGAACTAACTCTGATAGTTGTAGGCACTGGCCCAACTTCACACATGTGTGAGCTGCTATCTGCCCACAGGCCTCAGATTTTATCCACCTCTGCACCAGAAAAATATCTCAGTGGCAGGGGACCACGCATGTGCTGGGGGCCGAGCACTGCTCACCCGGAGGTAGGTGGTAGCTGGGGTGTAGACCTGGATCTTGCCTTCCCTGTTGGGGCCCTGACTCCTGCAGGCCACGCTGACCACCAGGTCCTTCAGGGTCCAGGCCTTGCCCAGTGTTAGCTCCAGGACAGCCTGGAACACAGCTCGGTGTGGCCAGTATAGCCGGTGAGCTGCAGAGACCATCAGCCATGGACTATCCAGCTTCAAGGCTCCTGCAAGGGAAAAAGGAGAATCTGGTACGCGGGGGAGAGGAAGCTTCTAGCAGGCAGCAAGAGGTCCCCAGAGTCTCATCATAGCCACAATGGACAAATCTCAAAACTGGGAATAACTAGGCACGAGGGAGCTTTCTAGGACATTGGTGATGTTGTGACTTATGACAGGTGTTTGGATCACCCAGGTGTATACGCCTGTCAAAACTCATCCAATCGTACTGTAATTTATGCATTTCACTCTGCTTAATGAAACACATACTGAAACGTTTAGGGATGTAATGTATCAATGTCTACAACTTATTTTGAACTGCACAGAAAAAATAAGAGGGCTGGATATGTGGAGAGAGAGGTGATGAGGCAAGTGGGGTCAACTGTCAACAGCAGAACCTAGTATGAGAGGACGCTGGTGATCACCATACCATTCACTCAACTTGTCTGAATGTTTGCAGTTTTTTCATAATAAAACATTGGAAGGTTGGGCGCAGTGGCTCATGCCTGTAATCCCAGCACTCCGGGAGGCCAAGGTGGGAGGATCACTTGAGTCTAGGAGTTTGAGTTTAGTTTGGGCAACAAAGTGAGATCCCATCTCTACAAAAAATACAAAAATTAGCCAGGCACGGTAGTGCTCACCTATATCCCAGCTACTTGGGAGGCTGAGGTGGAGGTTGCAGTGGCTGTGATGGTGCCAATGCACTCCAGCCTGGGCAACAGAGGGAGACCATGTCTCAAAAAAAAAAAAAAAAAAAAAAAAGAACACAGGTACAAATGCTGAGGGCTGTGAAGAAAAACAATACAGAAGGAATTTGATAAAAATTGGGTAGGTCAGCAAAAGCTTCTAGGAGGACGTTACTATTTACCTGATACCTAAATGAAAGACAAGGGGGAGTTAATCAAAGGGGCAGGCAACCCACCCCTGCTAGAGACAGGAGATTTACTGTCTGGGGAAACTGAGGCAGACAGGCTCATATGCAGGGGCAAAGACACAGTAAGGGGAGGGAGGAGCTGCTCAGTTGAGAACAGGGAGACGCTGAAGAGTGGGCAGCCTAGTCCCTGCCCAGTTGCTCCCTTCTCATGGGAAACGGGAAGATGGCACCACAGAAGAACAGAAGGAAGGCATGGATCCCTGGAAAGCCAGGTCCCCACCCAATTGCTTGATTGACAGGGAAGCCTACCAGTCCGCACGTGCGCCCACCTATATATAGCGCCTCCTTCCAAACAAGTATTGAGTCTCCAATTTGTTTTCTATTTCATTCATGTTCTTTCATAGTGATAAAGATCTTATTTCACTTTATAGATCACAGTTGCGATCTGGTAAGCTCGGGCCCTCCAGAACATATGTCTGGTTGCTCAGTTTTTGTTGTTGTTGTTGTTTTGCTTTTGAGGTCATGGTCATTCATTTATTTCTCATTACATTGGGCTGGACCAAGGGTCATGTGCCAGTATATAGATTATGTTATTCTGTTGCTTTCAGACAGAATTGGGATCCAGGTTCTAATTGTCTCCCAACTTCAAGACCCTGGGATCAGAACTAGGAAGGAGAGCGGCTACTGCTGCAGGCAGCTAGGGGCTGCTGGAGGAAAGGCAGGAAACAGACTTAGAGCTGACCACACACAGGGTTCATGATCAAGGGCGCCCCTCTGGGTACTACAGGATCCTGCACACAGCCTATGGATTGGGGAGCCCACAGCAGCTTCTCAAAGTGAATGGGGATGGCACAGGCCTGGGTTTGGAACTCCGGAGCTGGAAGGACAACTGCATCTGCCCAGGCAGGACCTGAAAACATTTTGTCCTTCCATCTGTATCCAAAAATCCTGTGTAGAGCATTTCCATGAGGACAGGGCCAGGGCTGGCTCCTGGGTCTCTGGGTGGCCTCATGGGTCATCTGGTAAAACTTCTGCAAACTTGTCACCATCTGGGGACATTCCTGCCAGTTCTTCTCCATGCCCTTCTGTGTGAGACACTGGGCAACTGCTTTAGGCCATTCATGATTCTTCTTCCTCAACTCTTCAAATTCAGTAGATTTCTAATCTTTTAGAAAACTCTAGATCTCCAGTTACTCCAAAGCTGAATTAACTGGTCTGATGATTTTTCTGGTTTCTCAGTTTCTTTTTCCTTCTTTACTTGCTGAGGGCTTCTAGTCATTTTAGCCAGATATCTCACTTTCTCCACTTTTATTCCTGAGTTTTCTACTGGGATCTTTGTTATGGACAGTCTTAGGGCCTAATCCTGGGTTGGCAGAGAACTAGCACTCACTCTCCCCTAATGGGATCCAGGAGAGTCAAGAGGCGCCCAAGTGTGGAAATGTGTTCTCTCCTCTCTGTTTCGGCAGGTCTCTTACTCTAAGTTTCCTAAAAGGATTTTAAGAAGAATAGATTTTTTTTAAACAAACTTTTAAATCTCTGCTCCAGAATATGAGATCCCTAACTTTGCTAAACTGCTGGTTTTAATTAAGTCCTCAGGCAGCTTCTGAGTACACTCAAAACATAATTACCCTGTTTGAAAACAGGGTAACCAATATTTTGAGCAGCCGACTCAAACATAAACACATATCCAAGGCTGGCTTAGCATTTGGGGGAAAGCCTCCAACAGGAAATACAGAAATAAAAAGAAAAAAGAAACTCGGAGGAAACAGATAAAAATCCCCGAAATTCTGTAACTTATACTCTAAGAGAAGACAATTGCATTCATGGAACAGGACGATGTTAGAAAGGAACAAAAAAACAGAGCTCTTGAAAATATAAGATAATCCAAAATAAAAATGCCAGCAGAAGGGCTGGCATATGAAGTTGAGGAAATCGGCATTTAAATAGAACAAAAGGACAAAGAAATAGAACAAAAGAGAAACAAGGAGGCCGGGTGCAGTGGCCCACACCTCTAATCCCAGCACTTTGGGAGTCAGAGGCAGGAGGATCACTTGAGCGCAGGAGTTTGAGACCTGCCTGGACAAAATACTGAGACCCCAATTCTCCAAAAAAACAAAAAGAAAAAAGACAAAAATAAAAACTAGTTTGAAAAGAGAAACAGAGAAAACATTAGAAGCTCAGTTTTCTGAGGACCGACATCTAACCAATAGGAACTTCAGAACAAAGAAAGGAAATTCTCAAAGAAACTGTAAGAGAAAATTACCCAGACCAAAACGACACGATTCCAAATTGAAATGCCCTATGCTAAAGACCCAGTACAACAGAGGAACATAGGTCCATACTAAGGTACCTCGTAATGAAATTTACCACTACCAGGACTAAGACGAGTTCCTAAAAGCTTCTAAGACAGTGAGAAAAGGGTCACATACAAAAGATGCTAAATCAGAAAAAGCATCAGATCTCCCAAATAATTCAAAACAATGGAGTAATGCCTTCAAAATCCCAAGAGAAAATTATTTCCAACCTAAAATTCTCCACTCAAACTCCCCCAGTATTATCAACATTTAGGGTCTCAAAATGTTTGTATTCTGTTATGGATTAAATTGTGTTCCCCCAAAAGATTAATTGAAGTCTTAATCCCCAATACCTCCCAATGTGACCTTAACTGAAAATGAGGTCATTGCAGATATCATTAAGTCAAGATGAGGTCATAATAGAATAGGACAGGCCCTTAACCCAATAGAACTGATGTCTCTATTACAAAAGAAAAATCTGGACACACACACACACACACACACACACACACACACACACACACACACACAGGGAGAATGCCATGTGACAAGAGAGGCAGACATTAGAGAGGATGCGGTTGTAAGCCAAGGAACACCAAGCTTCAACATCCATCACCAAATGCTTGGAAAAGGCAAGGGAGGGTTCTCCCCAGAGGCTAAGAGGGAACATGGCCCTGGGGGCTCCTTGACTCAAACTTACGGCCTTCAGAACTGTGAAAAAACAAATTTCTGTTGTTTTAAGCTGCCCAGTTTAGTAATTAGTTACAAAAACCCTTGGGAATGAATACACCTCCCATCTATGCTTTCTCTGGAAGCTACTGAAAGATGTACTCCATCAGAACAAAGGAAAAAACCAAGAGAGATGACACAGGTTTAAGAAAAAGGGGTTGTGACCCAGAGGAGAAGTGAAAAGAAATCCAGGTTGATGGAAAAGGGAGGCTACAGAACCACAACTGTGCAACTGGTCTACTTTGGAGCAAGACATAGGCTCCAGGAAGAGGGTCCCCAACAAAAACATCAGAACTAATTGAAGTCAATGAACTATCTGATGTGTCTGACCACCTGGAAAAAAGTTTTGCAATGCTGCTGAAATTCTGTAATTATTTATCAAAAATTATAGAAAACTAATCAAATAGAAAAATAAAGGCAATTACAAACTCCAGAAAAAAACAAAAAGTCACCATGATAGTACACCATATATCTAAGCTATGTAAGACATTTATAGTTATAATTCTGTAAGCATCAGATGTTAACAAAATGTAATTCTTTTAAGAAAATGGGGAGAAATACGTATTTGAAAGGGGCACCAATCTAAGAGTTAAATTCTTATCCTCTCTAGTTAGAAACCTATGGAGAATGACCAAAGCTGAATATTCATGAAATAACTGCATGATTATATTATTTTAAAAGATGGAGAATATAAACAGAAAAATTGGCTGAAAGAATTTAGAGTGCTTGCTGTTTTAAGCAAGACTTGGGGTAGGTGCCAGGCACAGCAGCTCACACCTGTAATACCAGCACTTTGGGAGGCAGAAGAAGGTAGATCCTTTGAGCTCAGGAGTTCAAGACCAGCCTGGCCAACATAGTGAAACCCCATCTCTACTAAAAATACAAAAATTAGCCAGGTGTAGTAGCACACACCTGTAATACCAGCTACTCGGGAGGGTGAGGCAAGAGAATAGCTTAAGTCTTGGATGCAGAGGTTGCAGTGAGCCGAGATCATGCCACGGTGCTCCAGCCTGGGTGAGAGAGTAAGATTGTCTCAAAAAAAAAAAACAAAAAAAACCCCACAAGGTAGGCAGGTGTGACACTGAGGATATCTTTCTCTTATAAACTTTAATCAACTTTTAGAAAACGTAGTTCAAGTCTATACAAGAGCAAAGAGCATAATACAATGACCCCCCATGGGACCCATCTTCGACAATGAGCAACTCAAAATCAAATTCACTTTTAAACAAGGTATCACCTTAAATAAAAATAAAAATTGAAAAAAAAAATTCATGGATAAACTATGGTGAATTTTTTTTTTTTTTTTTTTTTTTTTTGAGATGGAGTTTCACTCTTGTTGCCCAGGCTGGAGTGCAGTGGTGTGATCTCTGCTCACTGCAACCTCTGCCTTCCGGGTCCAAGTGATCCTCCTGCCTCAGCCTCCTGAGTAGCTGGGATTACAGGTGCCTGACACCACGCATGGCTAACTTTTGTATTTTTAGTAGAGATAGGGTTTCACCATGTTGGCCAGGCTGATCTCGAACTCCTGACCTCAAGTAATCCGCCCCCCCTCAGCCTCCCAAAGTACTGGGATTACAGGCATGAGCCACCACACCCAGCCAGTGGATCCATTTTCCATTTTTTAAAAGTGAGAGACAGTGTTTTCCAGACACAAAGATCCACAAATGCAAAGGCCCTGGAGTATGTCTGGGGAGCAAAAAAAGGCCTCCAAGCCTGCAGGATAATGAGCAACGGGAAGAGTGGGGTGGGACAAGGCTGGAGAAGGAGGCAGGGACCTGACACTTGACTGGCAAAGGTAAGAAGTTAGGATGTAATTATAAGCATGATGGGACTCTTTAAAGATAAGGGTTTTCATGTGTTTGCTTCTAAAATTAAGACAGGTTCCCACTATGTTGCACAGGCTGATCTCAGACTCCTGGCCTCCAGAAGTCCTCCCGCCTCGGCCTCCCACAGTGCTGGGATGACAGGTGTGAGCCACTGTGCCTGGCCCAGTTTGAGTCTTCAGTTAGCCTAGCCAATAAAAGGAAAAGGTGTTCCAGGAAGGAGGCATAGCTTGAGCAAAGGCCTGGAAGTCAGAAATCTGAGCTGCTAGCCAAGGAGGCCCCACGGCCAACACTCACCTTCCCACTTCCACAGGGTGGCCCGAGATGTGTCCTTCCACTGCCCGCCTGCCACAAACAGCGGCCGCCCATTGAACTGCACCTTCAGGTGACTGCTTCTTTCCACATAGGGCAAGCGGAGGCTCAAGTGGTGCAGCTGCACACGGCAATCCACCTGCCTCTCAGGCACCTGCAGCACAAACTGGAGAATGCCCACCCCCCCCCAAGATGCCAATGGGATCATGCCATCCCCGGCCTAGAATGTGCCCAGGAAATCGAGGCAGCAGTGAGCCAAGATTGCACCACTGCACTCCACACGAGCAATGAGAATGGAACCCAGTCCAAAAAACAGAAAACAAGAAGCTCTGGTAAGGATGTGGAGAAATCTGAATTCTCAAACGCTGATGGTGGGAAGGTAAAATACTGCAGCTACTGTGGAAAACAGTGTGGCAGTTTTGCAAAAAATTAAAGATCGAATTACCATATGACCCCAGCAATGACACTTCCAGGTGTATATACAAAAGAACTGAAAGCAATTGAAACAACTGAAAGCATCAGTTCATAACAGCATTTATTCACAATAGCCAAAAGATGGAAGCAACCCGCATGTCCATCAATGGATGAATGGATAAATAAAATGCTGTCTATACAGACAATGGAGTATTCAGCCTTAAAAAGGAAGGAAATTTGACACATGCTATGATATGGATGAACCTTGAGGACATGCTAAGTAAGCCAGCCAAAAAAAGGGCAGGTAAGGCATGGTGACTCACGCCTGTAATCCCAGCAGTTTGGGAGGCTAAGGTGGGTGGATCACCTGAGTTCAGGAGTTCAAGACCAGCCTGGCCAACATGGTAAAACCCCGTCTCTACTGAAAATACAAAAAATTAGCTGGGGCTGGGCGTGGTGGCTCACGCCTGTAATCCCAGCATTTTGGGAGGCTGAGGCAGGCGGATCACCTGAGGTCAGGAGTTCAAGACCAGCCTGGCCAACATGGCAAAGCCCCATCTCTACTAAAAAATACAAAAATTAGCCGGGCGTGGTGGTGGGCGCCTGTAATCCCAGGTACTCAGGAGGCTGAGGCCCAGAGAATTGCTTGAACCCAGAGGCAGAGGTTGTAGTAAGCCAAGGTCATGCCACTGCACTCCAGCCTGGACAACAGGCCAAGACACTATCTCAAAAAAAAAAAAAAAAAAAAAAAAAATTAGCCAGGTGTGGTGGGCAGGTGACTGTAATCCCAGCTACTTGGGAGACTGAGGCAAGAGAATCGCTTGAACCTGGGAAGTGGAGGTTGCAGTGAGCCACGATCGCGCCATTGCACTCCAGTATGGGCAATAAGAGGGAAACTCCGTCTCAAAAAAAAAAAAAAAAAAAGATAAATACTATATGATTCCACTTCTGTGTGGTAGCTAGAGTACTCCAAAGTCCAAAAGAGAAAGTAGAATGATGGTTTCCAGGGACTGGGAGCAGGGGAGAATGGGGAGTCAGCATTTCCTGGTTACAGACTTGCAGTTTTGGAAGTTCTGGACATAAGTAATGGTGATGGCTGCACAAGAATGTAAATGCATGTAATGCCACTAAACTTCAAAATGGTTAAAATACTAAATGTGGCTGGGCGTGATGGCTTATGCCTATAATCCCAGCACTTTGGGAGGCTGAGGTGGGTGGATTACCTGAGGTCAGGAGTTCAAGACCAGCCTGGCCAACATGGAGAAACCCTGTCTCTACTAAAAATACAAAAAAATTAGCCAGACATGGTGGCAGGCACCTGTAATCCCAGCTACTCGGGAGGCTGAGGCTGGAGAATCGCTTGAGCCCCGGAGGCAGAGGTTGCACTGCGCCAAGATTGTGCCACTACACTCCAGCCTGGGCGGCAGAACAAGACTCAGTCTCCAAATAAATAAATAAATTAAACTAAATTAAATAATTAACATAAACAGTAAATTTTACATGACATATATTTAAACACAGTTAAAATCAAAGAATATTTAAAAGACCATTTGCAGGACTGGATCTGAAAAGGGAAAAAAAATTCTAAACCAATTTTTAAATCAACATACAAGGTTAAATAGTGCTGTTTAAGAACCACCACCTGTTCAGCTGCTGAGCACACCATCATTCCTAACTCAGCAAAAGAACCCACCCTCCGGGAAAAACTGAAAGCGAACCCCTCTTTCCAAAACGCATTTTTACAGGTGGAAATCTGTGTTTCCCAGGCCCTCCTGCCAGTCCTTGGCCCTCTGAGAAGCGTTTCTCACCCCTGGGGACATGGGGCTGGAGGTGCAAAACGGAAAGTCACCAAGGCTGAGTTTCAGTTGGCTGCATCCTTGCAGCCAGGGCCAGAGGGCCATGCGGGGGTTCCCCAGCTCCCACCATCCATGCTGGACTCATGGGGCACGGCTCTGCTGCAGTGGCCGGGCTCACCTCCATGAAGTGATTGCTCAGGGCGGGCCCCGAGTCATTCTTGAAGGTCTGGCTGACACGGAGATGCCTCTTGTTGCTGTTCTTGTCCCAGTGCTTCCCGTAGCTCACCTCCAGCTGTGAGTGCAGGTGGCCCGAGTCCTCCTCGTGCCAGAGCTGGACCTGGGACACACATGGGTGGTGAACTGCCCATGGAGGCCCTGCCCACCTAGTCCCTGGGCCTCCTCACAGCCACCCACTCCAGGGATATCAGCTTGGTTTTCAGAAGAGACGGTTCTGTAGGAAGCACTATTTCGGTTTGTTTGTTTTTAATTTATTATTTATTTTAGAGACAAGATCTCACTCTCCCACCCAGGCTGGAGTACAGTGGCGCCATCTTGGCTCACTGCAACCTCTGCCTCCTGGGCTGAAGCATTCCTGGATGAATAGATGTAAGACTGAGGCTGAAGTTCCAGCCCCGGATCCATTCCCATATGGCTATGTGATTTTGAGCAAGTCCATCTCTTTGGAGATGAGCTCAGGGTACTCAGATCACCACTTGCCTGACTCTGGCGCTCTCTCTGGATGTCGCACCTGGCCTGGGCACCCACCTTGTGGCTGAAGGCTGGGATCTGTGTGCAGTGGAGCTCGTGGCCCAGCACCAGCCTGTAGGCGCCATTCGAGCTGCTCTCTGCCTGCAGCTTCTGGCTGGTGCTACACTCGTGTGTCGGCTGCTTCGCCTGACCTGTGTGGATTAACCTATAGACCCCTGCCCTCCTCTACCAGGCAGCCCTCCACCAGGGCTCCAAGAGGAGGAGGGCCTGGCCCAGCCTGGCCTCAGCCACAACCCCATGCTCTACTCCACCCGTCACTCCATTAGAACCTGATGATGGGGAGGTCTTAAGAGATGGGGGTGAACGTCCCCTTAAAAGATACACCTTTTTTTTTTTTTTTTTTAAATGGACAGGTACTCAGTCCTACTCAGAGCCAACAGAGTGACTAATGGAAAAACCCCGTGGTGACAGCGTATCTTAGCTAACGGAGCCACAGCCCTAGAAAACAGGGCAGGCCCTGTCACCTCCACCTGCCCCGCAGCCAGGCATGCAGCACCTTACCCAGAAGGCTGTACTGGATCCTCAGGTAGTTGGTCCAGAGCCGGTCCCATTGCTGCAGCAGGCCAATGGCACGCAGCCCCACCAGACCTGGCACGAAGAGCTCGGCACCCAGGGTGGCCACCCACCTCCCATCCTCCTCCTTCCTCTCCAGCAGTGCTGCAGGGACAAAGAGCAGGCAGATGAGAGGACCAGCCCCTGGGACCAACATCCCCACCCCCAGGCAAAGAGGGGACTCGGGAATCACCGAGGGGCCTTGGCGTTGGGGGCTCCTTGAAGAGCCAACACATGTGCACCCTGCACAACAGGCCACAGTCAGGCCTGATCACAGCTTACTGTAGCCTTGACCTCCCAGGCTCAATCGATCCTCCCATCTCAGCCTCCCGAGTAGCTGGACCGACAGATGTGTGTGCCACCACACTTCGCTAATTTTTGTATTTTTTGTAGAAGCAGTGGTCTCACTATGTTGCCTAGCCTGGTCTTGAACTCCTGGGCTCAAGTAATCCTCTTTGCCTTAGCTTCCCAAAGTGCTGGGATTACAGGCGTGAGACACTGCGCCTGGCCCAAAAATAAACTACAAAAAACCAAAATCGAACAAGACAGAAGAGAAAAGAAATAACAGTGCATGGTGGGTTGTTGGGTCAATTTCACCTTTGGAAGCTTCTGAGACACAGAAGCTCAGCCAGAACACACAGGTGAAACTGAGCCAGCTGTTATGACTCCCAAACGCCCACATCAGAGGGTCGACAGCCACTGCTCCAAGAACCCCCAGCCCCAGCTCCTGTCCTTACCCTGGAATCTTCCGGAACACCCATGAGAGGCACACCCAGGCGCCACCACCCCACCTCCAGCACCAGGGCCAGCACCTGCTCTGTCTTAAATGCCCAGTGTATTTTAGGTCAAAATGTTACATGTGTTTCTTATCATGGATCAGAATAAAAACACTCCAAAAGCTGCCATTTTAAGGTTTGTGGATGCAGTTGGAGGTTGGGGGAGGTTCTGGGGGCTCACATGGATCCTGGATCTGCCCTTAGATGGGATGTTGATATTAAGAGAGGCTGGGGTGATGAGGAGCAAAATGAGGCACTTGGGCCACCACACCTTAGCCTGGCCACAGAGCAGAGGGCGCAGAAGGGGTCTCATCTCCTACCTGTCACGTGGGCCTGGTCACTCAGTGGATGGCTCAGCCATGCGGAGAAGGCCAGCTTGCTGCCCGCCTGCCGTGTGACGTTCCCGGCAAAGACAATGGGGCTGCCCCCCGTCACCAGTTTCACCTCCAGCTGCGCCTGGAACCACTCGGCCTCACCACCCACGGCTGGCTGCAGGTCACTCCAGCCCTGAAAAGGCTTCAGTGTCACCTGGGAAGACAGGCTTGGCCAGCAGGCCCAGCCCTGACCACACGAGCTGGGACCAGACAGGGCAGGAGACAAGCCAGATGACAGCCTTCTACACTGATCCTTCCCCAGTTTTTGTTTTTCCTTGAGACGGAGTCTCACTTTGTGTCCCAGGCTAGAGTGCCGTGGTGGGATCCTGGCTCACTGCAACCTCCACCTCCCGGGTTCAAGTGATTCTCCTGCCTCAGCCTCCCGAGTAGCTGGGATTACAGGCACGAGCCACCACACCCAGCAAATTTTTAAATTTTTAGTAGAGATGGCGTTTCACTATGTTGGTGAGGCTGGTCCCAAGCTCCTGAGCACAAGTGATCCACCCGCCCTGGCCTTCCAAAGTGCTGGGATTACAGGCATGAACCACTGTACCCAGCGCTTCCCCAATTTTTTAAACTCTGGATTTCTCAAAATCAGAAACCTGTGTTACAAATTTAGACATAAATACAAGGGACTCCTCTTCTCTCCTTGACATCCCCCTCTTTCAATCCATCAGCAACTGGAGTCCACTATCCCTATGGAATGGGTCTAGAATCAACCACTTCTGCCACCTCTGCTGCCTCACCAGCTGGAGCCCCGGTCATCTGCCTGTCTCACTGCAACATCCTCCTGGCTCTCCTGGCTCCCATCCCACCGCTGGCAACTGATCTCCACATGGCAACCAGACACGTCAAATGATGGCACACTAGCCTTTCTTACGGTACAATCCAAAGTCCTTGCGAAGGCCATCGAGGCCAGAATTTTCTCTTTTGGTCAGTGGTGCAGACCTGGCCATGGGAAGACACTGGCAGATGGGCCATGGGGACAGCTCACTACACACTTCACGGCCCCGCAGAGAAGATTCTCTGGAAAAGCCATGAGCAACTGCAAATACAATCTTTCACGGCCCTGCCAACTTGCAGTCCCCCAACCCAACACCCCTCTGATGGCCACCAGCTGGTCACTTTACCCAAAAGACGTCCAAGCAACTCTATTACCAGACTGCCACTACTTAACGTTCTCTTTCCCTGCTCCCCGCAGACGTGTGTGTACGAATGTGTGTGGATGTGTGTACAGATGTATCTACATGGATGTGTGTGTATACAGGGGTGTGTATAGACATGTATGTATACAGACATGTGGGTGCACCCAGGTGTATCTACGAATGTGTTTGCACATGGATGCGTCTGTATGTAGATGTGTGTATGGACATGCGTGTGTATGAACATATGTATACGGATGTGTAAAGAGGTATATATATAGATGTATATATATGAATGTATGCATACAGATATGTCTACATGTGGACTGTGTGAATACGGATGTGTGTACAGACATGTGAACAGATATGTATATAGGGGTGTATGTAGATATGCACACAGATATGTGTATATATACGGACGTATATATATGAACGTATATCCAGATGTGTCTACATGTGGATGTTCGTGTGTGTGAATATGGACGTGTGTGTACGGACACGTGTACGGACACGTATGTGTATGGATGTGTGTAAAGAGGTGTATATATAAATGCATGTATATGAATGTGTACAGATATGTCCACACGTGGATTGTGTGAATACGTATGTATATGGACATGTATGTATGCACATGTGAACAGACATGTATATATATATAGATGTGTGTACATAAATGTGCATACAGATATGCCTACATTTGGATATGTATATGCAATGTCCTCCTGACTCTCCCAGCTCACATCCCGCCACTGGCAACTTGATCTCCACATGGCAACCAGACATGTGGAATGATGGCACACTAGCCTTTCTTATGGTACAATCCAAAGTCCTTGCGAAGGCCAGCAAGGCCAGAACTTTCTCTGTTGGATGTGCACACAGATGTATGTACGAATGTGCTTGTACATGGATGTGTCTGCATGTAGACGTGTGTATGGACATGTGTGTGTATGAACATTTGTATGTATAAAGAAGTGGATATATGGATGTGTGTATATGAATGTATGCAAACAGATATGTCCACATGTGGATTGCGTGAATACAAATGTGTGAATACATTGGATGTGAATATGGATGTATGTGAATATGGATGTATATGGGCTCTGTATAGACATGTGTACAGATGTGTATACAGATGTGTATATATAAATGTATATACAGATGTGTCTACATGTGGATGTTCATGTATGTAAATATGGGCGTGTGTACGGACATCTGTATGAACATGTGTATGGGTATGTCACAGGTGTATGGATGTACATGTGTGCACACACGACTACAGAGACACACCCTCTCCTTCTCTTTTTACAGAAACAGATGCTGGCTCTCTACTCTGCTCCCAGCTTTTCCTGCTGGCAGGCACATTCTGGCGATGGCTTTCTCCAGTCTGGACCAGACGCTGTGTGGTGCTCGTCAGAGCTTCCTCAAGGTGCACATGAACAGGGTGAACACAGAATTTCTCACCCAAACCAGAACACTTTGCAGTTAAAGAGAACACTAGTTGTAAACGTGTCAGGTCAGCAGGCATAACCTGGGGCTCTCCAGGCAACCCAGGACCCAAACCCTGCACACTAGCGGGAGGGGGCAGAGAACAGAACATTCTTCCCTAAACCAATCTTAAATCGTATAAGCTTTGAGACAAGTTGAACCCAAGCTCTGGCACTTTGTATTCATGAGCTCATCTGCCTCAGTTTCTTCATCTTGTATGGGGTTACAGAGAGGACTTGAAGGGGGGACCTCATGTCTGCTGAAACAGGCTCCAGAAAGTTCCAGAGTTCTGGAGCTCCAGCTGTTACTGTACTTGTGATGAGTCTGGGGCAGGTGGAACTAGAATTTGTCCAAACATTTCCAGGCTGCAGACAGCTCCATAGGGACCAGCAGGAAGGTCCGCGGGGAGGTAGAGGCAACTTGTGCTTGTACATTTGACAAACAACTAGAAGTTCGAGGGCCCCTGGTAATTTTGGAAATGAGGCATAACTCTCAGCTATCAGGCAGGTGGGGCTTTAGGAGGACAGCTCTCCCCTGACATAGATCTTCCCCCAACTCAGGCTGACAGCACAGCTGGAAGTAGAGAATGTATTTTTGCAGCAAGAGATCCAGCTCCAGCTTCAGATGCTCCACTCCAGGCCTCTCTGAGAAGACACTGGGAACTGAGGCAGAATCAGGAGATCCACTGCCAAAGGTGCCCAGCAATCATGCCTGGTGGGATCAAGTCTAAAACTGCTATTTGTACCCTGGCTCTAGTTCTGTGGCATGATCTTGACTTACTGGAACCTCCACCTCCCAGATTCAAGCAATTCTCCTGCCTCAGCCTCCCGAGAAGCTGGGACTACAGGTGTGCGCCACCATGCCCAGCTAATTTTTGTATTTTTAGTAGAGACAGGGTTTCACCATCTTGGCCAGGCTGGTCCCAAATTCCTGACCTCCAGTGATCCTCCCACCTCAACCTCCCAACATTTGTACACTTTTTGAAGTCACAGATCTGCTTGAAAAGGGGATGGAAGTTTTAAATCTTCTCCGCAGGATGGAGGGCAGACACAAAACTTCAACAGAATGACAGGGGCTTCAAGTGACTCACTAAGTTTCGACCAGGTACCCTTGGGTAAGAACCCTAGAAAAGCACCTACTAAGATGAAAACAAGCCTAGACAGCATAGTAAGACCTCATCTTCACACACAAACAAAAAGAAATAAAGAAAGAAAGAAAAACAGAAGGGCATTGTGGCACAGGCCGTAGTCCCAGCTACTTGGGAGACTGAGGCAGGAGGATCGCTTGAGCCCAGGGATTTGAGGCTGCAGTGATCTAGGATCATGCCACTGCACAGAAGAAGATGTTATAAAAGAAGAGAAGGCGGGGAGGTGCACAGAGAGGGAAAAGAGAGACAGGCAAAGAGGGAGAAGACATGGGGGAAAGTGTGGGAAAGAGGTGGGAAGAGAGAGGGAAGAGAGGGAATAGACGGCGGGAAAGAGAGGGAGAGAAAGGAAAGGAAGAAAGGAAGAAAAGAGAAAAAACATATAAACCTTGTGGCCAGGGAATTCCATTGTTAAGAATTTACTCTGCAGAGAAAATGGTGTTCACGGCAGAATATTTGTAAGAGCGGAAACCTGGCAAAAACTCAAGAGCCCTTCATTATTAAACTAGCTGAATAAATTCCATTCCACGGACTATTACACAGTCATTCATGCTACACAGGAGGCACTTATTTTCTTTAAAGTGGATATATTAACTCCATGTGCTGACTGTGTGCATAGACCATCTCAGAAACGAATCACCAATAAAACCCTAACAGTGGTTGGCTTTCAGGAGGGGTGGGAGAGAAGTTTTAAGGCTACACCAGCACCAACCAATAGAACTTTCTGTAATGAGGGCAATGTCTCAGGGCTGCATGAAGCTTTAGAGCACCTGAAATGTGGCCCATGCAGCCAAAGAACTAAATCTTTAATTTCCTTAAATTTTAATTCATTTAGTTTTTTTTTTGTTTGTTTGTTTGTTTTTTTTTTGAGATAGTCTCGCTCTGTTGCCCAGGCTGGAGTAAACTGGCATGATCTTGGTTCACTGCAACCTCCGTGTCCCCACCCCCATAGGTTCAAGAAATTCTCCTGCCTCAGCTTCCCAAGTAGCTGGGATTACAGGAGCCCGCCACCACACCTGGCTACTTTTTGTATTTTTGGTAGAGATGGGGTTTCGCCAAGTTGGTCAGGCTGGTCTTGAACTTCTGACCTCAAGTGAGCCACCTCCCTCGGCCTCCCAAAGTGCTGGGATTATAGGCATGAGTCACCGCACCCCGCCTCACTTAGATTTTAATAAACATGTGTGCCACCGGCTACCATACGGAAAAGTCAGTTCTATACCCTTTCATAGCTTTTGAACTTTGAATCATTTAAATGCATTGCCTATTTAATTGTAGAATGTAATAGTATTTAGATTGAATTAATCTAAATGAAATCTACAATAGAATTTAAATTGTATCAGCGCATGCTGGTCTAAAAAGATTGCCACGGTGTATGTACATATATGTGTATTACGTGTGTATGTATATATACATATATATATATATACAAGCGTGCGCGCACACACACATACATATATTTTTTGAGACAGAGTCTCGCTCTGCCACCCAGACTGCAGTGCAGTAGTACAAAATCATCTCACTGCAACCTCTGCCTCCTGGGTTCAAGTGATTCTCCTGCCTCACCCTCCTGAGTGGCTGGGATTACAGGCGCCTGCCACCACACCCGGCTAATTTTTTGTATTTTCAATAGAGATGGGGTTTCACCATGTTGGCCAGGCTGGTCTCCAACTCCTGGCCTCAAGTGATCCATCCACCTTGGCCTCCCCAAGTGTTGGGATTACAGGCATGAGCCATGGTGCCCAGCTGCCAAGGTATATTTTTGAGTTTAAAAAAAAAAAAAAAGTCCCTACAAGTTAAAAAAAAAGAAAAAAACTGGGAAACTGGGAGTGGAGGCTCATGCCTGTAATCCCAGCACTTTGGGAGGCCAAGGTGGGCAGACTGTGTGAGCCCAAGAGTTTGAGACCAGCCTGGGCAATGTAGTGAGACCCCATTTTTACACAAATATAAAAAAAATAGCCAAGCATGGGGGCACATGCCTGTAGTCCCAGCTACTCGGGAGGCTGAGGTGGGAGGATCGCTGGAGCCCAGGAGGTCAAGGCTGCAGTGAGCCATGTTTGCACCTCTGCACTCCAGCCTGAGCGACAGAGCAAGACCCCGCCTCAAAAAAAGAAAATAAAAATGAAAAAACAAAACCTAAGCATGAAAATTGGGTTTTCATGCTATTGTATGATGTGTGCCTCCCTCAAAACTTGTTACATCATCACATCACCCACCTGATGTGAGAAAGAAAAAATAAAACCCAGAAACCCAAACTAAAAATATTTGCAAATCTATAGTGTTACGGGTTGCACTGTGTCTCCCTGCAAGATGCTGAAGCCCTAAGCCGCCGTATCTGTGAATGTGACCTCATTTGGAAATAGGGTCTTCACACATGATTAAGCTAAGCTGAGGTGATGAGGGTGAACCCTAATCCCGTGTGCCTGATGTCCCTGTAAAAAGGGGATGTGTGGACATCAGACACCTACAAAGGGAAGATTATGTGAAGACGGAGACAGAAGACCACCTCCAAGCCAAGGAGCTCTGGAGGTTTCTAGAATCCAGGAGCGAGACCTGGGGCAGATCCTCCCTGACAGCCTTCACAGTGGGGAAAAAAACAGAAAAACCTCGATTTCAGACTCCTGGCCTCCAGAACTGTGAGAATAAATCCCTGTAGCTGAAGCCACACAGTTAGGGTACTTTGTTAAGGCAGCTCTGGGAAATGAATACAGATTTCTCGACACGTGCATCAATACTTCTGCAGGAAATTTCAGACGCGGCATGCTTTAACTTCCAATTTATACCTTTCTCTATTCTGAATTCTTTTTTTGTGAGACAGGGTCTTACTTTGTTGCCCAGGCTGGAGTGTAGTGGCACAAGCATGGCTCACTGCAGCCTCAACCTTCTGGGCTCCAGCGGTCCTCTTGCCTCAGCCTCCTGAGTAGTTGAGACTACAGGCACACGCCACTGTGCCTGGGTAACTTTTTAAAATGTTTTGTAGAGACCGGATCTTGCTAAGTTGCCCAGGTTTATCTCGAACTCCTAGCCTCAAGTGATCCTCCCACCTTAGCCTCCTAACTTTCTGTAATTACAGGTATAAGCCATTGTACCTGGCTTTTTTATTTATTTATTTATTTATTTATTTATTTATTTATTTATTTATTTAGAGACAGAGTCTCACACTGTCTCCCAGGCTGGAATGCAGTGGCATGATCTCAGCTCACTGAAACCTCCGCCTCCTGGGTTCAAGTGATTCTTTTGCCTCAGTCTCCCAAGTAGCTCGGATTACAGGCACCTGCCTCACACCTGGCTAATTTTTGTATTTTTATAAGAGGTGGGGTTTCACCATTTGGCCAGGCTGGTCTCGAACTCCTGACTTCAGGTGATCCACCCGCTTTGACCTCCCAAAATGCTGGAATTACAGGCGTGAGCCACTGCATCCCGCCTGAATTCTTAAAAGCATGTTTTTGTGTTATTAATATCCATTTTTAACATCAATGACGGTGGAATTTGAGCCCATTTTTTTCTTCTTTATACATTTCTGGGTAACAGAACTAACACTTGTTAACCGGCAGGTAGAAAGGGAACATCCCAGAGGTGGTGGCAATAGTTAACAGGGCTCTGGGAACCGGGCAGGAAATCCCTGGGGAGGTGGCAGGTGCCGACACAGGTGGGCCAAGGGTGTGGAGCAAACCTTGATGTAGTAGACATCCCTGTCATCCAGTATCAACTCCAAGTGACCCACGTGGGCACTCCCAAGAGCCTCCATCTTTCCTGGGGGTACAAAACGAGAGTTTAGAGACAAGCGTTGAACATCTAGACCTGGCCCCTCCATTCCCCTGGACCGCCTGCCCATTTTTTAATCTCTGAGCCTAAGATGCAGCACCTGTAAAATGGGACTGGATTTCAGGAGGTCACAGACAAACCTATGAGCCAGCTCACCGTAGGGGCCCAGCCCTGGGTGTGGCACCGAGTCAGGGGTGCAGGGAGCAGGGAGGGATGTTGACATTACCGTCCAGCTTGATTTTCTTCTTGGGATGGAGAAGCTTGAGCCGGAACTTGCTCTGGGGCAAGCTGTAGCTGACGTCCACCCCGACATCCCTTGGCACTTCTGACCCCGGCGTGCCCATGAAGATGTGGGCTGTGGCTTCTTGAGGGAACCAGCTGTCCTTCTGTAAACAGCAGAGTCCTCAAGACTGAGAGCCTCCACCTCCACCCTTCAGACCCTAGCACAGTTGTCCTCATAATTCCCCAATGAGGAGTTTCTCGGGCTTCAAAATCGCCTGCAGAAGTGTAAAGCTCTGCAGCACAGCCCAGGTCCATGCCCACAGGGTCGCAATTTATCCAGCAAATGGCCAGGGAGAAGCAGCTGCAGGGCACACCCCCGGTATCCTGTACAAACGCCTCCCATCCTTTTTTGTTTTGAGACCCAGTCCCACCCTGTTGCCCAGGCTGGAGTGCCGGGGCATGATCTTGGCTCACTGCAACCTCTGCCTCCCAAGTTCAAGTGATTTTCCTGCCTCAGTCTCCTGCGCAGCTGGGATTACAGGTATGCGCCAACAAGCCTGGCTAATTTTTGTTTTGTTATTTTTAGTAGAGACAGGGGTTTCACCATGTTGGCCAGGCTGGTCTTGAACTCCTGACCTCAAGTGATCCACCTGCTTTGGCCTTCCAAAGTGCTGGGATTACAGGCGTGAGCCACTGCACCCGGCCTCTCCCATCCTTTTAACCAGCTTTGTGTCCTTGTCCCCCAGCTTCTGCAAGCTCTGCACTTCCTGGCTGTCACCTGAGGGCTCCAGAACATTGCCCTCCAGCACTCCAGCCAAAACTCCCAGCACCCTAACCCAGAGGGGAACACACTCTGCAAATACCTCGTGCTCTGGGGCTCCCCGTGGGGCCAGGCTGAGGCTGCAACTTCACCTGAAATTGCACCCCTCTCAGCATCTTCCCCCGGCCTGTCCTAATTTCTCCACTCTTACTGGGTCCCCCAGAGCCTTTTCTTAATAAATCACTTGTACCCGAGTCCAAGGCTTGGGTCTCTTTTCAGGAAAGTGCAGCCTCAGCCACAAGCCCCGTTCTGAAATCCCACGGCAGCGTACATCTGTTCAACACCAACAGAGACGCGCTGCTGAGTGGAAGATGACTGAGCATGAGACATGCAGAGTCCCCGACCGCATGGAGCCTGCGTCCTAGAGAGGCACAGGACCACCAGACGCAAGAATGGGTAAGACAGCACCAGCCAGTGAGTGTGCTGACAAAGTCAATGGTTTAGGGGCCCTGAGCGGAGTGCTGCTCTAGACGGGGGTCCAGGAAGGCAACCTCTGAGGGGTCCCATTGAAGAACACTTGAAAGGAGCGAGGGAGGGACTTAGATGGCTGTGCCAGGGAAGAGTGTTCCTGGCAGGGGAAACAGCCAGTGCAGAGGCCATGGGACAGGCATGTGCATGGCCTTGAAAAAGGGGCCAGTGTGTCTTCACGGCAGTGAGTCTGGAGGAGAGTGAGGAAGGGCAGCCAGCAGGGGCGGGACTGCCAAGGGCCTGTGGGTCACGGCGTCTGGCTCTTACTCTAAGGATAACAGGAGCCACAGCGGGGTGGTTCATGCAGAGCAGGGACACGATCCAGCTAGGATTTCAGAGGGCCCATCTGGCTGCTGGTTAAGATGGTAAGGAGACCAGAGCAGGAGCTGGGGGATCAGACAGGAGGCCGCTGAGTGTCTCCTCTGGACCAGATGCTATGACACAGGGGTAAGTAAAACAAACCCTGAATCTGCTCCCAGGAACTGAGTCACCAGCAGGGAAGACAGACATTAACTAACTAGCTTCACTAAGAAACAGAAGTGATCAAAAGGGAAGAAACGTGGATGTCTTAAGGCAAGTCACAAAAGAATATGATGTGCTCTGGGGTAACCAAGGCAGGCTTCCCTGAGGAAGTGACCCCTGAAATGAGATCTGAAGACTGATTCAGAGTTAATGCGTCATACAGCCCCAGACAGAGAATCAGTATGCGCAAGGGTCCAGAAGAAACCTACAGCAAGAGCAGCGCAGCCCAACAGCGCCACAGAGGAGCCCCACATCCTTTTGGGAGAGCCCAGTGCTGACCTAAGGAGACCCATGACATGGCTGAGAAAGACAGGGCTGTTCCCTAGGGCCCACCTGGGGCTGCAGGGTATACGCAGCTTCCAGCAGATACTGTCGGAGCCCCGGGTCCCGCTTCTGCAGCGTCACGGCCGCAAACACAGGCAATGAGAGCACGTAGGGCTGGCCAGGCACCGGCCAGGTCACTTCAGTGCACAGCCGCCAGCCCCAGGTGTAGGACACTGCAGAGAGAGGTAAGCAGGCAGCCCTGGTCAGTGGAGACCCAGAGGGCTCTGGGCATGGGCACCCACAGCTGCCACACCAGCGAAGAAAGCACTTCTCTGATTTCTTCTAAAGAAAGGCACCATGTAGACAGGAATCCTGTGAGGCAGTGGTGTGTAGACCGGGGTTTCTCTACCTCAGCACTACTGACATTTGGGTTCAGATCATCTTATCTGGGGGGCTGTCTTGTGCATTATAGGATGTTTCGCTGCATCGTGGGTCCCTATCCGCTAGATGCCAGTTACCCTTACCAACAATCAAATATTTCTGCACATATTACCAAATGTCTCCTGTGGGGTCAAAACTGCCCCAGCTGAGAACCCCTGGTAGACTTTTTTTTCACACAAGAGTCTCGCTCTGTCACCCAGGCTGGAGTGCAGTGGCACAATCTCAGCTCACTGCAACCTCTGCCTCCCAGGTTCAAGTGATTCTCCTGCCTCAGCCTCCTGAGTAGCTATATCCTAGAGAGGAGGCACAGGATGACCACACACAAGAACGGGTAAGACGGCAGCCGCCAGTGAGTGTGCTGGCAAAGTCAATGGTTAGGGGCCCTGACGGGGGTGCTGGTCTGGACAGGGGGTCCCGGGAAGGCAGCCTCTGAGAGGTCCCATTGAAGGACACTTGAAAGGAGCAAGGGAGGGAGTTAGGTGGATGTCCTGGGGAAGAGTATTACTGGCAAGGGAAACACCCAGTGCAAAGGCCCTGGGGCAGGCATTAGTGTAGCCTTGAAAAAGGGGCCAGTGTGTCTTCAGGGCAGCGAGTCTGGAGGACAGGCAGGAAGGGAGGCCAGCAGGGGCGGGACTGCCAAGGGATGATTACAGGCATGCGCCACCATGCCTGGCTAACTTTTGTATTTTTAGTAAAGATGGGGTTTCACCATGCTGGCCAGGCTGGTCTTGAACTCCGGACTTCAGGTGATCTGCCTACCTTGGCCTCCCAAAACGCTGGGATTACAGGCATGAGCTACCGTGCCTGGCTCCTGGTATACTTTTTAAAAAGAGTGTCAGGCAATACTGTGTAGAACACAGGCTCTGGAGCAAGAATGCCTTGTTCAAATTCTAGGCTCAGCCACTTCCCAGCTGTGTGACCTTGGACAAATTACTTAACCTCTCTGGGTCTCGAAGTTTCTTTTTCATTATTATTATTGCTATTACTCCCTTGACTGACTGTACGGGCGTCAGTGTTTCTCATCTTAAACTGCTAATGATAATAGTTCCTGTCTCATGGCATAGCTGTGACGACTAACAGGTCAGTAAGTGTTGAGAACAGCACTGGGCCTACAATAATGTCTTTTGTAGTAACTCTTATCCCGATTATAAAAATGTACTTGTGGCCGGGCGCGGTGGCTCAAGCCTGTAATCCCAGCACTTTGGGAGGCCGAGACGGGCGGATCACGAGGTCAGGAGATCGAGACCATCCTGGCTAACACAGTGAAACCCCGTCTCTACTAAAAAATACAAAAAAATAGCCGGGCGAGGTGGCGGGCGCCTGTAGTCCCAGCTACTCGGGAGGCTAAGGCAGGAGAATGGCGCAAACCCGGGAGGCGGAGCTTGCAGTGAGCTGAGATCCAGCCACTGCACTCCAGCCTGGGCGACGGAGCCAGACTCCGTCTCAAAAAATAAAAAAATAAAAAAAAAAAAATAATAAAAATGTACTTGTTGGATGGATGTGGTCACTCATGCCTGTAATCCCAGCACTTTGGGAGACCAAGGTGGGCAGATCACCTGAGGTCAAGAGTTTGAGACCAGCCTGGCCAACACAGTGACACCCCATCTCTACTAAAAATAAAAAAAATTAGCTGGTCATGGTGGCAGGCACCTGTAATCTCAACTACTCAGGAGAATCACTTGAGCCCAGAAAGCAGAGGTTACAGAGAGCAAGATTGCGCCACTGCACTCCTGTCTGAGCAACAGAGCAACACACTGTCTCAAAAAAAAAAAAAAAAATGTACTTGTTGCAGGAAGTTAGAAAAATTGAAAGATTTTAAAAATTTTTTCTGTATATGTTCTGTATTGTAAATGAGTTTATTTACAATTCTAAATACAAGTTAAATGCAAAAAAGGAAAATTATCAAGAAGCAAAATTTGTATCTCTTCATTAAAAAGAGCCCTCCCCAACCTTACTCATATATATGTATACACATATGCAGACACATATGTATGTATATACATAATATACACACATGTACACACATATATATGGGATTACATACATATATATGTGTGTATATATATTGCAAGATGTGCTATTATTTGGCACATTTATTTCCTGTCTTTTTACCCAGTTGAGATCATATTCAGTGTTGCTGCCTCACACTTGGTATTATTATTAAAGAAGTTTCTCACTAAAACAGCTCACTCATAATGGAATTTAAAAGTTTGGGAGACCAAAGCAGGCGGATCACCTGAGGTCAGGAGTTTGAGACCAGCCTGGCCAATGTGGTGAAACCCCGTCTCTACTAAAAATACAAAAATTAGCCAGGTGTGGTGACATGCACCTGTAATCCCAGCTACTTGGGAGGCTGAGGCAGGAGAATCACTTGAACCTGAGAGGCAGGGGTTGCAGTGAGCTGAGATTACATCATTGCACTCCAGCCTGGGTGACAAGAGTGAAACTCTGTCTCGAAAAAAAAAAAAAACAGTTATGCAGTATGTCAATAACTTACCAACCCAAGAGCCAGCAAACGTTCTTGGTAAAGGGCCCGATTGTTTAGTCAGTTACCTAGCTAGCTAGCTAGAGACAGAATCCTCCTTGGTCACCCTGGCTTGAGTGCAGTGGCATGAACACAGCTCACTGTTGCCTCGACCTCCTGGGCTCAAGTGATCTTCCTGTCATCCTTCCAAGTAGCTGGGACTACTGGTGCATGCCACCATGCCTGGCTACTTTGTTAATTTTTATGGAGACAAGGCCTCATTATGTTACCCAGGCCAGTCTTGAACTCCTGGACTCAAGGAATCCTCTCACCTCGGCCTCCCAAAATGCAGGGATTACAGGCGCGAGCTAGGTATCTGCCGGCCAGATAGTCAACATTTTATGCTTTGGGGTCATATGGTCTAGCTTGCAAGTACTCAGTTCTGCTGTTGTGGGACAAAGCTATAGGTTATATGCAAATGAAGGGGGTGTGGCTGTGTTCCCATACAACTTTCTTTCTGGACACTGAAATTTCAATTTCATGAAGTTTTCATGATACAAGATATTCTTTTGACTCTTTTTAACCACTTAATGTAACAACCTACGCTTAGCTCAGTGGACCTTATAATTAGCCATTTTGCCTACTCTGGAATATTTGAGTTGCTTCCTATTTTTTGTTCTAAATAATGATGCAACGAACATCTCTGTGCACAGAGCATTTTTAAGTGATTTTGCTTTGCTTTTATAGGGTAGAGTTCTAGAAGCATTATCATTGACAGAAGTGGTTGGTAAAGGAAAAGAAAGACAGGTGCAAGTGGCTCATGCCTGTAATCCCGGTACTTTGAGAAGCAGACGCAGGTGGATCACTTGAGCCCAGGAGTTTGAGACCAGCCTGGATAACATGGTAAAACCCTGTCTCTACAAAATACGGAAAAAAAAAAAAAAAATTAGCTGGGCAGGGTGGTAAGTGCCTGTAGTCCCAGCTACTCGGGAGGCTGAGGTGGGAGGATCACTTGAGCCTGGGGAGATGGAGGCTTCTGTGAGCCATGATAGCACCACTGCACTCCAGTCTGGGCGACAGAGACCCTGTCTCAATAATAATAATAAAACAATCTTGGGATCCCAATTCGCTATGCCAAAGGAAAATATTAAGCTGGAAGCGGAGTCATGCAAAAAGCTGCCTTCTCTTTTGTTCCTAAGCAGGTAGCTACAGATAAAAGGTTAAATATTTGCGAAGCTATTCTATGTTCACCTTATCTTATGTAAGGCGTTGATTTATTGAGCAAGGATGAATATGTAAGTGACTATTCCCCTCCCTGTTCCTTTCTTCTTGCAGCCTGTGGATTCAGTCATGTGACCATACCCTCCCTCTTTCCCCTCCAGCCTTCTTTTCTCCTTTAAACAAAGGGAGGGAGAGTATTAGGACAAATACTAATGCACGCGGGGCTTAAAACCTTGATGACGATGGGTGCAGCAAACCACCATGACACATGTATACCTATGTAACAAACCTGCGCATTGTGCATATGTATCCCAGAACTTAAAGTAAAGACAAAACAAAAAAAAGCAAAAAAACAAACAAACAAACAAAAAACCTTGAAGCTTTCAGAATCATCTCTGGAAAAAGGCAGAGGCCACAGATTGTTCTGTGGATTTGTGTTCCTTTATTTCCAAGCATGTCCTTAACCTTGGCAAAGTAAACATCTAAATTGATTGAGACCTGTCTCAGATACTTTTTGTTTGCAGAATATGAATACTTTTAGGGCAGGAGAGCAACTCTGGGATCTGGAGCTGGCATTTCTTCCTTCAACCCCAAGATGCCCACCTTGGGACGATGGCATGGAGGCCCCGCTGCCTACCTTCCTCACCAGTACAGGACTGGGCCTCAGAAGGGCCAGGGACATGTCTGAGGCTCCTCACGCCATTCCTGGTGATGAGGTATAGCTGAGAGCTGGGTAGGGAAGGAGGACAGTGTCAGACACCTCATTTTCATTCATTCATTAGACAAGTAACACCTTAAGCTGCCAGAGCTTGGCACAGGGGCAAATTCTACCCTGAACAGGGCCAGCCTTTGGGCAGTGCACACGCTGGTGGAGTGACACTCCATGGCCACAGGGACAGATGCTGAGGACCACAGAGAGTGACAAGTGCTGTGAGAAACCCACATGGAGGTAGCACGGCAGGGGACTGTCTCAGGGATAGAGCAGGGCCTCCCCTAGCTGCAGTAGAGCGAGTTCTCTGCAGAGATAACATTTGAGCAGAAATCCAAAGGATGAGAAGGAGCTATTTTCCAGACAGAGGACACAGCAGGTGCAAAGACCCTGGGGTAGGAACGAGCTGGCCGCTTTAGGAGCATGGAAAGAAGGCTGGCGGGAGGGGGTCAGGATGGAGGGGGACAGTGAGTGAGGGGCAGCAAACAGGGGCAGGTGGGAGGAGGGAGGAACCAGGTAGGCAAAGTCCCCATGGGACAGGATGAGCGAAAGAATGTGGGTAGGTAGGGCAGCCTGGACTCTCACTCCCTCTGAAATTGCCCCTCTCCAAGAGTCACCTCGCTAGGGGTCACAGACAAGCATGCCCCAGACGGACTGCAGGAAAGAGCTGAGGGGTCTGAAAGTTCTCCAGCTGTCATCTCTCAGTTGCCCACGGTCCCTGTCAGACACACCCACCCCTCAAAGTCAACAGGCATACATGCTTGTGGACACACACGCACTCCCATAACACACTCACTCCTCACTGACACACTCACGGACACACCCTCATGCACACAGCAGCTCACACATGCGCTCATATGCCAGATCATGTGTACTCAGACACAGGCTCATGGGTGCACATACTAACACACTTGCATGCTAATGTCACATCCATACCCATGCACGTCCCCATGCACACATGCAGACATGTGATCACACACTCACATGCATGCACACACACCACACACCTGCTCACCTGCACCCTCACGCTCATGGTTCCCTTTCTGCCAGCACTGGGCACCCACCTGAAGCTGAGCAGCTCCATGGCCTCCTCGGGCATGTTCAGATGCACCTTGAGGTCCTGGCCCTTCTGTACCTGGATCCCGCCATCCAGGCTGGTGGCGCCACGGACGCTGGTCACCCACCTCAGCCCGGCCTGCCCCAGGGTGCCCGCTGTGCCCATCTGAGCTGAGATCTGGAGCAGGGCACTGAAGGACAGGCATGTACCAGCTACATCCCAAGGGCCCTGGGGCCACAGACCCCGCCTACCACCCCCAGCAGCCCCCTTCAGTCTTGAGCCACAGCAGCCCCTCCACCACTGCCCCCCACAGGCTGTACGTGCACCAAGCACTTTCCAGTCCTCACTTGCACTAATCCCTCTTACGGATGGGGAAACTGAGGCTCAGAAAGGTGAAAGCACCTGCCTGGGTTCCATGACTGGGACAAAGCATGCGGCTGGGACACGTGAACCATGGCTGTGTAAGTCCCAGCTCAGGCTCTTCACACCAGAGAGCACCCAGCCTAGGGCATCCATGTTCCCCACGTCAGACCCAGGACCCAAGGACAGCTCAGCTGAGGGGTTGGGGACAGATGCTCAGCAGGTTCTGGAATCAGACCAAATATTGCACACATTCTGCTCAGGTGCTCTGGCGCCATATGGCCCCAGGTTCTCAGTGTCCTCGCCTTCAACCTTGGTTTCCTCATCTGTCAGTGGGAAGAAGCACCAGCCTTGCTTGGTCGGGAGGGGGTTGCACGAGTTCAGTGAGCTCAAGGCTAACTGCTCTCCTCCCTTCTGAGTGGGGTAGATGGAAGGGCATAGGGTTATGGCCAGCCACCTCGCATTGCAGTGTGACCTTGAACACGTGACTGGACCTGAGCCTCAGTCTTCCCACCTGTAAAGTGGATCTAACCACCTCTGCACACAGTCTCTTGGCACAGGTGTTCTGCAGAATAGGGATTCCCTTTTGCCCATGTGGATGTCACCCAGGCCTCTGCAGCCCTTTGTAGGGATGGGATCATGCCACCTAATTCGTGCCAGCTCCCAGGAGCTAGATACCTGGGCTTCACATAACCATTCATGGAGAAATCTGAGCGCTGCTGGAAGTCAGCGGTTCCTCGGACCCGAATGCTGATGGCAGCTGAAGCGTTTAGGGTCAGCCGGGCAGGAAGGCCAGACACCGTGGGAAAGACCAGCTCCTCTGTGGCCAGGCACAGCCTCCGGTTCATCTGCACCGCCTGCCCCTGCAGGCAAAGAACCATAACCGGGGGCCGGGCGTGGTGGCTCAGGCCTGTAATCCCTCTACTTTGGGAGGCTGAGGTGGATGGATCACTTGAGCCCAAGAGTTCGAGACCAGCCCGGCCAACATGCGGAAACCCCATCACGACTAAAAATACAAAAATTAGCTGGCGTGGTGGTGCATAACTGTAGTCCCAGCCACTCGGGAGGCTGAGGCAGGAGAGTAGCTTGCACTGGGGAGGCAGAAGTTACAGTGAGCCGAGATCATGCCACTGTACTCCAGCCTGGGCAACAGAGCAAGACTCTATCTCAAAAAAAAGAAAGGAAGAAAGGAAGGCATGCAGAAAGACAGATAGACAGAAAGAAAGAAACCATAAGGGGACACGAGGCCACCCCTGTTGTGAGCCAGGCACCCTCTGAGTACTGAGTACAGTAGATTTCATTTGTCCTCAAAGTGCATGTGATCCCAGTTTCTGGATGAGGAAACTGAGACCACAAAGATAAATGTCCCACCAAGGCCCGTTAACTAGAAAGGGATGGAGCTAGGTATTAACCCAGGCAGTTTGCTTATGAGAAAAGGTCAGGGATCAGGTTCAGTTAGGTGGGGAGGAACGTGGATCCTGCCGTTAGTATGCACCGGGCAAGTTGAAAGCATCCTGCTGCATTTTCACCATATTAGCTCCTTTAATACAATTGCTCTATGAATGGATATTCTGGGTTTTTTTGTTTTGAGATGGTGTCACTCTGTCGCCCAGGCTGGTGTGCAGTGGTGCAATCTCTGCTCGTTGCAACCTCTGCCTCCCGAGTTCAAGCGATTCTCCTGCCTCCGCCTCCCAAGTAGCTGGGACTACAGATGCCCTCCACCACGCCTGGGTAATTTTTGTGTTTTTAGTCGAGATGGGGTTTTGCCATGCTGGCCAGGCTGGTCTCAAACTCCTGATCTCAGGTGATCCACCCGCCCCGGTCTCCCAAAGTGCTGGGATTACAGGCGTGAGCCACTTCGGCCAGCCAGATATTTTGTTTTTTTTTATTTATTATCCCCGTTTCACAGATGCAGAAACTAAGACCATGGTAAGTGAATCAACAGGTTCGAGGAGGTAAATGACAGAGCTGGGATTTGACCTCGGGCAGCCTGACTCCAAATTTCATGCCCTTAAGTGTTATGTTAAAGTGTCACAGGGCAGATGGCATGGGCAGGGGCAGGCAGGAGCTACCTTCATGAGCCTAATGACGAGCTCGGCCAGGTTCAGGGACCGGTGGTTCATGTGACTCCCTGTGGCTCCGCAGTTCACAAAGCTCAGCTCCTGCCCCAGCACCTTCATGCTCAACTCGCATCGCAGAGCCCGCTGGGTGGCCCCACGCCTCCGGGTCACCTGGGGGAGGGCCCAGACAGGTCACAAAGAACAGGGTCAGGGTTAGCAGAGTGATATGCTTTGGCTGTATCCCCACCCAAATCTCATCTTATAGCTCCCATAATTCCCACATGCTATGGGGAGGACCCTATGGGAGATGACTGAACCATGGGGGCGGGTCCTTCCCGTGCTGTTCACGGGATAGTGAATGGGCTCAGGAGATACGATGGTTTTAAAAATGAGAGTTTCTCTGCACAAGCTCTTTCGTTGCCTGCTGTCATCCACGTAAGATGTGACTTCCTCTCCTTGCCTTCCACCATGATTTTGAGGCCTCCCCAGCCACTTGGAACTGTAAATCTACTGAATTTTCTTTCTTTCATAAATTGCCCAGTCTCTGGTATGTCTTTATCAGCAGCACGAGAACGAACTAATACACAGGGCAAAGTGCCTGTACTTTCGGAGGGGGAAGGGGTGTCTGGAGAGAAACGTCAAGAACTTGCGGGGTCCAGATGAGGCTTGCAAAACTCCTAGAGCATGAACCAAATCCCAACGCAGATGTGTTTTCTCTGACTTGCACAGTAGTGTCCAATGCTCAGAGTGTGTGTGTATGTTTTCATAAAGGTTTTATTCTAGAATAATCTTAGATTTACGGAAGAGTTGAAAACTGACTTGGCATAGTAGCTCATGCCTCTAGTCCCAGCACTTGGGAGGCCGAGAAAGGAGGATTGCTTGAGGCCAGGAGTTTAAGACCAGCCTGGACAGCATATCAAGACCCTGTCTCTACAAAATTAGGAAAAAAAACAAAAACAAAAACAAAAACCCAGGTATGGTGGCAACTGTCTGTAGTTCCAGCTACTTGGGAAGCTGAGGTGGGAGGATCACTTGAGCCCAGGATTTCAAGGCTGCAGCGAGCTATGATCATGCCACTGCACTCCACCCTGGACAACAGACAGAGCAAGACCCTGTCTCTGAAAAAAAAAGAAAAAGAAAAGAAAAGAAAGAAGGAAAATTTGCAAAGACAGTACAGAGAGTTCCCACGTATCATTCAACTGATTTCCCCATTGTTAACATCTTACATCACCAGGATGCACGGTGCAAGCTGACAAATCAACATTGGTGTGTCTCCATCAACTAAACTTGAGAGTTCATTTACATTTCACCAGTTTTTCCATGAATGTCCTCTTTCCACCCCAAGATGCAATCAGGCAAACCCCACTGCCTCTTGTTGCCGTATCTCCCTGGTGTCTGGTTCATGGCAGTTTTTTAGTCTTTGTTTTTCATGCCACGTACGTTTTTTTATAAATTGAATTTGGAAATTGGGAGATTTTACATAAAACCCAGCTCTCCGGCTTCTCTATAAAGAGAAACATCGGGCTGCCCACCCTCCCCACAACAAGGGACAACAAAGGACCAGAGCTGAGCACTGGCTGCCACTTTAGCTGGGCCACGGGCTTCCTCTGTCCGCCACAGTCCCCACCACTCCCTATTGTCTCTCCAACACTGAGGCCAAGTATCTGCTGCCATTCATCACTGCGCTCATGCAGAATATTTCTCGGGATGTGAGTCTCTAGGAAAAGTGAGAAAATAACAGACCAAGGGGATTGTGCATTCTATGAAAAACTGTTTATACCTAGCCCATCTCCCTCTTTCAAGTCTCTTGCTGCCCCCAGCTCTAGTCCAAGATGCTTTTAACAGCAGAGATTATTGCCCTGCTCATCCTGGTATTCCCAGGCCCTGGTTTTATACTTGGTGGTTAGGAAACATGTGACCAAGTGAACCAATGTCCCAACCATTCACCTTGGTCACTATCAGATGTACACGGCAATGACATTTCATAAGAGCAAAATGTTGTCAATAATCTAAAACTCCATCAATGGGAAAATGGTTAGGTAAACTGTGGTCCCTACCCATAGGATGAATATTAAAATACCTGCACATGTTGAGCTTCTAAGTAAGAAAATACTCAAGTGATAATAAGAAGAGAAAAAGTAGGCTAAAGATATATACACCCTAAGACTAAGCAATTTCACTCCTAAGTGTATGCCTGACAGATATGAATACACACGTCCCCTAAGAAGGCAGACCCAAGAGTCTTCACAGCACTGTTCGTAATAGCCAGCAACTGATGGATACAGAAATTGTTTTATGTTCACACAATGCAATACTATGCAGCTATGAAAAGGAACAAATTATAAATCCAAACCACAGTATAGCGAAATCTCACCAATTTTAAACCAAAGTCAGACACAAAAAGAAGTATAGGAGCAGCACTATTCAGTCACCAAAAGGCAGAAACCACCCAAATGTCCATCACTGAATGAATGGATAAACACGTGGTACATCCATTCAATGAAACATGACTTGACTTTAGACAGGAATGGAGTACTGAGCTACGCTACTATGTGGGTGAACTTCCAAAACACTAGGCTAAGAGAAAGACGCCAGACACAAAGGTCACATATTATATGGTTCCATTTATATGAAATATCCAGAAGAGGTAAATCCACAGAGACAGGAAGCAAATTGATGGCTGTCGGAGACTAGGAGGAGGAGCTGCTGGGGAGCGACTCATGGATACAGTGTCTCCTTTGGGGGTGATAAAAATGTTCTGGAACCAGACAGAAGTGGTGGCGGTATAATACGGTGACTATACTAAACACCACCGAATTGTTCACTTTTTTTTCTTTGAGACGAAGTCTCACTTTTTTTGCCCAGGCTGGAGTGCAATGGCGAGACCTTGGTTCACTGCAACCTCTGCCTCCTGGGTTCAAGCAATTCTCCTGCCTCAGTCTCCCAAGTAGGTGGGATTATAGGTGCCTGGCTAATTTTTGTATTTTTAGTAGAGACGGGGTTTCACCACGTTGGCCAGGCTGATCTCAAACTCCTGACCTCAGGCAATCCCGCCCACCTCAGCCACCCAAAGTGCAGGCAGGAGCCACTGCACCCAGCCCTATTCGATTTATTATTATTATTATTATTATTATTATTATTATTATTATATTATTATTTTTGAGACACAGTCTTTGTCACCCAGGCTGGAGTGCAGTGGCGCTATCTTGACTCTTGACAATCTCTGCCTCCCCGGTTCAAGTGATTTTCCCGCCTCAGCCTCCAGAATAGCTGTAATTACAGGAGCACACCACCAGCCCAGCAAATTTTTTTTATATTTTCAATAGAGACAGGGTTTCACTATGTTGAGCCGGCCGGTCTCGAACTCTTGAGCTCAAGTTATCTGTCTACTTCGGCCTCCCAAAGTGCTGGGATTACAGACATGAGTCACCATATCCGGCCAATTGTTCACTTTAAAATGGTTATTTTTACATATGAGAATTTCATCTCTTAAAAACAAGAGTACACTGTGAATGATTCCATTTATATAATGTTTACAGAAGGAACTGGATGTGATTTCTACTGCTGACCAAATTGGAGTCATGAAGACTGGGTTCAACCTCCCACAGGGAGCAGCTGGTAACCCAGATGACACAGGCTCAACAATGGTCCCCAAGACACAGACATCAGGCAACCCAAGATGATGCACTCCAAGAGATGGAAACAAGCGAGATGAGCACAGTTTCCCACCTGGAGTCAGTGTCCAGGCTGCAGCACAAGGAAGGGGAATGGAGGCTGAGCTGGGGGACTCCCTGAACTGAGGAGCTGGGGGTGTGGGGAGACCCTGGCAGCTGGACTTTGCAGGGGAGGGTACCAGAAAGCAGAGAGCATGCTCAGAGGTCTGCAGAAGGTCCTATGAGAATCTCTGTAACATCCCATCGGGCAAAAAAGTCTGAGCTGTAACAGTCGAAGCACTACCAGTCAAAGAAACTAATAAACTTGACTTCATCAAAATTAAGATTTCCTGCTATTGTTTGAAAGACACCATTAAGAGAACAAAAAGACACACCACAGACTGGGAGAACATATTTCTGAGTTACATGTCTAATGAAGAACTTGTTTCTGGTCAGGCGTGGTGGGTCACACCTGTAATCCCAGCACTTTGGGAGGCTAAGGCAGGAGGATCGCTTGAGGCCAGGAGTTCAAGATCAGCCTGGGCAACACAGTGAGACCCCATCTCAACAAAAAGAGAAAAAAACTTCGCCAAGTGTGGCAGTACTGCCTACAGTCCCAGCTACTCAGGAGGCTGAGGCAAGAAGATCACTTGTGCCCAGCAGGTCAAGATTGCAGTGAACTATGATCACACCACTGCACTCCAGCCTGGATGACAGAACCAGACCTCAACTCTAAAAAAAGAAAGAAAAGAAAAAACTAACAACATGTTTCTGGAATATAGAAAGAATTCTCAAAACTCAATAATAACAAGCCAACAAAATAAGATGAGCAAAAGATTTGAATGTACATTTCACCAAAGACGACGTACAATAGCAAATGAGCATGTGAAAACATGATCAATGTCATTAGTCATTAGGGAAATGCAAATTAAAGCCACAAGATACAACAACACATTATTGGAATGGCTAAAATTAAAAAGTCTAACCATACCAAGTGTTGGTGAGGATGTAGAGAAACTGGAACTCTCACATACTGCTGGTGGGAATGCAAAAATAGTATAACCACTTGGGAGAATGGTTCAGCAGCTTTAAAAAAATTAAACATATACCTACCATATGATCCAGTCACACCTACTAATTATTCAAGAGAAACAAAACCACATGCCTAAAGACTTGTACACAAATATTCATAGCAGTTTTATTTTTAATAGCCAAACCCTGGAAACAACTCATATGTCGACCAACAGGTGAATGGAGAAACAAACTGTGGTATATCTATACAATGGAATACCACTTAGCAATAAAAAGAAACAAACTATGTTATAATCTATAGCATGGGTGAGTCTCAGAATAATTATGCTGAATAAAAGAAGCCAAACAAAAAAAGAGTACATGCTTTTTTAAAAAAGGACATGTTCTCAAGCACAGTGACTCACACCTGTAATCCCAGCACTTTGGGAGGCCAAGGCAGGTGGAATGCTTAAGCCCAGGAAGGTTGATATCAGCCTGGGCAACATAGTGAGACCCCATCTCTACAATATTTATTTTTTAAAAAACTAGATAGGCATGATGGCACATGCCTATAGTCCCAGCTCCTCTGGAAGCTGAGGTGGAAGGACTGCTTGAGCCTGGGGGGCAAAGGTTGCAATGAGCCAAAATCACGCCATTGCACTCCAGCTTGGGTGACAGAGTGACACTGTTTCCAAAAAAAAAAAAAAAAAAAAAAAAGGACTTGTTGTGTCATCTAATTTACATAATATTCTAGAAAATGCAAACAAGTCTACGGTGACAGAAAGCCTCTCGCTAGTTTCTGGGGACAGAGGAGAAGCAGGAGGAAGGGTTTTTTTTTCGCTCTGTCGCCCAGGCTGGAGTGCAGTGGTGCGATCTCGGCTCACTGTAAGCTCCGCCTCCTGGGTTCACACCATTCTCCTGCCTCAGCCTCCTGAGTAGCTGGGACTACAGGCGCCCACCACCTCGCCCTGCTAAGTTTTTTGTATTCTTAGTAGAGACAGGGTTTCACTGTGCTAGCCAGGATGGTCCCGATCTCCTGACCTCATGATCTGCCTGCCTTGGCCTCCCAAAGTGCTGGGATTACAGCCGTGAGCCACCACGCCTGGCCGGAGGAAGGGATTATTAAGGATCTGGAAGAGACTTTTGGGGGTGATGGGTGTATTCATAAGCTTTATCATGGTGATGATCTCATGAGTGTGTACATGGGTCAGAATGTATCAAATTGTTCACCTTAACCGTGTGGTGCCATTCACCTTAACTGTGTGCTGCTGTCCACCTTAACCATGTACTACTGTTCACCATGTGTCAATTAGATCTCAGCAAAGCTCATTTTAAAAAAGTGGAACGAATTGATGCTGCCAGAAGTCAGAAGAGTGGTCACCCCTGGTTAAGGATGGGTGTTAACAAGAACAGGAAGACAAAGGGGAGGCTGGGAGCTGAAGACGGTCTGGGTACTGGTGATGTGGGTGTGTTGAGGTGGTGGACAGGCAAGCTGTACACTTACAACTTAGGGACGTTCCCATGCATAGGATCTATTTCAAGCAATGGTTTTTCCAAATAAAGCCAGTTGACTACTCAGATTTGAACCAGCCACTCAGTTCTGTAAGGAGGGGACGGGGTCAGAGTTCACAGACATCCAAGTCTCAGGTTCAAAAGCCCAAACATGAATCGAGGTGGCCTGCCTGGGGGAGTAGGGTGGGTGTGGCCACCTCCCTTACCTTCTGCTGTAGGTCTCTCATCCTTCTGTCTCTGTCTCCTGGACACTTGGGGCTGGCTTGCTGTGGTACAGGCCCTGGTTTTGGCCCTGGGGGTTTCTCTGGCTTGGCCTCTCTCCCGTCTTCCTGGCCCCAGAATGACTTCCTGCCAAACAGCCTGTGAGCAATTTCCTCAGCATTTTCCAGCCGGAGCCCAAGCTGAGAAGGGAAGCCAGGGGCTCAGGGAGGAACAACTCAGTTACAGGGGTGATGACGAGCTGTCAGGCTGGGGATATGAATGGGGGAACCAGAGGCTTGAGCAGGCCACTCCAGGCTCCCTGGTGCCCACCTAGGCTTAGGTTCAGGGACACGACCTTGGGAAATCCATCACTGTCTGTATCTGCTTGGTAGACACCACACGGGAAGAATTCTTGCCAATTCTTTAAGGCTTGGATCAAATGTCACCACCTCTGGGAAGCCCTCTCTGAACTCCCATGTCACTCTCTTCCCACCTCCTCTGCCCCACACACAATATACTCAGACTGGAATGTGTGTCTTCCTCGAAAGATCCATGATGAGGCCAAGCACTCATGTCTCAATCACTAGGCACCTGCATGACCTGATCTGGGCGTAGAGGTTCTCAAAATTTGATAGGTGAATAAATGGATCCTTCCTTCTGTCCCTCCTGTCTTCCATCTGCCCATCCGTGCAACCCTCTGTTCACCTATCCTTTTGTCCTTCCCATCTATCCATCTATCTGCCTCTCCACCTTCCATCTTTTCTTTCCTTTGTTCTATCCATCCTCATTCCTATCCATCCATCTACTTTTCCTTTCTTATGGACCTCTCTCCTTCCATCTATTCTTTCTTCCCTCTTCCCATCTAGATATCTGTGATAGCATTTTCAGAGAAGTCACCAGAGACCAGCCCTTGGCAATGACTGGTGAGTGGGTGGATGGATAATGGATGGATGTGTGACTCAGAGGATGGAATGATGGATGAATGTGGGTAGACATGGATGGCTAAGTGAATGAAAGATGGATGAGTAGGAGAACAGATGAATAGATGGGTAGGTTAGACAGTAGACAGAGAGATGCATGGGAAATTACATGGATGGATGGACAGACAGACAGACAGATGGGTAGGGTGGGTATGTCCATGGATGGGTAGGCGGGTGGACAGATGAATAAGTGAATGGATGGATGGTGGGTGGGTGGTTTGGTAGGTGGATTAATGAATGAGTGAATGGATGGATGGATGGATGGATGGATGCGTAGGTGGGTGGATGGATCACGGGTGGGTAGATGGATGGATGGTTGATGGCTGGATAGATGATGGGTGTGTGGGTGGGTGGATGGCTGGATGGATGATGAGTGCATGGGTGGGTGGATGGATGGATGATGTGTGGGTGGGTGGGTGAGCGGGTGGATGGATGATGGGTGGATGGGTGGGTGGGTGGGTGGATGGATGGATGATGTGTGGGTAGGTGGGTGGGTGGATGGATGATGTGTGGGTGGGTGGGTGGGTGGGTGGATGGATGATGTGTGGGTGGGTGGGTGGGTGAATGGATGATGGGTGGGTGAATGGATGATGGGTGGGTGGGTGGGTGAGTGGATGGATGAGATGAATGAGAGGGATGTGGGTGGATGGACAGATGAACAGGTGAATAGATAGGTGGAGGAGGGAGGAATGGATGGAGGGATGGAGGCATGTAGGTGAATTGATACATGTATGGACATACCTATGGGTGGGTGGGTGACTAGATACTGGGGGAGGGGATTGAACAATGGAGTCAAGGGATGGATGGACAGACAGATAAGTGACTGGGATATTTTTTGGCCCCAAGTCTAGAAGAGGCCCTGCAGAGGCTACAGCAAGGCTCCCCTCTAACCTCCAGGAGGTTGAAGGCACGGCCCATGGTGTGGATGGTCAGGTTGACTGTGGCAGAACGGGGGAGAAAGGAGGCAGGAGAGAAGAGAAGGGTCCCCTCCAGGTTGGCTCCCAGGCTTCCAGACACTAGGAGTAAGAAAAGAACATCAGTACACTCTGCACACACTCAGAGTGGGGTCTGGCTATTACCATGGGGCCATACCCTGAGACAGAGCCAGACACATGGTGTGTCTTCCCACCTCTCCCTGGCCAGGATGGGAAACAGCCTTAAGCCTTTTCAAGAACAGAGGGAGTCCAGGACCGAGAGTCACACACACCCACTTCTGCTGACAGGCAGAGAAGAGGTACCCAGAGCACCCAAACCCCAACCCCAGGCTTCCAAGAATGGCTGACGTAGTTTTGGAGCCTTAGTTTGAAAGAGATTCCCTTTTTGATTTTCTGTTTAATTACAACAAAGAGGCAGTCTCAGTGTGGGGCTAATCTCTCTTCTTAACACAGGAAAAAACTCTTTTCAAAATTCACAGCCCTCAGCAAGTCACAGAATCCAGGACAATTTAATAAAACAGTGTTTCAGCCAGGCACAGTGGCTCATGCGTGTAATCCTAGCTTTGGAAGGCTGAGGTGGGCAAATCACTTGAGGCCAGGGGTTCGAGACCAGCCTGGCCAGCATGGTGAAACCCCATCTCTACTAATAAAAGTACAAAAATTAGCCAGGCATGGTGGTGCGCACATGTAGTCCCAGCTACTCGGGAGGCTGAGGCAGAAGAATCACTTGAACCCTGGAGGTGGAGGTTGCAGTGAGCCAAGACTGTGCCACTGTACTCCAGCCTGGGCAACAGGGCAAGAGTCTGTGTCAAAAAATACATATATAAATATATATACACACACACACATACACACATATACACACACACACACATGTATACAAATATATCAGTGTTTCATTACCCACCTCTGGGTGTACAGTATTTTTTTTTAGGACTATCTTCTCTTTACAGAGAGTTAAATTGATTTTCTATTAATGGTACTGATAGACAATTTCCTTTTTAACATAAATCTAAGGTACAAAGAGCCAATTTAGAGAGAAGATGTAAGTATTCAGAAAACCATAAAATAACTGATATGACTTCTCTAAAAAAGCAGCAGGTGCTATGGAAATATTGCAAAAAAAGTTTGAACAAGCAGCAAGTTGGTTTTGTTTTTTGTTTTTGAGATAGGGTCTCACTCTGTCACCCACGCTGGAGTGCAATGGTGCAATCATGACTCACTGCAGATTCGACCTCCTGGGCTCAAGTAATCCTCCTGCCTCAGCCTCCCAAAGTGCTGGGATTATGGGTTTGAGCCACCACACCCGACTGGCGTGTAAGTATCTGACCGCTTGACACAACGTCTGATCCGTATGCTCTCGAGAGCTGGAGCTCCAGGGTCCCCAGCCTTTGTGGTCCCAGAGCAAGACTGGGCCTGCCCAGGATGGCCATACCTGATCGGAAGGTGACATCAGAATAGGACGAGTGTTTCCACATTTCCGGGTGGAACTCCTGGCTGAGGATGTCCTCAGGGAGGGTGTCCCGGAGGGCCCGTTTCAGGGGGTCGCGTGTCTCCAGCAGCTGCAGGAGATGACTCCACACAAAAGAACCCACTGGAATAGAGTCGTGGGCAGCAGGGAGGGGACATGAGAAAAGGGCCTGGAGCTGGTGCTGTCCAGAGAAAGTACCCTCCCCCGACCCCCATCCCAGTCCTGCAATTCTCTCACACAGGGGCTTCTCAGGAGCCTGGCTACGGAGACCTACGTCTTCTCTCAAGAAACAGCAGCCAACAAGTTGTGCCATGACAGAACGTGGAAATCCAGCCCGTGTATGGAATTCTGACACACTTCCCAGAAGAGAAAGGAAGGTGTCATAGTCTCAAAAGTCAGACCTGAGTCTGAACCCAGTCCCAAAGCTCAAAAGCTGTGTGACCTCGAGGTGGTCCCTCTGCCTCTCTGAGCTTCAGTTTCCTCATCAGTGAAAATGGGAAGTCGGACCTGATTTCAAACCTTAGTTCCACCATGTACCAGTGTGGCCTTAGATGTTCCAGCTCTTGGAACCTTAGTTTTCTCATCTGAAAAAGGAACTAACAAAGTACCTTGCAGGGCTTTTTGGGAAGATCAGTTAAAAGCAGAGCCTGGACCTTAAAAGACTAAGTATGTTTCAGGATCAGCAAAAGGTGACGTGTGACCCATGAGGGTCCCTGGAGGGATAAAGATCAAATGAGAGCCTCATGGGATTGAGTCCAATGGGGAATATTAGAGTCTTACAGGGAGCCCCCAATCCTCCCCACATTGTCCTGGGCTCTTAGAAGGTCCAGTCAGGGGCTTCTGGAACAATCTGTCAAAGAATAGAGCAGAATGTGGGTTTTTAGGGATAAGGTGCCCACTTGTTCCCATTGGGCAATATATCAGGTGGTACCCCAGGGCCACCGTGGAGGATGAGCCCCTCAGCTGACCCCCTGAGGAGGGGTTCAGCACACATCCCACTCCAGGCCTGAAACTCCTAATGCAGAGAGCTGTATCTTCCAATAGTGCCATCTCTTCAGAAGGTAATTCAACAATATCACATCAGACTTTTAAATGTGCATACCCTTTACCACAGTAACTTATCTTCTGGGAAATTATCCTAAAGTGAGATTAACTCAAGGGCCAAAGGTAGCTGTGCAGGTAGGTTTGTGGTTGTTGCTTCTAATGGCAAAAGACAAGAAACAGCCTAAAGGTCTATCAATGGAGATTGGCAAAATGGGTTATAGTAAAACTTCTGGTGGAACAGCCACACAGCCACAGATAAGAGTCTATAAGAGCTATAGATGAGAAATGAGCTCCCAGACATGGTAAAGACAAAAAGCAAGGAAAAGGCTGGGCCCAGTGGCTCACCCCTGTCATCCCAAGCACTTTGGGAGGCTGAGGTGGACAGATCACCTGAGGTCAGGAGTTCGAGACCAGCCTGGCCAACATGGCAAAAGCATCTCTACTAAAAGAATACAAAAATTAGCCAGGCATGGTGGTGCACATCTGTAATCCCAGCTACCCAAGAGGCTGAGGCAGGGGAATTGCTTGAACCCAGGAGGCAGAGGTTGCAGAGAGCCGCGACTGTGCCATTGCACTCCAGCCTGGGTGACAGAGCAAGACTCTGTCTCAAAAAAAAAAAAAAGGCCAGGTGCGGTGGCTCATGCCTGTAATCCCAGCACTTCGGGAGGCTGAGGTGGGCAGATCACGAGGTCAGGAGATTGAGACCACCCTGGCTAACATAGTGAAACCCCATCTCTACTAAAAAAATACAAAAAAATTAGCCGGGCGTGGTAGCAGGCACCTGTAGTCCCAGCTGCTTGGGAGGCTGAGGAAGGAGAATGGCGTGAACCTAGAAGGTGGAGCTTGCAGTGAGCCAAGATCACGCCATCACACTCCAGCCTGGGCAACAGAGCGAGATTCCATCTCAAAAAACAAAAACAAAAACAAACAAACAAAAACAAAGCACAAAAGCACAATAACAAGTAGAACATGATCCTGAGATGCTACTGTTAAGGAGATACATGTGTATGTTTATGTATGTATTACATGTACAGGAGAATTGCTCACATTATGTATCTTCAGGACACAGGAAGATATTGGGGGGAAGGGGAAGGAAGACTAATTTTCCATTTGTCCCTTGCCTATGCTTTAAAATTTTGATCATCTAGCTACACTGCATTAATAATAGCAGTAGTGATAACAGCATTAAAAGCAACATTCATACGTATGACGCACTATGCATTCTAAATGTCTTTGTGTATTAACTCATTTTATGCTTGCAACACTCTGAGGGAGGTACTAGCATTATCCCTATTGTAGATTTTATCTGTACCTAAAATATACAGGTACAGAAATGGAGCCTCAAAAAGGTTTACTTAATTGTCTAAAGGCATACAGGAAGGAAGTGGTGAAGCTGGGATTTGAAGCTGGGCTCTCGGGCTCCAGGCTCTCACCCCACTGTGCATTATGGAAATTTTTTCAACCATCAGTTGAACTTATTTTCTTTGAATTTACATCTGTGGGTTCAGGTGCCTGTATAAAGGGAATTGTCTCACTCCAGAAGGGATCTGAGATTTGCCGATACCATCCCTCTTCTATCTTAGGTCTCTCTTTAGGATACTGTGTCGTGATCTGGCCAGAGATAAAAGAGGACTGATTCCCATCCCATTTTACAGATGAGGAAACTGAGGACCAGAGAAGAGAAGCAACTTCTCCCAAGTCATTCAACAGCAGAATGGGGACTAGAATTGCCATGTGGGGGAGGGAAGAACATACAGCCCCTTATCAAGACAGTATGGTAGAGAAACAGGGGAACAAGAAGACAGGAGGATACCAGAAGAGTGGAAGGAGAGGATGCTCTCAAACCCCCTGCACTCTCCAGGAGGTGCCCTCCCAGCCCCACCCCTGCCCACACCCCTCCCACACACACACCCATGGCTCACCCTGGGTGGACAGCTCGCCTGCCTGGGTGCGCCGCACCTGGGCAAACACCTCCTCACTAGGGCATCTCATCAGGGCCAGGTAGGCATTGATACGGATCTCAGCATCCTCCTCCGGGGATTGGTACAGATGGGAGAGCACCGATCGCTGGCTCGGGCAGAAGGAAGGCCATCACCCAAGGCCCACCTATCTCCACCCAAGGCCCACCTATCTCCACCCAAGGCCCACCTATCTCCACCCAGCAGTATGATGTCCCTGGCTCCAGCAGGTGGACCTGCTGCCTAGCCCCAGCTGTCCTGATGTCCCCACTGTGGGAGGCTTCCCTCATACACACTCAGTTGTGGGAGGTAGCAGGGGTTCACTGACCGTGCCTAATTCCCAGTCTCTACCAGCCCCAGCCTAGAGAGCCTCATCAATTCCCCAACAAATGGGCATGGCTACACTCCAATAAAACTATTTACAAAAACAGTACAGTGTCTTGCCACACAGGAGGTCTTTAAATGTCTCGGCCTTCCTGGGCCCTTTCCTAAGCAAGCCACCTCCCCACATTGTGACTCCCTCAGTATCTACTGGCTTCCTCCACAGCCAACCAGCCACCCACCCATCATTCCATCCACCCACCCACCCATCGATCTATCCATTCACCCATCCACCCACCCATCATCCATCCACCCACCCATCCATCCATGCAATAAATATTAACTAAGCAGCAACTGTGTACCCAGCACTGTGCTAGGTGACAGCCATAAACAAGACCAGCCCAGCTCCTCTCCACCTGAATCTGTTATCCTAGTGCAGAGAGACAGTCAATGAGATTAGCATATGAACTATATAAAAAGTTAGGTAGTGGCGCAGTGCGGTGGTTTAAGCCTGTAATCCCAGCACTTTGGGAGGCTGAGACGGGAGGGTCACGAGGTCAGGAGATCGAGACCATCCTGGCTAACACGGTGAAATCCCATCTCTACTAAACACAAAAAAATTAGCCAGGCATGGTGGTGGATGCCTGTAGTCCCAGCTACTCGGGAGGCTGAGGCAGGATAATGGTGTGAACCCGGGAGGCGGAGCTTGCAATGAGCAGAGATAGCGCCACTGCACTCCAGCCTGGGTGACAGAGTGAGACTCCATCTCAAAAAAAAAAAAAAAAAAAAAAAACAAAGTTAGATGGTAATAAACCCTATGGAGGGAAAAATGACATAGGGAAACAGTGAAAGTGACTTTTAAGCTAAGACCTACGGGAGGTGAAAAATAAAGGCCTGGAGACATCTGGGGGGAAAATGTACCAGGAAAGGGGACAGCATGTGCAAAGGGCCTGGGGCAAGAGAGGGTCACAAGTGTTTAAGGAAGAACAGAAAGGGCAGTGTGCTGGGGAGGAGGGATGGGAGGTGAAAAAAGCAGGTGAGGTCCAGAGGTCAGATCCCTCAGGGCCTAGGAGGTCAATGAAGGGACTGCGACTTTGAGTAAAAAGGGAGGTACTGGCCCAGGGATTAGCAAACTTTTTCTATAAAGGGACAGAGAACTCTTTGAGACTCTGCAGGCCATGCGGTCTCTTGCAATGAGTTGACTGCAGGCGGAGCAGGAAAGCAGCCATAGACAACACATAAATGAGTGGGTATGGCTGTGTTCCAATAAGACTTTGTTGACAAAAACACACAAAGGGCCAGAAAGTGACCCATGGCCCATAGTCTGACAAACCCTGTACTAGAGGGGGGCACAGATGGCACTGGTAATCATATGGTTGTTTGTGTATTTGATAAATAATCTGCTTCCCACACTACACACAGGCTTAGACCTAGATACCTATTCACACTAGTACCCAGCCCACAGTAGGTGCTCATTAAATACATGATAAATGAATGAACAATTGAAGAAGTGACTTAGTAAACTGTGGTTTGAGAACTACCACCACCCAACCCCAACCCAGTGAAACAGCACACAAGGGCTCACATCTGCAGAGCAGAGGACCCTCCGGAAGGCCTGGATGGCCCCCAGCCGGATCTCAGGGGCGCTGCTTCTCAGAGATGCGCAGGCACTCAGCGTGGGGGTGAGAGCCAGGGCCGCCAAGCCCGCGTTGCCGATCGCCTTCAGCACAAGCTGGAGCTAAATCGAGATGGAGGGAGGACCATGAGGGGAGAGGTGTGGGGAGGGGCAATGGCGTGGGGAGGGGCAGTGGCATGGAGGGGGCAGTGGTGTGGAGGGGGCAGTGGCGTGGAGGGGCAGGCAGGAGGGTGGGGGGATGGGGGGATGGGGGGAAGGGAGGAAGGGGGATGGGGGATAGGAGGAAGGGGGGATGGGGGATAGGAGGAAGGGGGGATGGGGGAAGGGGGGAAGGGGGGATGGGGGATAGAAGGAAGGGGGGAAGCGGGGAACCCATCCCCACCCTCTCCACCTGGAGCTTGCTGCTTGGCTTGGGTCACACTGGGGGCACTGAAGCCGGTACTCAGGACACTGGATGTCCTCACCTTGTCATCATCCGAGGGCTCCTGGATGGTACAGTTCTCACCCAAGGCATCTCCCAGGATCTTCACTAGAGAGCCGACTCCAGGCAGCTGTCCGCAGGGTGCATCCAGAGAAGCACAGAGGTTGTGCACCAGGGCTGAGATGCCCAGGAAGGCGCCAGGGCTGGCCCGCGGGGTCTGGAGCAGTGGCTGGGGACAGAAATGGGCCCCCACCCAGAGAGGGGTGGTAAATGCCCTTCACAGGCCTCACCCTGGCCACACACCAACTCACCTGGGGCATTTTGTAATACAGAGCCGAGTCCCCCAGTCTGAACAAATTGCTCTGTTCAGGGAACACCGTAAAAGCACCCCAGAGGCCGGGCACAGTGGCTCATGCCTGTAATCCCAGCACTTTGGAGGCCAAGGCGGGTGGATCACCTGAGGTCAGGAGTTCGAGACCAGCCTAGCCACAATGGCAAAACCCTGTCTCTACTAAAAATACAAAACTTAGCCAGGCATGGTGGTGCACGCCTGTAATCCCAGCTACTTGTGAGGCTACGGCACAAGAATCCCTTGAACCCAGGAGGCAGAGGCTGCAGTGAACTGAAATAGCACCATTGCACTCCAGCCTGGGTGGCAGAGCGAGATTCTGTCTCAAAAAAAAAAAAAAAAAAAGAAAAGAAAAGAAAAGTACCCCATGTGACCCACCACTTAGATGCCCAGTTACCCTCACTCCAGGGCACTGAAGGCTTCAATGAAAGGAAGGCAAACAGGAGGGGGTTCAGGACAGAGTTGCTCCCAGCCCCAGGCACCTCGGAGAAATCAGATCAACAAATCTTTTTTTTTTTTTTTTTTAAGACAGAGTCTTGCTCTGTCATCCAGGCTGGAGTGCAGTGGTGCCATCTAGGCTCACTGCAACCTCCGCCTCTTGGGTTCACTCGATTCCCCTGCCTCAGCCTCCCACATAGCTGAGATTACAGACACGTGTCACCAAGCTGGGCTAATTTTTGTATTTTTAGGAAAGCCGGGTTTCACCACGTTGGCCAGGCTGGTTGTGAACTCCTGACCTCAAGTGATCTGCTTGCCTTGGTGCTGGGATTACAGGCATGAGCCATGGTTTAGACCAATAAAACTTAGTAAACAAATTGTGTTCACTACCAGCCAGACTGCTGATAACATGTCACACACGTTGCCTTTCTTATTTCCATTTGCAGACGAGGAAACAGACACAGAAAGGGTAAGGAACTTGCCTCAGGTAGCCCAGGTGTAAATAGTAGAACTGAGATTTAACCCAGGAGGGTCTGGCTCCCAGACCAGACATGATCCCAACACTCACTGCTTCTCAAAATGCAAATTCTGGGGTCACTCTAAAATCCAGCCCTGGCGGGCCTCTGTGCTAGACCCATACCACCCCAAAACAGGGATGGCTTGGCAGCTGTGAGGAAATAAAATCTCTGCCCAGCTCTGTCCCTTTTTTTTCCCCTCCTCGAGATGGATTCTCACTCCTGTCACCCAGGTTGGAGTGCAGTGGCACAATCTCAGCTCACTGCAACCTCCGCCTTCTGGGATCAAACGATTCTCCTGCCTCAGCTTCCTGAGTAGCCGGAATTACAGACGTGCACCACCATGCCCGGTTAATTTTTGTATTTTTAGTAGAGATGGGGTTTCACCATTTTGGCCAGGCTGCTCTCGAACTCCTGACCTCAGGTGATCTGTCCACCTCCCAAAGTGCTAGAATTACAGGCATGAGCCACCACGCCCGGCCTGCCCAGCTCTGTTCTTTCCTTGAATTCTTCACCAGGTCTGTGTTATGCTAGGATGTGAGCACACTGTGTGAACGTGTGAACATGAGCATCCGCGTGTGTGCATATTGGTGTGTGCTGTGGAATCCCAGTGCTTGTGTGTATGTTCCCATGTCGGTGTGCAGGAGTCTCAGCTCACTCGAGTACCCTAGTATGCATGTATTTCCTGGTGGATGCCTGTGCACACGTGTCCCCATGTGGGCACCTCGTGTGTCCCAGTGGGTGTGTGCATGTGCCCATGTATCCAGGTACGTGTGTGTGCACTGTGTGTCCCTTGTGTGCCCATGCACAGCCGAGTGTATCTTGGTGTGCCTGTGCATGTGTCCAGGTGTGGGTGGCTGTCTCCACACGTCCCACTGCGTAAGTGTCCTGCTGTATGTGCATGTCCTGCCATGTGTTCACATGTGCACACGCTGGGGTATATATCTGCATCTCCAGGTATATGAGTCTTGGCATGTATGCCTCAATATATATGTGTGTGTGTGTGTGTGTTGACAGGTCTATGGTGTGGGTGTGTGTCCCTGCATTTCCCCATGTGGGTGTCCTTGGAAAGCCTGCCTCGGTGTGAGCCTGCATCAGTGTGTGTGGGGGTCTGTTCGTGTATACATGATCCAGCATGTGTGTGCATATCCCTGTGTGTTTGTATGTCCCTGTGCCTTGGTGTGAGCCTGTGTCAGTGTACGTGTGGGTCCGTGCATGTACACATGATCCAGTATACGTGTGCAAGTCCTAGTGCAATGGGTGCATGCTTCAGTGTGTGTGGGGCGTGTCCCGTGTGCATACACGTGCGCTCAGGATGCATGTGTGTGGGTCTTGGCGTGTGCATCTCACTGCACGTTTTTTTGTGTGAAAGGACAGGGGTGTGTGGAGCCTGGAAAAAGCACATTCAATGTTTCCCTATATTTGGGCAAGGAAAACAAAGCTGTCTGTTTTCTTAATACAGAGCAGGGCAAGCGGGCTGGGCTGGGAGAGCAGGGGTTATAAAAAGACTAAGAAGCTCTCGGGCACGTGGGAGGGGCTGCCTGCTGGAGGTTCCCGCCTCTGCCTACTGTGCCCAAGAAAGGTGGTGGGGGCACAGAAAGGGCAGGCTCGGGCCTGTCCCAGACCAAAGCTGGAGCCAGAAGCCTGGTCACACCCTGCAGGGCTGTGGGGCAGGCTGGTGCCACTTGGCTGGCAGAGAGCCCAGATCTGTGAGCCGCTTCCGGTGGCCCCGCCAGGAGAGCTGGGCCAGCATGAGGCCTGGGTGCTGAGCAGTCCAGACAGTAATGACCCAGTTGGTTCTGTGTATGGCTGCCCTGGGGATGCGCCCAGAACGGCCAGCCTTCCCCGTTTTCACAAAAAACAGAAACCACATCACAAAGAGAAGTACAAATAATTTTGAAAGAAAAATAAATTTTAAAAAAGAAAAAAAAGAAAGCGGGAGGAGAAAAAACAACAACGCAAAAATCTCTAACTTATGAAGGCTTACTTACACTTCAGTTAAAAGTCTGTTTAAAATATTCACTCTTTTTCATTTTTAAAGATGGAAAAATAAAATTATCCTCAAACCTGTGACCCTTATTGAGCTGATTTCACTTTTCCAACATGATTCTAAAGCTCAGTCATCATGCTCAAGCCAACCCTCCCTGAAAAGGTAAGACAACAGAGCTGGGAGAAGACAAGACAGGAAGCGTCGGGACCTGAGTGAGATCAAACACCAGCTCGAAAGCATCAAGAAGCCGCACTTCACCAACATGAAGAACTTCTGTTCATCGAAAGACACATGAAGAAGACCGGGCGCAGTGGCTCATGCCTGTAATCCCAGCACTTTGGGAGGCCGAGGCAGGCAAATCACATGAGCTCAGGAGTTCGAGACCAGCCTGGCCAACATGGTGAAACCCCGTTTCTACTAAAAATACAAAAAAATTTAGCAGGATATGGTGGTGTACATCATAATCCCAGCTACTCAGGAGGCTGAGGCATGAGAATCACTTGAACCCGGGAGGCGGAGGTTGAAGTGAGCTGAGATCGCGCCACTGCACTTCAGCCTGGGCAACAGAGGCTCTGTCTCGAAAATTAATAAAATAAAATAAAATAAAATAAAATAAAATAAAATAAAGGCACCATTAAGAGAGGAAACTACAAGGAGGCAACTGAGTATGGCTCAGCTTGGGAAAGAACAAAGTCCCCGCACACACAGCGGCACGGACCAATCCTGCAGAGGACGTGGGTGAAAAGAATTCGGCCTCCAAGGCCCATGTGAATCTCAAGAGCAGAAGCGTCAGAACTGTGGTGACCTTTGGACATCACCAACTGGGAGGGGCACTAGGGAGCCTTCTGGAGTCAGAAACATCCTCTCTCTTGTTCTAGGGGTGGTGACACAGGTGAACAAACAGAGTTGTAAAAATTCATGGGCTGGGCACGGTGGCTCATGCCTGTAATCTCAGCACTTTGGGAGTCTGTGGTAGGCAGATCACCTGAGCTCAGAAGTTTGAGACCAGCCTCAACAATGTGGCCAGACCTCATCTATACAAGAATTACAGAAATTAGCCAGGTGTGGTGGTGCATGTCCCAGCTACTCAGGAAGCGGAGGTGGGAGGATCACTTGAGCCCGGGAGGTCGAGGCTGCAATGAGCCATGAATGGGCCACTGCACTCCAGCCTGGGTGACAGAGAGAGAGACTCCGTCTCAAAAAAAAAAAAAAAAAAAAAAAAAAAAAAAAAAATTGCCCAGCTTGTACACACGAAAAGAGACATGTAATGATCGGAGAGCTTACAACGTGATTAAACCTCACACCTACTGACAGCAACGGGGTGCGCTGGAGGGAATTCCAGAACAGACAGGGCACATTCATGGAAAAAGTGGGGAATCACAGCAGTCTGCGGTTTCCTTGGTGGGAACAGACCCACTCAGCCGCTCGGTCAGGGCCAGTGCTTCCTGGTGGCACAGGACATTCACGGTTGGGAAACCCTGGTGAGGGCTAGACAGAAACACCCTCTATTAACCTTGCAACCTTTTTTTTGGTAAATCTAAAATTATTCTGGACCGGGCACAGTGGCTCATGCCTGTAATCCCAGCACTTTGGGAGGCCAAGGCGGGTGGATCACCTGAGGTCAGGAGTTCAAGACCTACCTGGTCAACATGGCAAAACTCCATCTCTACTAAAAATGCAAAAATTATCCAGGCATGGAGGCAGGTGCCTGTAATCCCTGCTACTGGGGAAGCTGAGGCAGGGAGAATCGCTTCAACCCGGGGGGTGGGGTGCGGAGGCTGCAGTGAGCCAAGATTGTGCCACTGCACTCTAGCCTGGGCAACAGAGGGAGACTCAGTCTCAAAAATAAATAAATAAATAAATAAATAAATAAATAAATAAATAAATAAAAATTATTCTCAAATAAAAAGTTCATTGAAATACTCTCTCCCTGCTTGCCCCTCACTCCCCACTCCCCCTCCTTCCCCCTCCCTCTCCCCAGACTTCACAAAGCCAGCGCATCCCCAGGACCTGCCAGAGATCATGCAGGGCCTCCTAACTCGAGTACAGAACAAGAAAACACGACCCAGAGAGGCATGAACTCTGGCCTGCAGGTGGAATATCGCACGTGAGGCAGGTACAGTAAGCTGCCCTACCTCTTTGGGCCTCAGTTTTCTCACCTGCAAATTGGGGATGATAAGAGCACCTACTTCAAACAGACATCTCAAGGGTTAAATGACACCTCCACTACTGGCAGAAATTATTAACCTCATCTCACGCAGATTTCCTAATTTCCAGACTCATTAAATACGTGTTTAAAAAAATAATAGCAGCTCTGATTTCAAGCGCTCAGAGTTCATGCCAGACACCAGGAGAACCATTTCACATGCAGCAATTCATTCCTCACTATGAGCCCAGGATAGAGGTACCACTTCCATTCTCCTTTTAGAGATCAGAAAACAGCCAGGCATGATGGCTCACACCTATAATCCCAGCACTGCGGGAGGCTGACGCGGGTGGATCACTTGAGGTCAGGAGTTCCAGACCAGCCTGGCCAACAAGGTGAAACCCCGTCTCTACTGAAAAAAAAAAGATACGAAACTTAGCAGGGTGTGGTGGCGGGCGCCTGTAGTCCCAGCTACGTGGGAGGCTGAGGCAGAAGAATCGCTTGAACCCGGGAGGTGGAGGTTGCAGTGAGCTGAGATTGCACCACTGCTCTCCAGCCTGGGTGACACAGCAAGACTCCGTCTCAAGTAATAATAATAATAATCAGAAAAGAGGCTCAGAACAGTTAAGTCACTTGCCTGGGATCACACAGGTGGGAGGCACAATGCTGACACTTGAACCCGGAACTCTCTGATACCAAAGGCTCCCTTGAACCTGCCACAGTAGCCCAGGAGGTTGGGCAGTCTGGCCCCCTCCGCTGATCCTATGAGGGGCTGGCACAAAAGAACCAATCACCTCCCCCGCGTCTAACCAGCAGCCAACCAGGGAAGGAGGACACCCGGGCTCTGGGTGGGGTGCAGGGACTCACCAGCAGCATGTGAACCATAGCATCTGTAGGCTGTGGGAGGAAGGCCAGTGATGACAGCCACGCCTCCGCCTCGTCTGCCTCTACCTCCCCGGATGCGATGAGTTCCTTCATGAGGCCCACACAGTGCTCTGTCCCACAGGAAGGCAGGGCATCCACCAGTGGCTGCCTGAGATCGTCAAGGTGACCCACACGTGCTGAGCGCCTGCAAGCCTCATCTCACCGAAGTCACCCGGGGGTAAACTGAGGCTCAGAGAGGTAAGGTGCAGACATTCCCACTCTCACACCTTGGGAGGGGCTGACCCGGGTCTGGGATCCCTTGAGCCTGGCTGACACCTGTGCTCTTAGCACAGCAGCACCCAGCCCAGACCCTGGCAGCTCTACCCACCCAAAAAACACAGTGGTTTGGGAAAACACAAGTCCACACCCAGTGCTCTGCTGAAATCCACCCAAGCAAATGTCACCGAGTAGGAGTAAAAATTCCTAGCACAACAGGAACCAACAATCAGCAAATGGTCTCTCGTTTAAACCTCAGATACTCAGCACAACATCAGGACATTTATTTTTTCCTTTTTTCTGAGACAGCGTCTCACTCTGTCACCCAGGCTGCAGTGCAGCGGTGCGATCACACCTCACTGCAGCCTCTACCTCCTGGGCTCAGGTGATCCTCCCACTCGGCCTGCCAAGTAGCTGGGACCACAGGTGTTCACCACCCCCTCGAGCTAACTTTCAAATTTGTTGTGGAGATGGGGGCATTGCTTTGTTGCCCAGGCTGATCTCAAACTTCTGAGCATAGCCCTGAGCTGACCGAGTTAGTGCCTCAGAGATTCCCCTCCGAGATTAGGAGTCTCTTTACCCCCCTTACTGGCTCCAAATCAGCAAGGTCTGGGTGGTGGAATCCCCGCTCTGCCCAGCACCTCCCAGCCCTGACTCTCCACCCCCCGCAGGAGGGTACCCTGGGTGCATTGGAATGCTAATTCCAGCAAGAGGGTCCCTGTCTGGAGAAGGGAACAATGGCTGTCTTTATCCGCCAGGCCCTTCAGCTTCTGGTCTCACGCAGGATCAAGCTTGGGCCCCGTGGGAACCTCCAGCCTCCCCACTTAATCTCCTTCTTGGGGCACGTTTTCAGACCGAGGACAAGTCAGTGTCGTGGGGACGGGATGAGGCATCAGCATCCATCCCTCACTGGGAACCCGGAACAGCACAAATACTCCCCACAACCCAGGGATGCCCCCAGCCAGCTCCTGGTCCATCCCCCACCCGGAGAGGGGCCTTACCCGTTGTCTCGGCATTTGAAGGAAGAATCTCGCCAGAGTTCCATCAGCTCACCCCCGGAAAGGCCCTGGAGCTGGGACACCAGTGTCAGGAACAAGTCCATGGCCTGGGATTCAGAGGGAGCAGCATGAGACACCCAGCAGTGTAGAGGATCCCCGAAGTTCACCTCACCCGTCCCCTGCCTGCAAGCACAACCGTGGGGAAAGTAGGAAGGACCTGCTACCTTCTCCCAAGGTGTCCTGAGACCCAGTGAGATGAAGCTCCAGGTCTGGCTTCTCCCTCACTACACCCCCAGCCCCTACAAGCACACAGGTGGGCTCATTTTTCTTTAATGTAAAAGGTATTTATTGAGCACCTACTATGTGCCTTGCATTGCACTCAGGATATGGCAGTGAAAGAACAGGCAGAGTGTCTGAATCTGTGGCATCTAATAAAAGCCCAATAAATGTTCACTATGATTGTAATATAATTATTCTAATGAGTCTTAGCATATTTCAAATATTTACTGAGGTAGCAATCTTTTCCTATATACTATATATATATATGTTTTTTGAGACAGTCTCACTCTGTTGCCCAGGCTAGGGTAGAGTGACACGATCTCGGCTCAATGCAACCTCCATCTCCTGGGTTCAGGTGATTCTCCTGCCTCAGCCTGAGTAGCTGGGATTACAGGCACCTGTGACCATGTCTGGCTAATTTTTTGTATTTTTAGTAGAGACAAGGTTTCCCCATGTTAGCCAGGATGGTCTTGATCTCCTGACCTCATGATCTGCCCACCTCAGCCCCCCAAAGGGCTGGGATTACAGGCATGAGCCACCACGCCTGGACTATTTTTTTTTCTAAGAGACAGGGTCTCCCTCTGTCTCCCAGGATGGACTGCAGCAGCACAATCACTTCTTACTGCAGCCTCAACCTCCTGGGCTCAAGCGATCCTCCCACCTCAGCCTCCCGTGCAGCTGGGAATACAGGCACCCATCACCACGCTCAGCTAATTTTTTTGTATTTTTCATAGAGATGAGGTTTCACCATGTTGCCCAGGCTGGTCTCAAACTCCTGGGCTCAAGTGATCCACCCACCTTGGCCTCCCCAAGTGCCAGGATTCCAGGCGTGAGCCATCATTCCCACCCTTTTCCAATATTTCTAATTTTAAAAAATGTAATTGTTTTATACAATTATTAACAGTGATGACTAATAAAGGGCATTATAAGGGGTGCAGAGGGCCCAAAACTCACAAGAAATAAAGGACTGCACTCAGAGAACAGCCCCTGGCTTTACGACACATTTAGCTTGGGAAACCTTCCCTTCTGGTACCCCTGTAGTCTCAGGCTGACTGCATGGCCTGAACCCAAAGCTACAGAAAGAGCAACAAGGTAGGAGCCAAGCCAAGCCAAGCCAGGTCCTGGCTTCCTTCAGGAAAGCCCCCATGCTTCCCCCAGGCTTGACCAGGGCCAGGTCTGAAGCCCCCACCCACCCAGGGTTCCTCCGAGACTGGGACCTGCTTCCCTGACCCTGGACCTCCCTTCTGTGTGTGGCTGTGACGGAATCCCCTGCACACACAGCTCGATCTCAGCAAGATACAGCCTGCAACACAGACCCTAACTCGTCACTCGGCCCACCTGCCAACATGTCTGCCTGCCAGCGTCCAGGCAGCCTTCCCAGAATGTGCCTTCTGTGGGCACAGCCAGCGGCAACCCTCAGCTCTCTTTTCTTCCTCCGGTGGGACCCACGAGCCAGCACCTGCTGCAGGCTAACTGCCACCATCGCAGCTGGCCCTGACCACTGGTAGCCTAAAAGACTCTATTGCCCATTTTGGGTCTGCTGTCCAAAAAAATTTCAGTTCCAGGCCTGCTTCCTTCCTTCCTAATGGGCTCGGCCACATTTCCCTCTGGCTGGTGGCTGCCTTTCCCCGACTGCCCTTGGCACCCTGGGTTTGGAACACATGTGCAGAGGGGCACCTGGGGATGGTGCCTGCCTGGGACCACTCCTCCTGCTCTGGGCAAGCCTCTGGCCACAAGTGTTACCCTGAAAATGGGCCTTTCAGATCCAGGCACAACAGGAGGGATCATTAGTGGCTCATCCTGGTTTCCCTTCACTGGGAGAAGAAGAAACTCAAAAGGAGAAAAGAGGGCAGATCTAGGCAGGCTCTGGATGGAGACAAAGGGTCCAAGGCTCCCGCCTAGAAATCAAGACTGGGGCCTGGCGGTAGTTCACGCCTATAATCACAGCACTTTGCGAGGCCGAGCAGGGTGGATCACTGGAAGTCAGGAGTTTGAGACCAGCATGGCCAACCTGGTGAAACCCTGTATCTACTAAAAATACAAAAATTAGCCAGGCATGGTGTTGCATCCCTGTTAATCCCAGCTATTCAGGAGGCTGAGGCAAGAGAATCACTTGAACCAGGAGATGGAGTTTGTAGTTGCAGTGACCCGAGATCACGCCACTGCACTCTCCAGCCTGAGCAACAGAGCGAGATACCATCTCAAAAAAAAAAAAAAAAACAGACAGACATGTAAGTCAATAAGAAACCTGCCACCCCCATCACCACCAGTAACACATCATAATAGTAATAAGGCTGGGTGCAGTGGCTCACACCTGTAATCCTAGCACTTTGGGAGGTCGAGGCAGGCAGATCACTTGCGGTCAGGAGTTCGAGACCAGCCTGGCCAACATGGTGAAACCTCATCTCTACCAAAAATACAAAACCTAACTGGGCATGGTAGCGCGAGCCTGTAATTCCAGCTATTCAAGAGGCTGAGACAGGAGAATCACTTTAACTCGGGAGGCAGAGGTTACAGTGAGCCAAGATCGCACCACTGCACTCCAGCCTAGGTGACAGAACAATACCGTCTCGAAAAAAAAAAAACTGTAATAATAAATACGTCACTAGTTACTTTGCAAGGAGCCTTTACTACGTTCCAGGCACTGGTCTAAGCTGACAGAAAAGGAAAGTGACATTCAATAAGTGTTTGAGTCAGGTGCCGCCGGCCACATGCTACTCAGTAGCAGAGCAGAGACTTGAACCCAGGGCACCAGTTCCTAAACCCACTTTCTTAACCAGCATCCTATATGCAATGGCTAAAAAAAAAAAAAAAAAAAAAAAAAAGTCCTGATTTGTAGCGTTTGCCAATTCCCATGGTGTAAATACACCCACCATGGTCAATTTCAGGCAACCAACATGCAATTGCTAAGGACAGACCTGGGAAGAAATGCACCTTAGCATATCATATCATATTTCCACCATACAGTTACAACAAACATGACTAACCTCTAATGGAAAGACAATAGTAAAATGTAGTAAAATAACCAGGTAGTTGTGGTTTGGAGTATTTAATACCTTTGTTTCTAATATAATTATTTTTATTTGATTTTTTAATTTTTCTTCCTTTTTTTTTTTGGAGAAGAGTGTCACTCTGTCACCCAGGCTGGAGTGCAGTAGTATGATCCCAGCTCACTGTAGCCTCAACCTCCCAGGCTCAAGCCAACCTCCTGCCTCAGCTTCCCAAGTAGCCAGGACCACAGGCATGTACCACCATGCTTGGCTTCTTTTGTGTAGAGATGGGCTCTTCCTATGTTGCCCAAGCTGGTCTCAAACCCCTGGGCTCAAGTGATCATCCATCTTAGCCTTCCAAAGTGCTGGGATTACAGGTGTGAGTCACCGTGCCCAGCCTATTTACTTGTTGATACACATTAGATGCACATATTTTCAGGGTACCCATGGAATAATTTGATACATTCATCTAATCAAATCAGGATAATTGCGATATCCATCACCGTAACTATTTACCTTTTCTTTACATTAGAAACGTTCAAATTATTCTCTTCTAGCTATTTTTAAATGTAGCATTAATGTTAATTATAGTCATCATAGGAATCTATCGAGTGTTAGTCTGATTTCTATTGAAGTGTGTATTTGTACCCATCAGTCAGCTATGTTAATACGACTATTTATTTTGTTTTGTTTTGTTTTATTTTATTTATTTATTTGAGGTGGAGTCTTGCTCTTGTCGCCCAGGCCGGAGTGCAGTGGAGGGATCTCTGCTCACTGCAACCTCTGCCTCCTGGGTTCAAGTGATTCTTCTGTCTCAGCCTTCCAAGTAGCTGGGATTACAGGCTCCTGGCCAATTTTTGTATTTTTAGTAGAGACGGGGTTTCACTATGTTGACCAGGCTGGTCTTGAACTCCTGACCTCAGGTGATCTGCCTGCCTCAGCCTCCCAAAGTGCTGGGATTACAGGCGTGAGCCACTGTGCCTGGCCACAACTTAATGTTTAAAACAGCAGTGTTTAACAACCAGTCTGCGGGACACCTGGAAATCTACTCACCCACTCTTGTGAGCCAGTCCTGTTCTGCCACTGTCCACACCGTTTCGTGACTGCACACAGTCAGCCCTTAATAAACACCTGTAACTCCAGCTCCTTGTTCTCAGAACACCCAAGATTGGTGATTAGCCATGCCCTCTCCCAGGCATCTTTCCTGGCAGCCTGGAGTTGGCCCCACTGGCTCCCTCTGTCTGTCCCCTCCCACACCCAATGCACTCTTGCTTCCTCCTCCTTTGTTCCTTAGGGATGCCCTTGGCCATCCCACCCTCTGCCCCCCACATCGAAACTCCGGGGCCTCTCCACAGAGGGCCCGACTCGGGGGTTTGCTTTCTATTGAGCGCTGAGTCCTGGTTTTGTTTCTGGACTGAAAAACAAACCTTGTCTCCCACCCACCATCAATGGGGAGGGGCAGAGGCATTTCAAGCCAAAGCTCATGAGGTCTGTCCCCCTGGCAACCCAGGCAGGCCCTCAGCCCTCCCAGGGGCCCAGGAGCTGCTTGGTGTGCACTGATGTGGCCCTGCAAAGCCATTTCCAGCAACAGGGTCCTCAGCTTTTTACCCCTCAGCCCAGGGGACCTCCCCGGTGGCAATAACTTCCTTTTCAGTCTGTAAGTAAAAGACAGCCACACAGTGCCCTCTGGGGCTAGCTCCACCAGCATCCAAAAGTGGAGACCCAGGCCTGCAGCCCTTGCCCTGAGCCACCCCTGCCAGGGGAAATGTCCAGTTAGGTGGTCAGGCGTGCTTTTAAGGCCAAAGAACGCAGTCCTGTCTTCCCATCAAGCCATGAGGTTCAGCAGTGCAACGGTTACAGCACAGGTCACAGAGCAGCGGTCCCCTACTGGTGACAACTGTGCTCCCCAGGGCCATCTCGCTGCCACGGACTACAGGTAGGGATGATGATAACATCTAGTGAGGAGAGGCCAGAGATGCTGCTAAACATCCCACATTGCCCATGACAGCCTCCCCCACACCCCCGACAAAGAATGACCCAGCCCTTGGTGTCCACAGCACCCAGGGTGAGAAACCCTGCCTTGGGCCAGGCTGCCTGGGTTAACAGCCCAGCTCTATCACTTACTAGCACTAAGTGATAGTACTTTAAGCACATTTCCTAAACTCTTCAAGCTTCAGTTTGCTCATCTGTAAAATGGGCACAATGATATGAATATCACTGAGATGATTAAATTAGGTAACACAAGTCAGGGCCTGGAGCTTATTGTCTGAGCATACACTAAGTGCTCAATTAAACTATAAAGCCTTGGCAGAGTGCAGCGGCTTACGCCTGTAATCCCAACACCTTGGCAAGCTGAGGTGGGAGGATTATTTGTGTCCAGAAGTTCAAGACAAGCCTGGGCAACATGGCGAAATCCCGTCTCTACAAAAAACACAAGAATTAGCCAGGTGTGGTGGCATGCACCTGCAGTCCCAGCTACTCTGGAGGCTGAGGTGAGAGGATCGATTTAGCCTGGGAGGTCAAGGCTGCAGTAAGCCATGACTGCACCACTATACTCCAGCCTGGGCAACAGAGTGAGACGCTGTCTTAAAAAAAAGGCTGGGCACAGTGGCTCATGCCTGTAATCCCAGCACTTTGAGAGGCCGAGGTGGGTGGATCACGAGGTCAGGAGATCAAGACCATCCTGGCTAACACGATGAAACCCCGTCTCTACTAAAAATACAAAAAAAAAAAAAAAAAATTAGCCAGGTGTGGTGGCGGGTGCCTGTAGTCCCAGCTACTCGGAAGACTGAGGCAGGAGAATGGCGTGAATCTGGGAAGCAGAGCTTGCAGTGAGCCAAGATTGCACCACTGCACGCTAGCCTGGGGGAGAGCAAGACTCTGTCTCAAAAAAAAAAAAAAAAAAAAAAAAAAATTGTAGAACATTGAATGGAGGCCCCCAAAATTATATGTCTGTGTCCTACGTCCTAGATCTTGTAAATTTCCCTTATTTGGAAAAAGGATCTTTGCAGATGTAATTAAGTTAAGGATCTTGAGATACGATTATCCTAGATTATTTGGGCGAGTCTTCAATCCAATGACACATCACTTTCCTCCCCCAGGGACTGTACCATGCTAAACCATCTCTCTTATGCTTTGCATCTTACATGTGGGTTCAAGGCCCTCTCTCAGAAAAAGACAGTTGGGGAGGAGAATCTCATCATCACAGCTCAGCCTCAGGACCTCAGATTCTTGATGATCACCAAGGAAGGAACTGGCCATAAGTCTCAAAGTCACATCTGCCTCTTGACTTGAAACAGCCAGGAGTTTTGAAGGAGGCCTGGGCCATGTGTTTCTAACTTTGCTGTGGGAAGTCCTCAATGCTGAGGCTCACATGTGGCTAGGTCTGGGAGGTTACACTGCAAGTCAAGAGGACTGTTGTATGCTCCTAGACAGACAGAAGAGAAAAGGCTTCCCCTCTGCCCACATCCAACCTGGACTGGGGCACTGGCTTGGCAAACAACATCTAGATTTCCTTGCTTTTGCAATGAGGTACAGTTGTGCAGTGCACAACCTACCCACCCATACATGACAGCCTTGACATTAAATATGAGAGGATGGGCCATGATATGGGCAGGAAGAGGAAGGTGTCCTAGGGACTCAGGGCCAAGAAAGACTCTGGCCTGGGGCTGGAGAAGACACTTACCTCCAAGCTAGTGGTCTGAGCCAGGCACAGCCTCCTCACTAACGTGGCTGCGGTGGCCACCATGGCCTGGGATGGTGTCTCCTCCCACTCATACAGCAGGCTGCTTGGGGTCATGTCTTTATCATCTCCAGCATCTGGATCTGAGATGGGAAAAGGTTGATGGGATGACCATATGGGGAAAGGCCAGAGTGAGCTAGAAAGCCCTCTGGGAGTTGCCCCCATCCCACCAATGCTTCCTTCAGCATGTTTCAGGCAACAGGTAAGATGGGTGTCTACGAGGGAAATCATGGCACCATCCTTGCAAACAGCCTAAGATGGGAAGCACCTATATACCCACCAGCGGGAGCTGGGCAAACAAACTGTGGACCACTCACACCAGGGAACACTGAGTATCTTTTTTTTTTTGAGATGGAGTCTCACTCTGTCGCCCAGGCTGCAGTGCAGGAGCCCTATCTCGGCTCACTGCAAGCTCCGCCTCCCGGGTTCACACCATTCTCCTGCCTCAGCCTCTGGAGTAGCTGGGAATACAGGCGCCCACCACCACGCCCAGCTAATTTTTTTGTATTTTTAGTAGAGACGGGGTTTCACCGTGTTAGCCAGGATGGTCTCGATCTCCTGACCTTGTGATCTGCCTGCCTCAGCCTCCCAAAGTGCTGGGATTACAGGCGCCTGCCACCACGCCCGGCTAATTCTTTTATATTTTTAGCAGAGACAGGGTTTCACTGTGTTAGCCAGGATAGTCTCAATCTCCTGACCTTGTGATCCACCCGCCTCGGCCTCCCAAAGTGCTGGGATTGCAGGCATGAGGCACTGTGCCCGGCCAACGCTGAGTATCCTTTAACAGAAACAGGTCAGCAGGACACGCCCTGCTTTGGAAAGATCTCCAAGCCATCGAGTGACCAAGGCAAGATGCAGAACAGTGTATGGTTCAAAAATAAAAATAGACTGCTCTAAGACAGGCACAGAGGCTCACGCCTGTAATCCCAGCACTTTGGGAGGCCAAAGTGGATGGATCGCCCGAGGTCAGGAGTTCGAGACCAGCCTGGCCAGCATGGTGAAACCTGTCTCTATTAAAAATACAAAAAATTAACTGGGCGTGGTGGCAGGTGCCTGTAGTCCCAGCCACATGGAAGGCTGAGGCAGGAGAATTGCTTGAACCTGGGAGGTGGAGGTTGTAGTGAACTGAGATCACGCCACTGCACTCCAGCCTGGGCCACAAGAGCGAGACCCCGTCTCAAAACAAAACACCAGACCAACCAAATAGACACAGTCGCCTATGTATCTGTAAGTACACAGAATTTGTCTGGAAGAGTATACTGGAAGCAAGGAATGGTGTCAGCCTCTGGAGAGGGGGGACTCATTTTAACCGTGTCCTTTTGTACCATGTCACACATAACCTTGTCAAAACAATAAATCTCCATCTCTCTCATGCATTCAGTCCTGTGACTGCTTCCTAATAACGATGGGTGATGGCAGAAACTGCCCTCTGCTCTGCACACAGCCATGGTGTTAACCTTTCCTAAGTCCCGCTTGGACCCCCACACCTCAGTCAAAGACCTACCCTCGAATCCACAATCCACACCTCCCTCAGCTTCAATGCTCCTTGGCAAAGGCGTGCGCCTTCTAGATGCTGTCCACCACCCCCTGGCCGCCTGCAGGCCGGGGCACCCGCCCTCACAGTGTGTCCGGCTCCACACAGGTGCACACATTCATCCATCTAATCCTCAGACCTCTCCTTAGCCCCCCAGGTGCCTGGGACACACAGAGGTCGCTCCCGCCCCAGGGAAACACTTCCTGTTTCCTCCCTGAATGCTCTTTCCTGCATCTTCCCAAAGCTGATCTTGTCTTATCCTTCAGCAAAATCATTACTTCCTCAGAGGCCCTCTTACCGACCACCCCCACCCCACCGCCACCCCGTCTAAGTCACTGGCTGTCATGCAGCTGTTTAACTTCTTTCCTGACACAGATCACAGTCTCAAGCCACCCTGACTGGGTTTTTTCCCCCCATCTGTGGTTCCCCCCTCCCAGGAGGGTGTCAGCCTCAGTGTGACATGAATGGAGTCGACCATGATCACAGCCCTGTCCCCAGAGCCCCAGCAGTGCTTAGCACCAACAGGTGCTCAGACAGGCATTTGGGGTAAGCATGAATGAAAACACACTCCTGATGACCTGCCAAGAATCTGCAAACCTAAGGAGAATTCTCCCATGACAGCTGGGAACCAGATGACTCCAACCCAGGGAGAAGGACAGGGCCAAGTCAGGGCCATCTGAACCCAGTGCAGAACTTCAAGGAGGGATAAAGTCTCATTCCCGAGCGTGCCTTTGGGATCAGGCCCTAAAGAATGGGGCCAGGAGGATGTGAACGTTCATAGACGCCACGTGTCAGGTGCTTAGCTAAAGGCAGTGATGATTTTCTTTTTTCTTTTTTTTTTTTTTTTCAGAAGGGGTCTCACTCTGTCACCCAGGCTGGAGTGCAGTGACGCGATCACAGCTCACTGCAGCCTCGACCTTCTGGGCTCAGGTGATCCTCCCACTTCAGACTCCCAAGCAGCTGGAATTACAGACACACACTACCATGCCTGACTAATTTTTTGTATTTTTCACAGTGACGGGGTTTCATCATGTTGCCAGACTGGTCTCGAACTCCTGGAGTCAGGCAGTCTGCTCCCTTTGCCCTCCCAAGGTGCTGGGATTACAGGCTTGAGCCACTGTGCCCAGCTGACCATTTTCTGTAACTTTCCCCATAACCTATGGGATAAGTGGTGACCTACCCATATATTTACAGCTAAGGAAACTGAGGCACAGAGAGACGCTATCAGCCCAAGTCACACAACATAGAGTCAGAATTAGAATCGAGTTCTGACTCCAAAAGCCTCCTGGGAATGACAGTGAAAATATGAAAAAACTCCTCCATACAATGGAATATTACTCAGCAAAGAAAAAGAAAACATTCCAATTCAGGCCACAACATGGATGAACCTTAAACATTGTGCTGAGTGAAGAAGTTAGACAGAAAAGCGCACACTTCATAACCACATTTATATGAAATCCCAGAACAGGAAAATCAGAGGAAGCAAGTAGTTGAGTGGCTGCCAGGGTCTGGGAAGATGAGGGCTCATGAGCACAAGGTTTGTTTTTAGGGTGGTGACAATGTTCTCAAGTTGATTAACGTGGACCACAGTGGTTCACACCTGTAATCCCAGCACTGTGGGAGGCTGCAGTAGTAAGATCACTTGCAACCAGGAGTTTGAGACCAGCCTGGGCAACACAGCGAGACCCTCTTTTTACACAGAAAGTTTAAAAAATTAGCCAGGCATGGTGGTGCACAGCTGCACTGGGGAGGCTGAGGCTGGGGGAATCCCTTGAGCTAGAGAGGTCAAGGCACTATTGCATTCCAGCCTGGGTGACAGAGCAAGACTGCCTCTTTAAAAAACTAAGTTGAAGACTGGGCACGGTGGCTCATGTCTATAATCCTAGCACTTTGGGAGGTCAAGATGGGCAGATCACCTGAGGTCAGCAGTTCGAGCCCACCCTGGTTGTAAAACCCCATCACTACTAAAAACACAAAATTAGCTGCGCATGGTGGCAGGTGCCTGTAATCCCAGCTACTCAGGAGGCTGAAGCAGGAGAATTGCTTGAGCCCAGGAGGAGGAGGTTGCAGTGAGCTGAGATCACGCTAGTGCACTCCAGCCTGGGCAGCAGAGCCAGACTCCATCTCAAAATAATAATAATAATGATGATGATGATAATAATAATAATAATAATAATAATGGGGCCTAGCATAGTGGCTCACGCCTGTAATCCCAGCAATTTGGGAGGCCGAGGCAGGCGGATCAATCACCTGAGGTCAGGAGTTTGAGACCAGCTTGGCTGACATGGGGAAACTCCATCTCTACTAAAAATACAAAAATTAGCCGGGCATGGTGGTACACACCTGTAATCCCAGCTACTCGGAGGCTGAGGCGGGAGCACTGCGTGAACCTGGGAGAGGAGGTTGCAGTGAGCCGAGATCACGCCACTGCACTCCAGCCTGGGTGACAAAGCAAGCCTCCATTTCAAAATATAAAATAAAATAAATAATAAAGTTGATTGTGGTGATGATGGATGTACAACTCTGAATATACTAGAAACCAGTGAACTGTACACTTTAAATGCTGAATTGTATGGTATGTGAATTCTGTCTTAATAAAGCTGTTAAAAAGGAGGAAAAAAAAAGAAATCTCATCCAACTCAGTGGGACACCACTGGGTCCTGGCAAGCCTGGATGCCCTCAGGCACAGCTAGTTTCTGCAGCTGAGGGTCGATGTGCAGGGAGGGCAGACCAAGCTGGGATCCTAGAAGGCGTCCCATGGTGCTGAGTGAAGCCAGGAAAATGCCAAGGTCCCATCTAGAGGGTTCTCCCCTGGGGGTGCTGGGAGCCTGCCCTCCAAGGCAAACACAATTACCAGCCAGGGCTGTGGAACACACGGCAGGAGTCCAGGCCCCAGCCCTGCCTCTCACTGACTGAGTGACCTTGGACAAGTCATTTGACCTCTTTGAGCCGCAGGTCACTTATCTGAAAAATTTAATTGGTGGGGCACAACGGCTCACACTTGTAATCCCAGCACTTTGGGAAGCTGGAGTGGAAGGATAATTTGAGCCCAGGAGTTCGAGACCAGCCTGGTTTATGAAACCCTGTCTCTACAAAAACAAACAAACAAATGAAAATTAGCCAGGCATGGTGCTATGTGCCTGCAGTCCCAGCTACTTGGGGGACTGAGGTGGGAGGATCACCTGAGCCTGGGGAGGCTGAGACTACACTGAGCCCTGATCGGACCACTGCTGTCTAGCCTGGGCAACAGAACGAGATTGTGTCTCAAAATAAATAAATAAATAAATAATTTATTTATTGAGATGGAGTCTTACTCTGTGACCCAGTCTAGAGTGCAGTGGCATGATCTTGGCTCACTGCAACCTCCGCCTCCCGGGTTCAAGCGATTCTCTGGCCTCAGTCTCCCGAGTAGCTGGGATCACAGGTGCCCACCACCACTTCCAGCTAATTTTTGCATTTTTAGTAGAGACAGGGTTTCTGCATGTTGGCCAGGCTGGTCTCGAAACTCCTGAAATCAAGTTATCCGCCTACCTCGGCCTCCCAAAGTGCTGGGAGCCACTGTACCTAGCCAAAATTTTTATTTAAATTTAACTAATAACAGTACCTTCCTAATGAGGTTTTGATGAGAATTAAATTAAATACACATAAAGGGCTCAGCACAGCTACTGGCCCACAGTAAATCCTTCCAAAATCCCAGCAGTGAGAATAACCATTCTTATTTCATCGTTCAGGAAGATAACTGGTTTCCAAACATGGAAAAGCAATCCTTCCCCCAGATACAGGCCTCGCTTGTCTCATCCTGTGCAAAATTGTAGGAGGGCACCAAGTCCCAGGTAATGCTATGTGTTAGCAGGAACTTTCTGGAAAATCAGAAAACTTGGGTCAGTTTGCTCCTAAAATGGGCAGACTGAGGGGTTGCTGAATTTAAGGTTGAGAAACAGAAGATTCTATCTTCACCAAGGACATCCCAGGGAAAAGGGGCTCAACCAAGCCAGGACCATTTGATCTGAACCGGCAGAAAGAGCCTGAAGAATCTTCTAGAAGTGGCTAACTCTCCTGATGATGACCATTTTCAGAAATAGGTCAGAGGTGTCCAGGCCGGGACAGAAGGATGGAGCCTGGGCCTGCTTGAGTCCCTATGGCCAGACCACCCTCGCACCACGGTCAGGGGGTGGCCACCAGGGAAGGCTGAGGTCACCTGTGCCCGCTGGATCTTGGGACATCTCGTGCAGCAGGCTGAGTGAGGAGAGGGTCCGCATCTGCACGGCGCTCGCCTTTGCAGACAGTGGCCCTGCAGCGTCCAGCTCTGTGCAGGAGGCCTCCCGCAGCACGCCGGCCCGGAAGTTCTGGACGCAGGTCAGGCGGGAAGTCAGGCCGGGCTGCAGACCAAGAGGGGAAGAGACAGCTGAGGTCAGGATCTAGCCATCCACAAGACCCAGCTGGAACCCAGGGGAGGAGGAATGAGGGCCCCATCAGAGCCACAGGCCCCATCCTTCTCTCAGCAAGGCTGGGGAGGAGATGCTGAGGGCTGCATCCCAGCATCACCCACCCCTGGCTCGCCTGGATTGTGGCAACAGCAGCCAAGGCAAAGGCAGATGGGAGGTGACAAGGACGAGGGGAAGCAAGAAAGTCTAGCAGACAGTGACCCCCAGGAGAGAAGTGATAAATGTATGAAAACATTCAAATCAGCAGAGGCCCACCTCCACCTCTCAGATGCTGAGACTTTTGATAACAAGTCAACATGAACAATGATCACTTATCATCCTCCTGCAGATGTTTAGTATTTACAAAGCGCTTGCCTCTTCAGGGAGCTGGAGACAGAGGTGTAGAGGAGTGCTTGGGGAAAAGGACAGAGGGGCGGGTGCGGTGGCTCATTCCCATAGTTCCAGCACTTGGGGAAGCCAAGGTGGCAGGAATGCTTGAGCTCAGGAGTTCAAGATCAGCCTGGGCAACATAGCAAGACATCATCTCTACTAAAAATAAAATAAAATAAAAAATTAACCAGGAATGATGGTGTAGTCCCACCTACTTGGGAGGCTGAGGCAGGAGGATCAATTGAGCTCAGGAGTTCAAGATCAGCCTGGGCAACATAACAAGACACCATCTCTACTAAAAATAAAAATAAAAAAATTAACCAGGAGTGGTGCCTTGTGCCTGTAGTCCCAGCTACACTCGAGAGGCTGAGACGGGAGGATCACTTGAGTCCAGGAGTTGAAGGCTGCACTGAACCATGATCACACCACTACACTCCAGCCTGAGTGACACAGTGGGATTCTGTCTCTAAGGAAATAGATACATACATACATACAATAAAATTTCTTGAAGGAAAGAGAAGACGGGAGGGAAGGGGAAGGGAGGAGAGGAGGTAAAGGAAGGAGAACCAAGAAGAGAAGGAATTGGCAGAGAGGACAGGAAGAGCTGAGGAGGGAGGAGACGAAGAGGGAGGAGGGAGGAAAGAGAGAGGAGGAGAGGAGGAGGGAGGAGGAGAGGAGGAGAGGAGGAGGAGAGGAGGAGGGAGGAGGAGAGGAGGGAGGAGGGAGGAGGAGAAGAGGGAGGAGGAGAGGAGGAGAGAAGAGGGAGGAGGAGGAAGGAGGAAGGAAGAGGGAGGAGGAAGGAGGAAGGGAGGGGGGAAGGGGGAAGAGGGGAGGGAGGAGGGAGGAGGAGAGGAGGAGGGAAGAGGAGAGGAGGAGGGAAGAGGAGAGGAGGAGGGAGGAGGGGAGGAGGGGAGGAGGGGAGGAGGAGAAGAAGAGGGAGGAGGAGAGGAAGAGAGAGGGGAGGAGGAAGGAGGAGGAGAGGAGGGAGGAGAGGAGGAGGAGGAGGAGGAGAGGAGGAGGAGGAGAGGAGGAGGAGGGAAGAGGAGGAGAGGAGGAGGAGGAGGAGGAGAGGAGGGAGGAAGGAGGAGAGGAGGGAGGAGAGGAGGGAGGAGGAAGGAGGAGGGAGGAGGAGAGGAGGAGGAGGAGGGAGGAGGAGAGGAGGAGGAGGAGAGGAGGAGGAGGAGACGAGGAGGAGGGAGGAGGAGGAGGGAGGAGGGAGGAGGAAGAAGAAAAGGAGGGTCTAGGAGAGTAGCAGTCAGGGGCCCAGCCCAGCCCAGCACTCACGGCCACTCCAGGCAGGGCCTGAGAATGCAGCGAGGAGTGTCCCCTGCGCAGGGAGCACTGTGCCAGGTCCTTGGTCTTGTGTAGCCAGTCCCCATGGCGCTGGTATGTGGTGGGACATTGGCCCAGGATGTCCACCTGGGCGGACAGGGTGGGAGACAGGTCAGCCTTCCGGCCACCCCCACCCCCACTCCTTTCCCATCTCCTGGCCTCACCTCATCGAGGGTGTTGGGGCTGTGGGCCCCCGGGTGGCCCTGCAGGAGGCTCAGCACAGCACGCTTCACGTTCAGCACCCAGCGTGGCTCAGCAGGGTGGGGACACAGGTGGGCCACACGCCCAGAGTGCAGGATGAAGCGGAGTGGGTTGCGGCCCAGGGCGGCACTGCAGGAGGGCAGACGGGTCAAGAGGCACCCTCCAGTGCCCCAGGCCACCTGCTGACTGCCAGAGGCCACAGCATTCCTGCCCTCCTACAGGTCAACCCCCATGGGAAGCTCCCAGGAAACCCCACATCCCCCTACCAGATAGCCTTTCTTCCTTCTGCAGCTGGGCTCTGGGGCAGCCAACTGTGCTCTGAGCCACCCCAGCCTTTTCACCCCTGGGACAAATGGACAGGTGTGGGAGACAAGCGTCAAAGAGTAAAAGGCTGAGACCCCAAGCTTTGGAAAGCTGCCTGCTTTCCAAAACACCTCACTTAATCCCAAGAAGGAGCTGAAGGCGTTCTGGATGTGCCACCCCAAAATATGCCACTTGGGTATGTTGAGTTTTTTGTGGACCAGTCTCACTCTGTTGCTCAGGCTGGAGTACAGTGGCACGATCATAGCTCACTGCAGCCTCAACCTTGTAGGCTTAAACAATCCTTCCGAGTCAGCCACCCGAGTGGCTGGGATTACAGGGCTGGGACCACAGACATGCGGCCACCATGCCCAGCTAATTTTTAAACTTTTTGTAGAGATAGGTTCCTGCTATGTTGCCCAGGCTGATCTCAAACTCCTGGGCTCAAGCAATCCTCCAGTCTCAGCCTCCCAAAGCGCTGGGAATACAGGCATAAACCACTGCACCCTAGCCTCTTGTCTATTTTGAACCAAAGACTGTATTTGTTGAGAAACAGCAAACGTGGGGAGAGGCTTTCTCTAAACTCCCCACTTCTGCCTAAAGACAGATCCCCCAAAAAGAACCTAATTGTCATCAATCCCCTCCAGGGAGCTGCATCCACCTGGGGAGAGCAGCTCTCATCCTGAGAGAGGATGGTGCAAGTCAACACCACACCCAGACAAACTTCATCCTACACTAGCACATCTCCTGTCTCTTCTTCCTCTTTCCTGGAAACCATCTACTCCCCTCTAACTTGCCTTCCTCCCTCCTCCCCTTCCCCCATGAAAATGGTGTATAAGCTCCCAAGTCTCACTACTACTCTGGGGGGCCGTCACTCTTTCATTCCACGATGTCCCTGAGTGTATAAAAAAATCTACCTACCTCTTCTCCTGATGTCAGTTCATTTCTAGACAGAGCTATTGAATCCAGGAAGGTAAAGGGAGTCTTTCCCTCCCCTACAGATCCCACCAGGGAGGTAATTACCCTCCCTCTACCCACATGCCAGATAAGGAAACAGGTTCAGAGCAATGCAGTCTCTTGCTCAGGGCTCCAGCTGGGATTCGAACCCAGGCAGGCTGGCTCTGCAGTCACAGGCTGCAGAAACCCTGAACTGGAAGTGACTTGAGACTCTGTCATTGTTGAGACAAAGAAATGAGGTCCCGAGACGGGGGCCTTCTTGGGGGATATCACACAGCGAATCAGGGGAGGAGCTGGCACCAGAATTCAGCCCAGTGCTCCTCCTGCCTGCCCTACCCCTGGCAGACAGGTGCCTGGGTCTGGTATCTGCAGAGTGAAGGGATGGGGAAGGCGGGAGGTGAGGGGTGGTGAAGTCCCCCTTCCGTGCGTGGAGGTGGAACACAGAGATGCTCCAAGATGAAGGGGAAACTGCCAAGTCCCCAGACCCTACAGGCTAGCAAGACAAAACCCTGCGGAACAGATGTGCCCCCACTTCTACTTTCCAGGGGGGCAGCGGTCACTCTCCAGCTCCAATTAAAGCCTGGGGGTCTTCCTAAGGCAGTCCCCCTGGGTCCCAGGCCCTGATGGAGAGAAATGCTAATGGCGCCCACCACTCCCAGAATAGCAAGTGTCAGTCTGGCCTCCAGGAAGTGACAACCCCTGGCCCCGCTGACTTAGCATTTCTGATGAGGAGCTGGGGGACAATAGTCCCCTTGGAGGAGACCCTCCCCTTGCCTTTCAGTGAGGATCTGTCTGTCCCTCAGCAGCATCCCCCATCCTGGTATCCCTAGACAAAGGCTTTATTTCTTAACAAATGAATTTGCAATAAAAACGGAAGAGGAATCTGCAGAGAAGGAGATGCCTTCAGCCTGGCGGCCTGTCTGAGCTCTGAGGCCACCGAGGCCACTGTCAGGGAGGCCTGGGAAACGAGCCACAGACAGAATCCCAGGCTTGGCTGGGTCACAAAAGAGGGGCTTGGCTTGGGGTGGGAGAGGATGGGGTCTTGGCAGAGTGGGGGAGGGGAAAAGGCAGACCTCCGTGGGCCCAGCAGTCCCATTAGCCGGAGTCTTCCAGAACACACTCAACAACGATGCCCAAGGGGTAATCGGCAGGCGTGAAATCTGGACATGCTGGCAGTGACAGGCAGAACTATGGGATGAGTTCCTCCCACCAGGTAAGAGAAGAGCACCTACGGCTCTCTGGAGTCACCCAAGGCTTCTACATGAAGGCAACCCCCCAGCGGTCTTCATTGGTGCTTGACAAGGTCAACATAAATACAGAAATTTGTTTGAACTTCAGTCCAAGATGGCATCTCTTTGCTGCAGAGGGGTCACCCTAACCGGTTGTCCTAATCTAATTCAGTGCACCCAGAGCCCGACAGTGGTTGGAAGATAGTAGAGGGCTCACATCTCCAGCCCCGTCGTGGGCAGGTCCCAGCCCCATGGCCAAGTGTCTTACCTCAGGCTCTCCGACTCCTTCAGAAGCTCCACCTTGGCCCCCAGGATAGATGTCACCTGGAAGTCTTGGAGCTGAAACGGAAAGCACCATGAGTGAGTGACCTCTCCTGGGATACCCCAGGACCTCACCAGCACCCCACCCACAAAGCAGTTCTAGGGCCCAGGAGGATACATGAACCCATGTTGGGGGCAAGGCAGAGAGACCCCTCCCTTGACCAGGTAACAAAGCCTGGGTGGTGAAGGCTGAATGTCTCACTGAAATAGTCAAGTACCTACAGCTCCCTGCTAAAGGTATGGAAACTTCTCATTTTGCCCAAAAAGACACTGGAAGTGTGGTTGAGGGATTCATGGGACTATACAGTACCAACAAGAATGTGTTACATCATAGAGCAGACAAAGGTTTTGCCCACGACGAAGACTTGGATATCCCAGTGTCACCATGGGGCGTGTGTGTGCGTGATGGTGATGGCGGGGGGAGGGGGTTGCAAAACAAGGTACACTTTCTAAAAATGGAAAATATCCTCCCTAAAATAATTGATTTCACTGTTTAAATTTCAGAGAGCCAGTCATGATGGCTCACACCTGTAATCCCAGCACTTTGGGAAGCTGAGTTCGATGGATCCCTTGAGGTCAGGAGTTCGAGACCAGCCTGGCCAACATGGTGAAATCCCATCTCTACTAAAAATACAAAAATTAACTGTGTGTGCTGGCAGGCACCTATAATCCCAACAACTCAGGAGGCTGAGGCAGGAGAATCGCTTGAGCTGGGGAGGTGGTGGGTGCAGTGAGCCAAGATCATGCCACTGCACTTCAGAAAACAAAGAAAACGAAAAAAAGATGTAATAGATTTTGGCCGGGTGCAGTGGCTCACACCTATAATCCCAACACTTTGGGAGGGCAAGACAGGCAGATCACTTGAGTTCAGGACTTCGAGACCAGCCTGGCCAACATGGTGGAACCCCATCTCTATTTTTTAAAATAAATGAAAAATAATTTTTTAAAGGATGAAGTTCTGCTACATCCTACAATGGAGAGGAATCTTGAAAATGTTATGTTAAAGTGAAAGAAGCCAGACACAAACGGTCACGTATTATGTGATTCCACTTATATGAGGTACCTAAAAACAGGCAAGTTCATACAGAGAGCAGAATAGAGGTGACCAGAGTCTGCAGGGCAGGAATTGGAAGTTGCTGTTCAATCTGTACAGAGCTTCTGTTTAGGATGATGAAGAAGTTCCAGAGATGGAGGGTGGTGATAGTTGTACAATGATATGACAGTACTTAATGCCACTGAATTACAGACTTAAGATGGTTGAAATGGTGTATCCCATATTATATTTTAATCACAGTTAAAAAAATAAAAATAAGCCACACACAAAGGAAAACATCCTGTACAATTCCATTAGAGAAAAGTTCAAAGACAGGCAAAACTCATCTACGGTGATAGAAATAAAAAAGGCAGGCTGGACACAGTGGCTCATGCCTCTAATCCCAGCACTTTGGGAGGCTGAGGCGGGCAGATCACTTAAGGTCAGGAGTTTAAGACCAGCCTGGCCAATGTGGTAAAATCCTGTCTCTACTAAAAGTACAAAAATTAGCCAGGCGTGGTGGTGCACACCACACACCACCAGTAATCTCAGCTACTCAGGAGGCTGATGCAGGAGAATCGCTTGAGCTGCGGAGGTGGACGTTGTAGTGAGATGAGATTGTGCTTCTGCACTCCAGCCTGGGCGACAGAGCAAGACTTCATCTCAAAAAAAAATAATAATAATAAAATAAAAAATAAAAAATAAAAAAGCTGTACCCTTGGGAGAAGTGACCAAGAGGAAGGATGAAGGAGGCTCTGGGGGTTATATTTTGTTTCTTGCTCTGGCGATCGCGCCATAGGTGTTTAGTTTATGAAAATTTCTTCTTTGGAAGATTTGTGATTTTTACACTTTTTTCTCTAAAAATAAATTAATTAACCTCCCAAGGGGCCAGAAAATTTCCATTTTCCCCTAGAATCTTTGAAATACACCAGTTCTTTATACCCTTGCCAACATTTGACATTGGCAGCTTTTCTTTTGAGATGGAGTTTTGCTCTTGTTGCCCAGGCTGGAGTACAATGGTGCAATCTCGGCTCACCACAACCTTCGCCTCCCAGGTTCAAAGCCATTCTCCTGCCTCAGCCTCCCTAGTAGCTGGGATTACAGGCATGTGCCACCACGCCCAGCTAATTTTGTATTTTTAGTAGAGATGGAGTTTCTCCATGCTGCTCAGGCTGGTCTCGAACTCCCGACCTTAGGTGATCCACCCACCTCAGCCTCCCAAAGTGCTGGGATTATAGGCATGAGCCACCGCACCAGTCAGCAGCTTTTCTTAAATGCTTAAAGCAAACAAATGAATAAAACCACAACAGAACACAATTTGCTTTGTGAAAACCGGCCCTGCAGATAAAAACAACCGCAAGTGTTTTGAAGGGTGTCAAAGGATAGCAAAGACTAATAAAGCAGCAGCTCTGACATACTGGACACCCTAAGAATTCAGAGGCACCTCAGGGCCACTCCATCAAAGATCTCATCCTGTGGTCTACATGAAAATACAACAAAACCGTTTTGAGAAACTCTTGTTAGCAAGCGCTCCAGTCAGTACAGATATGCAATCCAATACGAGATGAGACTCCAACAGAAACTAAAAGGCCTTTTATGTGGGTTAACAGGGTTTATCCAGGAAAAATATGAGGGTTATCAGAAATGGGACAGAGGCAAATGAGCAAGCACTTCTGCTTGCAAGAACATTGAGGAGCTTCCAGAAAATCTTAATGAAAAGAAATCTGCAACGACCAAGTGGGCCTAGCACATAATTCTGCCTTAACTGAGGACTAACACCACTGGACCTTAGTGTTTGCCTATAACCTGAGCCTGTGGACCCAGGTACTGCAAGGCTAGTGTCCAGTAGAAAACAGGCCAGGGCAGGCTTTCCTGTGAGTAGACTTCTACACCCAGTCTCTTCCTTTGTCCAAAGGCCTTTACTTGGTTTGACTTTGCATACCCTTGGACTTGCAGACATGGTTCTCAGTCCACCCCTAGGGCACAGTGTATCCCCCCCCTTCTATGGCTCTTCTCACTCCAAGGAACTCCCCCAACCTGCCCTAAAAATATTCCTTCCTTCACCTCTGCTATTCCCCCACTGGGCCCTCTGTGGCACCTCTTACAACCAAAATTGCACCATTTTCCCACATTCCTCTCAAGGGTCCTCACTTGCCAAATATAAGATTCCTCAGAAAGCTCTTCTGTTGATTAAGCAAATTGGAAATTGGAGGTGAGGTGCTGTGGCTTCCTCTTAGTCCTCCCCAGTGTCAACATAATAATCTCCCGGTTGCCCAAAGACACTCACCCATAAAGCCATCTGACACGGGCCAAGCACATCAAGGACAGCCAAGCCTTGGAGGCCAAGACCACTCTCCTCCACCGGGACCTCCTGCAGGCTGGTGCTGGTGTTGGTGGAAAAGTGATAGGTGTATCTGGTACCCACAGGGAGGTGGGGGCCAGCTGACCCTGGAGGGCAGAGAGAGAGCAATGTCACCTTGACAATCTGCAGCCCTCTGGGATCCCCACACCACCTACGGGCATCCTTGCTCACACCTCTCTCTCTCCATCTGGGCTCCGAGCTGCCTGTCCCCAGCTTGGGGAAAGGTTGGGTAGCTGCATACCCTCATAAGGGTGAAAAAGAGAATAAAGACAGTAACAGTAAGTGCTCAATAAGTGCTAGCCAGTATCATCATGGGCTAGGCCTTCTTCTAATATCAAGGTTTCTCTGCCTGGGTGCTATTAATAGTTGGGGCCAGAGAATTCTATTTGTGAGGGCTGTCCTGTGCGTTGTCAGGAAATTTAGCAGCATCCCTGACCTTTACCCACGAGATGCCAGTAACACAGGCCAGTTGTGACAATGAAAAATGTCCCCAGACTTTGCAAAATGTCCCCAGGGAGGGAGGACGACAATCACCCCAGTTGAGAAGCATCCATCTACAGTAATTCATTTAAGCCTCATAACCAACTCTGAGGTGAATACTCTATTTTCTCCATTTTACAGAGGAAGAAACCGAGGCTCAGACAGGTTAACTAACTTACAGAAGGTCACACACCTGGGATTCCACCCTTGGGAGTCTGACTACTCACCTATCACCTTGATAGATATCAAGTGGTGCTGGGGGTGGTGGGGGGACGGGGTGGGGGAGAAGGTGGCGGCAGTTGTTATCCTGGTCTTCATAGAAGACAAAGGTGTAAAGCTAGCCAGCCTTGGGGGAATCTGGGGGTGAGGAGAGTAACTGCTCTGGGGAAGAGCTGATTTAGGGAACAGAGAGGTCTGTAATTCTCAAGCCAAATCTCTAACTTTCTATTGAGGCCAGGGGATCAAGTGTGACATCTAATTATAACATCTCACCCCTCCCCATGGCTTGTGATTGAACTGACATTTTCATGTCAATTTCCTTGAGACAGAACCACACCTCATATTCCTAAGGTGCTTCTCTCTTTCCAAAGAATTTGTTCCCAAGGCTTTTTCATCTGCTCCACTCCAAAATGCAAATAGCATCACCTGACCAAAGACATTTATTCCACCTGGGGCCCACGGGTATGAGGAAAAAGCCTTGGGGGCTGGGATGGCTTAAGGCATTTTACTCTCAGCTTGCTATTCATTTCTCTAACTCTGTGGGTGGCCTTTGCAGAACTGGCCTTGGTCCTCCCAACTGGTATCTTTGGGAACATAGCCAGGGCCCTCTGGGGCTGTCTCTAATCCCATCTTACAGCTTCACCCCCATCAGGCCCCATGCTGGGCTCAGGCTCCTGGTCATGAGAGGTGTGATCAGGCGTCCTGAGAGAATCGCTCACCTGTGCACGCAGTCATGCAGGAGGCCGCCTGCCCCACCTGGGAATCTGGAATTTCTGAAATCACAAATCAGATGGAACCAGAGTGAGGCCAGAAAGAGGCATAGGATAGCCCCACGCTGTGGGTCACTGACCTTACTCCCGGAAGATGAGGAGTGATAATGCCAGCTCTCCCCAGACTTTGTGAAATGTCCTCAGGGGAGGGAGGGCCACGAAGACTGGAAGCCATTTCCCTACCCTTTGTCCAATTTGCTCTTGCCCATCTTGGGTACTGGCACCATTATTCCTGATAGCTCAAGCTGGCAATCATTCGTGTGGAAGCACCCCTCATCACCCACCACCTGATTCCAATATGTCAGCAGGCTCTGCCAATTCCATCAACAAATGCAGGTCTCCATTCCTCCCATCCATCAGTCCATCTACCCATCCCCACTCCCATCCACCCACCCACCAGCTCCCTGCTCCTATACATCCATCCAGCCAGCCACCCCCACCCCCCCTCCCATTCACCTACCTCCAACACCCCTCCTATCCATCCACCCACCCACTCCCCTCTATCCATCCATCTACCCACTCCCCATACCCCTCCTATACACCCACCCCCCAACCCCCCTTCCTATCCATCCATTCACCCACTCACCCATCCATCCTCCCGCCCACCACCCCTTCCTATCCATCCATCCACCCACTGACCCACTCCCCCTCCTATCCATCTATCTACCTACCCCCAACCCCCCTCCTATCCATCCATTCACCCACTCCCCATCGTATCCATCCACCTGCCCACTACCCCCTCCTATCCATCCATCCACCCACTCACCCACCCCCAGACCCCTCCTATGCACCCACCCACCCACCATTCTAACCTATCCACCCATCCACTCACCACTCCCACCTCCTATCCACCCATCCACCCATCACTCCCATATCTCCTATCCGTCCATCCACCCCCCAACCCCCATCCATCCATCCACCTACCCACTACCCTCTCCTATCCATCCATCCACCCACCCACTCCCCCCTGCTATCCATCCATCCACCCACTCATCCACTCTCCCTATCTATCCATCCACTCACCCACCCTCTCTTCTCTCCTATTCATCCAAGTGACTTGCCCAGGTGCACACAGCTGGTTAACAGTGGAGCCTTGGGATTTGAACCCAGGCACTCTGGCTCCAGAATCCCCAGCCATACCCTCATCCTGAATGAATCAGAGAGTAAGTGAGCGAATGAGTAATGAGTGGAACACCAGCAAGACCAAGAGGCTGCTGCAGGAAATAGCAGGAGCTGGTGTTCCTTCCTGTTGAGTGTCTCCCTTCTCCCACCATGGAAGGGGCAAAGAACAACCAGGGCATGAGCAGACGTGGTGAGGTAGCCCCTCGGCCCCCAGCTCAGGCTGCTGAGGAAACTGCCAGGGATTCCCAGAGCTCCCTCCCTGGGAAGGCCAGCACCCCTCCCTCCCTCCCTCCCGCCATCCAGCCATTCCATTTCCACCTACTTTCAAGCCTTGTTTCCCCTTCCTGCCAGCGGCTTGCGGGATCTTTCCCAGGCACCACCTGTGCCCTCCTGTGCCTTAATCAGGCGTTTATCTGCAGCTGTGTCCATAGGATAGCGTTTCAATAATACCACTTCCATCCTCAAAACCACTCCGCTGCACCTCGACTGGTCATTGCTACACATGCTGACCCGTTTAATCCCTCAAAAAACAAATTGTGACTGGGGGCAGCAGCTCATGTCTGTAATCCCAGTACGTTGGGAAGCCGAGGTGGGTAGAGGGCTTGACCTCAGGAGTACGAGACCAGCCTGGCCAGCATAGCGAAATCCCCTCTCTACAAAAAAATACAAAAATTAGCCGGGTGTGGTGGCACATACCTGTGGTCCCATCTACTCAAGAGGCTGAGGTGGGAGACTGGCTTGAGCCGACAGGTGGAGGCTGCAGTGAACCAAGATTGCACCACTGCACTCCAGCCTGGGTAGCAGAGTAAGACCTTGTCTCAAAAAAAAAAAAAAAAAAACGGAAAAACAAATTGTTTCTCCAAAATGGGGAGGGGTGGGGGGCGGGGGTGCGTTATATACTATTTTATTTTGACTCTTTGAAACAATAGAACATGGTAGGCTTTCTGGCAGGGCTTTTTTTTCCCCCTAAATATTTTGGCACGTCTAACAAAATATTCTTTGCATTCAAGTAGAGTATCAACAGATAAAACCACATTTGAAAGACATTCAACCCAATCAATTTCCATTCCAACTTTCCTTCAACTCTTTGATCACTTGGACACTGGGCACCCAATTAAACATATGTGTGCATAATCATTACGTTCTCCATTGTGCACAAGCCCAGCATTCTGCTTGTTTGCTCTACAGACAATCCCTACATCTGCTTTACTGCTCGATTAGGCTACAAAGCAGCCTGGCCCACCAGCCTCCATCCACCATGACGTGCAGAAGTGAGCGGAGCTCTGAGGGCACTGTGCCTGTATTAAGCCTGTACCCCTTCCATTTCCTGAGCACTTAAACACATTTAAAATATTTTTTAAATTTCAGAAAAATGAAGTTCATGCCATGATAAATTCATAACAGATTAACCAAGGATGGGAAAACGCTGCACACTGGAGGTAATAAATTCTTCAATCAGATCCTATGTACTTCTAGGAAGAGATCTGAAATGGACCGAAATCAATGTCATCTCTAGCCAGCAAATGAAATGGAGTCCCATTTCAGCTTTCTCAGCTGTCAATTCTGATCAGTGTGCATTCTTTTATGAAACCAACACAATATACCGAGCACCTATGGCACGCCAGGCAGTGTTATATGCTGAAATAAAAGCCTAAATATCAAAACAATTACATCATTTACAACAACTAAAAGACCCCACAATCTGGCCTGCGCTGTCCAGTATGTGGCTATAAAGAATCCAAAATGTTACTAGTTACAGAGAAACTTTTCATTTAATTTTACTTCAACAAAAAACCAATACTCCATTCACTTATTAGAAGACTTTCAGCCGGGTACAGTGGCTCATGCCTGTAATCCCAGTACTTTGGGAGGATTGCTTGAGTTTGAGACTAGCCTGGGTAACATGGTGAAACCCCGTGTCTACAAAAACTATTTTTTTTAAAAAAGAAAACTTTCAAATATGTTTCAAACAACTTAGCACAGTAGCTAAACCTACTTTCTCAACGCTATGTTTTAAGAAATCTAAAGACAGATCAAGTATTTGCTATGAAAATGTAGCATCCAAACTGAAATATGTCATAAGTATAAAATATATATTGAATGTGAATGGGAAATGTATCTCATTAATACTTTCTATTCATGACGTTTTCTAATTATATATTGGATATATTGGGTTAAGCAAAATATGTTATTAATTTCACCTGCCTTTTTAAAAATTTGTATGTGTGGGTTCTACGAAAATTAAGATTACTTGCTTTTTGTTGTTGTCGAGACAAGGTCTCACTCTGTCGCCCAGGCTGGAGTGCCGTGGTGTGATCTCGGCTCACTGCAGCCTCGACCTCCTGGGCTCAAGCTCAGTAGGCCCAGAAGGCAGCATTTTCTCACTCAGGGCTTCATATCTGGTCTCTGAAGCTCCCCAACCCCTGCCCTGTCTGAGTTTCCAGAGGATGCTGGTGGAGCATGTGAGTGAGAGCTGAGGATTCACCTGTCATCTCTCGCTCCTCTTCCCCATGAAAAGCTAAACAGGAGGTGACAGTGGAAAGGCAGGTCAACAGGCATCTGGCTACAAAAGCACAGTCCCAGGCGCGTCTGGGCTGCCCCTCGCTTCACTCCAGACAGGACCAGGAACACGCAGCAGTTTTACTTACCCTCCGCAGTCACTGCCATCAGCAGCCAGAGCAGGACCAGACTGAGGAGCCCCATGGGGTCCGGCATCACTCTCTGGGTCAGCCCCGTGCCACCAGCCTCAGGCTCCAGAGCAGCTCGGCGTGGTCCTCAAAGGAATCTTTTTCCCCAAAGAGGAGGGCTCAGCTTTAACCCACTCTCTCAGCCCAGGAGAGTAGAAGGGGAGGTGGGGGGGGGCAGTCAGAACAGAGATCCAGCCAATCAGAAGCCTCCGATAGATATTAGCACCCCACCCGACAGAGAGGAGGGGAGGGGGCTCCTGACCAATGAGGAGAAAAAAAGCCTAGAGGGGAAAAAAAAAGGAGCTTGCCTACTCTTCTAGCCTTGTAAACAGAGATCTGGGGGCAGAAGGCAACATGGTGTAGTGGTTGTTTCTTTTTAATTGCGGTATGATTACATTTTAAAAACATAAAATTGACCATTTTAAGCATTTCATTGATTTTAAAAGACAGGGCCTCAGCTGGGCATGGTGGCTCATGCTTGTAATCCCAGCACTTTGGGAGGTCAAGGCAGGCAGATCACAAGGTCAGGAGTTTGAGACCAGCCTGGCCAACACAGTGAGACCCCATCTCTACTAAAAATTTAAAAATTATCTGGGCATGGTGGCAGGTGCCTGTAATCCCAGCTACTTGGGAGGCTGAGGCAGGAGAATCACTTGAACCCGGGAGGAGGAGGTAGAAGTGAGCCAAGATCGCTCCACTGCACTCCAGCCTGGGCGACAGAGCTAGATTCTGTCTCAACAAACAACAACAACAAAGTCTCAATCCGTCACCAAAGCTGGAGTAGTGTTGCAGTCATGGCTCACTGCAGCTTCCATCTCCCAGGCTCAAGCAATCCTCTTGCCTCAGCCCCCCAAGTAGCTGGGACTACAGGCACTGTGCCACCACACCCACCTAATTCTTGTTTTTGTAGAGATGGAGTTTCACTATGTTGTCCCGGCTGGTCTTAAACTCCTGGGCTCAAGTGATCCACCGGCCTCAGCCTCCCTAAGTGCTAGATTACAGGCATCAGCCACAGCACGCGGCCCATTTTAACCACTTTAAAGTATTCAGTTTAGTGGCATCGTGTCCACTCACGACATTGCGCAACCATCACTACTGTCTAGTTGTGTAGTCTGATGTTGGGTTTGTCTTTCCTAGTGCTCAGATTAGGAAAAGCCAGTGGGAGGCCTGGCTTAGCACGGCCTTTGGAAACGGCTCTTACCCCAGCAGCAGTGGGTTTTTCAAAGCTCCAGGTTCAAAGCCTCCCAAGAGGACAAGGAAGTAATTCGGGAGGCCAGGGGCCTGCCCACACCTGCTCAGTGTTCATTCTAGGTCCCACATCTCTGCCTCTCTCCCTCAAACTCACCTCCACCCACACCTTTTGGGTTTCAAGGTGTGGTGTTTTGTTTTTTTAAAGACGGGATCTCACTCTGTTGCCCACACTGAAGTGCAGTGGTGTGATCACAGCTCACTGCAGCCTCAACCTCCTGGGCTCAAGTGATCCTCCCACCTCAGCCTCCCAAGTAGCTGGGTCTACAGGCACATGCCACCATACTTGGCTCAATTCTCCCATTTAAAGCACACAACTCAGCCAGTGTGGTGGCTCACGCCTGTAATCCCAGCACTTTGGGAGGCCGAGGTGGGCAGATCACCTGAGGCCAGGAGTTCAAGACCAGCCTGGCCAACATGGTGAAAACCCGTCTCTACTAAAAGTACAAAAAAATTAGCTGGGCTTGGTGGTGGGCGCCTATAATCCCAGCTACTCAGGAGGCTGAGGCAGGAGAATTGCTTGAACCTGGGAGGTGGAGGTTACAGTGAGCCGAGATTGGGCCACTTCACTACAGCTTGGGCGACAGAGTGAGACTCCATCTCCATCTCAAAAAATACGTAATTAAATTAAAATGAAGCGTACGACTCAATGGTTTTTAAGATAGTCATGGAGTTTGGCAATCATTACCACAACCAATTTCATAATATCCTCACTGCAAACAGAAATCCCATACCTAGTAAACAATCACTTCTGGTGCCTCTCACCCTAGTCCTTGGCCACCACTGATCTGCTTTCTGTCTTTATGGATGTGTCTATTCTGGACATTTCACACAAATGGAATGGTTCAGTAGATGGCCTTTTTGTCTGGCTTCTTTCACTCAGCATGACGGTTTTGGGGCTCAGCCATGTAATGTGAAATCGGGCGTCATTCCTTTCTGTGGCTGAATAATGCACTGAAAGGATAGACCACTTTCTGTGTGGCCATTTATCTCTTGATGGACAGTTAAATGTACTTTTAATAGAATTTTCTTAGAGTTAAACTAAGACACAGTTGACTGGTTGGCACACCATGTTTTATGAAAACGTAATCATTTATGCTTTTAGACTTGGCCCATTTTCTTTTCATATTTTGAAACCAATGATTCTACCTCCCTTTCCCCAAGCTCAAGCATTTTCCTTTTTTTTTGTTTTTGAGATGGAGTTTCGCTCTTGTGGCCCAGGCCTGAGTGTAATGGCACAACCTCGGCTCACTGCAACCACCACCTCCCTAGTTCAAAGCGGTTCTCCTGCCTCAGCCTCCCAAGTAGCTGGGACTACAGGCATGTGCCACCATGCCCGGCTAATTTTTTGTATTTTTAATAGAGACAGGGTTTCACTATGTTGGCCAGGCTGGTCTTGAACTCCTGGCCTCAGGTGATCCACCCTCCTCGGCCTCCCAAAGTGCTGGGATTACAGGCATGAGCCACTGCGTCTGGGCCCTAGCTCAAGCATTTTCTCTAGCAGGGTTCAGGAGCCCTGTCCCATAGGGATGAAGACCTAAAAGACCCTTCAGTTCACAGCTGCTTGGGGACTGTGATGAGTTCTGGTGTGGCTGCTAAATGCTGTGAGGAAAAGCATCTTGGGGGGTGCTGACTTGGAGGAGCCAGTGGGGAAATGAGATACACAGGCAGAAGATTTTCAGCACATCACAGACACCTCACTCAGAGAAAGGAACAGTTATTGTGGTAGGAAATCGTGGACGCCGTTTACAAATGAGAGATTTCCTGGGATCTCAAATAATAGATGGCATTGTTGTTAGGATTGTCAGGCACTAGGCAAAGCATTCCTTGTATGTTGACTCATTCAATCAATTCCTCCTGCAAAATCCCTGCAAGGTGAGCTAGGTCATCCCATGGTACAGATGAGGAAACAGAGACACAGAGAGGTTAAGACACTTGCCTTAAGTCACACAGCTCAGTAGGATTTTAATCCCATCTGGCTCCCAGAGGCCCTGCTCTGTTAGCTCTGGCAGCTTTAGTCAGAGACTCAAGTCTCTGACCATAGGCCTGAATTCCTCCCCAGTTCAAAGCCAGGAGCCCTCGCAACCCTCAATGCGATGGTTTCCTCATCAATGCAGCAATGTCAGTCACAGGGGATACTGGCTACAAACGCAGATTCCCAGGTCCATTCCAGGACAGGACAATCAGACTCCTTAGGGTGGGGCTCTCCCTCCAGGCCATTCTGGTGACCAGCTGGGTTTGCATTGCCCCAGCCTACCCGAGTCTGCCTGGGAAGGGTCCCTGTACTTCTGGCCTTACTTTGTGTCTACATTGTCACAGGCCCAAAACCCAGAGTGTGGGGACATAGCACTCAATTCACAAAGACTCAGACCCTCCTATACAAGCCACCCACCATAGATCCAGCCTCTCACCTCCTGTTCCTCTCACCAGAGTTGTGCTTCTACCTGGAGAGAATTTACGGGGCTGGGTTTGGGTTTGCCAGTGACCGGGAATCCAGGTTCCAGTCAGTGTGAGTTCAGCTGGAGTAGTGATTGAAGCCCATCAGGCTCAGGTCAGAGTCACCAGAGTTCAGAATCCCTTTCAGTGGGCGCAGTGGCTCACGCCTTTACTCCCAGCACTTTGGGAGGCTGAGGTGGAAGGATTGTTTGAGCCCAGGAGTTCGAGACCAGCCTGAGGAACACAGGGAGACCTTGTCTCTACAAAAATAAAAGCTGGGTGTGGTGGTGCACACCTGTAGTCCCAACTACTCAGGAGGCTGAGGCAGGAGGATTTCTTGAGCCCAGGAGGCTGAAGCTGCAGTGAGCTGTGATCATGCCACGGCACTGCAGCCTGGGTGACAGAGCAAGACTGTTTCCAAAAAAAAAAAAAAAGGCAGCCTTTTCATTTGTGTATTAGCTTGTTCTCATACTGCTATAAAGAAATACCTGAGACTGTGTAGTTTACAAAGAAAAAAGAGGGTTAATTGGTTCACAGTTCAGGAAGCGCGGTACCATCTGCCTCTAAGGAGGCTTCAGGGAGCTTTCACGCATGGCAGAGGGCAAAGCTGGAACAGGCGTCTTACATGGCAGGTGCGGGACCAAGAGAGAGGCATGGCGGAGGTGCCATAAACAGCCAGATCCCTCTACTCCATTAATCCTTCCCTTTCCCTTAAACAGCCAGATCCCTGTGCTCTGCCTATTAATTAATTAATCCCTCCCTTTCCCTTACCACCCCCACCCCACCAACCACAAAACCGCTGATATTTTTACTGTCTCCAGTTTCGCCTTTTCCAGAATGTCCCAGAGTTGGAATCCTACAGTGTTTCTTCAGTTCTTTTCAGAATGAAGAAGTTTTTGTTTTTGTTTTTTTGAGACAGGATCTCACCCTGTCACCCAGGCTGCAGTGCAACCTCCACCTCCCGGGTTCAGGCGATTCTCCTGCCTCAACCTCCCAAGTAGCTGGGATTACAGGTGCCTGCCACCATGCATGGCTAATTTTTATATTTTTAGTAGAGATGGGGTTTCACCATGTTGGCCAGGCTGGTCTCGAACTCCTGACCTCAAGTGATTCACCAGCCTCAGCCTTCCAAAGTGCTGGGATTCTAGGACTGAGCCACCACACCCGGCCTGAAGCTTTCTTTTTAAACCACCAAAAGATATTTTGCAGAGCTAGGGTAAGCGGGTTAGAAAGCCATGGATACCTCATGGTAGAGAAGTAACCAGCAGGGGGCAATGAGCTCCTCTTGCCTTGCCTTCATGAAGCACTCACTACTGCCGCCTTATGAACAAGAGGCCGGGCTAG